AAACTAAGGAGAATATGTGGGAATGATACAGAAAAAACGCTCACACATAACTGTAGAGAGAGGGAGCGGAAAACAAACATAAAATGGCAGAAAAGAAAATTTCGGAAGAAAAAAAAAATAAAATAAAAAATAAAATAAAATAAAATAAAAAGACATCCTGCACCGCTAGCAACAAAGACCAAGTCCAGTACATTACCCAGAAACCGCCCACACACACCTGCCTTGTTGAATATCTAGCCCAAAACTCCAGACTCGAAAAAACCCTCCAAATCCACCACCCAGACGAAATGCGACATCAAGAACCCAGAACACCAAATCCCAAACACCCAACCTACTCAACACCAAGAGCCCTTCTATATATCTGTACAAGACACATATAATACCCACAAACAACGCATGTAATACAACCCCAGGAACACTCACAAAACCCCCTTTAGCCCGCTCTCAGTAAAAACCACACCCACCATGTTAACCACCGTACATTCCATCCAGCTTACCAGTTAGGGGAGAAAGAAAACACCATTTCCACCAAGACCCATAGCTTCCGGCGGAAGTATGCCTATAGGTGTCCATGCAGTCTCACACGATAGAGACATGTATGCGCCGCGCCCCAGTTTGACTTAACGCGGAACACGACCTTCTCCACACGTGCGGCCGGCATGTCAATGACAGCATCCAGGTCGAAACGCTGGACGTGGTGTCCGCCATGGATGTTGTATTGCCACCGGCCGACGCGGAAGAAGGAGGGTCCGAGGAGCGCGTCGTCCGAATAAGCCGTGGTCAGCTCGTTCGGATACACCTGCCGGAGGGTGGTGAGGATGGCGTCCCGTAACCAGGAAGGGAGGAGATGATGGGGGTAATAGGAGGGGCGGAGGTGGGAGAACGCGGGGGTTCGGAGATGGGGAGTAGCAGGCGGTGGTGGGAGGGGTTGGCTTGGTGCAGAGGATGGGGGAAAGGGGGATGGTGCGTGGGGAGAAGACGCTGACGAAGGGGGTGGGGAGGGGTTTGACGAGCCGGAGCCTGGGGGGTAGGCTGCTGCTGCGGTGGGCGGACGGGCCATGTACTGGACCCACAGTTCCATCTCCCGCGGTGCGCTGCCAGGGTCCAACGTTGCGCCCTTGGGGATGTGCTCAATGACCACCTCTTCAGGGACGATTGCTCGTCCCAGAAGGATGGTCAACTGAGAAGCATTGGATCGCGTGGCAGCGCACCAGCATTCTCCGACACCGTCCCACGGTTGGAGTGCGGCTACAGGCGGGGAGCCGCGAGGCACCTTGGCGAGGTATTGGCCGATCCGACTAACGAGCCCAGCCGATGTTGCCATCGTTGGACTCGTCAGGTACGGATCAACCACTGCACCCATGCCAATCGATGCGTAATTGACTTTTGGCGGCATTAGAGGGTCCATCGCCGCTGCTGGGGATCCGCTTAGCGCTTCCTTGAGATGTGGCAGTCTTCTGTTCCATTCGTTTTTCAGAATGGTGACTTCCTTGGCCATGTCTGACAGTCGTTGGTCGAGACGAGAAGACAGCTTGTGGAATGCATCCGCGTACATGGAAGTTGAGTTATCTTTTGCAAATGTGGATGCGGGACTGCATAAGTAGTGAGACATCGTGGTTTGTAGACTTTGTGGAAACATGCAGGCATGATCTCTGCAGAAATAAGTGAGGAATGTCATGAGGATAAGACCGATAGTGACGAGCAGGGCACTTGGAGTTTTCGCGATTCCTGAGAGACGTTGCTTGGAGGTGACATGGACCCTAGCAGGGGCAGCGGCGACGAGGACGGGAGAGGAGTGTGTGGAGGAGCCCGGGGTGTGGATTGAGGCAGAAGACGCAGAAGAAGCGGATGATTTCGAAGCAGACTTGTTACGTAGCTGGTTGAATGCTGGAACAGGTGGGAGCGTCCTTCTAGCGGCTGCAGATGTCGAAACGTTTGGAACGTCGATAGGACCTGGAAGAGGAGGGTTCGCACGGAATGCCTCTTCAAATATAGGGCGGCGAGTCGGAGGTAATCTAAGGCCGCTGGGTTCCTGAGAGCTGGAAGGTCGGGAACCGTATGGATCGTGAAGGTAGTAGTTTGGGCGAGTTCCGGCATTGGTTTCTCGTGGCAAGATACCATGGATAGCACGCTCAGTGGTCCAGCTGACACTTGCGGAGCCGTTAAATGACGGGGTATCATGCAGAACGGAGATTGATGGGTCTTCTTCGCGTTTGACTCCTTCAGTTTCTTCAGATACTTCACGGAGAGTTTCAAGAAGTTGCTCTTCCGGCGTTGTCTGCCGTGAGGCAGCTCTACGGGGACCTACTCTGCTGCGCGTTGTGGCGTTGCGAGACGAAGCTCTACGGGAAACAGGTCCAGGGGCTGGAGATATGCTGGACCGGACAGATGCACTCATTGACCGGGTTTGGCGTCTTTCGGGAACGGGGTGAGTTGGGTCTTCAACATCAACACGAGCAAGTTCACGGTCTTGAGCTTGACGCAAGCCATCATCAAGGGTATCGATCATCTCGGACAATCCCATAGAAGGATCAACTTCAAGCTGGCGAGGAAGCGCAGGGGTCTTGGTGGAGCCGTAGGCAAAAGATTGCTGGGTGCGGACGTCCGGGAGAGATGGGTTGCCCAGGTCAGGGTTTGACTGATTACCTTCAGTGGCAACCGTAGGGTTTTCAGTAGGAGCTGCGCGAGTTCCACGAGTATTCTGGGCACGGGAGCCCGAGCGAACAGAAGCAGTTTTGCGACCAGTCATTTTCTTTTATAGATTCTGGGAAGCCCTGGAAATATATGTTTGAGATATTGGAGAGTTGGTAGTGTAATTGCAATTGAATACGCTGCTCTTCCTCTTTTAGGAACACGCTTTCAACCTGATTTGCAAAGTTAGTATCGCAAACTTAAGAAGCACATCGAATGAGCGTTAGAAGGTGGAATGACAAAAGGATTCAAGGAGCGCGCACCGCAGGTTCAGCTGAGCTGGAGATATTGGAGAAGAGGAGGTGCTTGTAGAAAGAGCTGGGGTTTTGGTTGGAGTGCAGAAGATAGACGCCTTCTAGAGAAAGGCAGGGTAGAGGGTTCGCGACAAAGAAGAGATGACCAGGAAGAGATGACCAGGGAAGAAAGAACGAGGTGGAATAAAAGAGGATTTTGGACAAAGCAGGGTCTTTGTAAGACTGAAAAAAAGATCTTAATTGCGATGAGTACAATGAGACCAGCTCAAAGGTAGGTGTGGAGGGAAGGTTGGCTTTTCAAAGAGTAGATGTCTTGAGGATTGATGATTGCAGTTGGACAAAGCAGTGGTGCAGGACAGGGAGCAGATATTGGATTGACGATGACGATTGATCGATGATAATGGAAGACTGTTGAAGTAGTTGTAAGCGCGAGCTGGGAGCGAGAGCGAGTATCAAGACGGTGATGAGTAGTGGAAGGAGATTCGAAGACGAAGTTGAGATGGTTTGGCGACAGGAGGGAAAAGGAGCTCCACAACACAAAGGTCCAAAGTGAAGGGAAAACAGGACAAACACTCACTTTGGAATATATTCCAAGCTCTTTTTCCGCCGTAAAGGGGGTGAAGTGAATTTCTAGTCCCAGGCGACGAAGGAAAATGCCAAAGTAATCTGCTTTCACAGTCGAGTTGAGGTCTCAACCACAATGTAGGTGGTGCCCTGGGAATACCTGACGGGTGACAATAGCAGAAGACGAGCAACACAGAATTCCTCGTCCCAAATGTAATACTAAGTGAATTCAGACAGATTCACTCGAAAAAGGCGTGGAGGGCAAAAAGCCAGTCACTCTGGATGCTAGTCTATAGGATTGATTGGTGAAAAAAGGCGAGGGAATACCAGTATGCACAGCTGTTGTTCACCCTTTGATCCATGCAGAAGAGCTTCCCCCTGCACAGCCAGGCTTGAATCCCTTCTCTTTCTTATCTTTTCTGCTGTGGGAACACAGTTGCTATCACCGCGTTGATGTGTGGTGTGGTGTGAATAGCGCTTGGCCCAAAGGCATCAATGCAAAGGAGCGATATCCTCAAGCGCTTCTATGCAAAGTGGATAGAAATGAAATGGCCCTTGAGTTTCAACCAACCAACCAATCAATCGATCAATCAATATGAACCTGGATATCAAGAAACAGAAACAGCATAGTCTCAATTGTTTGATAACTACTACTAGTAAAGTAGCAATTCATCAGCAAACGCGCTCTTTTTTCTCTCTCTCTTTCTTTTGGAGACCAACACGCCCCTTGGAAACCAGGATTCAGACAGCAAACAAACACTGAAAATGGACAGGCACAGGTCAGGAGCACAGTGCGCTCCTTTATGCACACACTGGCACCCTTTTCTTTGATATTGTCTCTTCTCTCCTTCGTTGGCGGTCTGGATGGTTTGTTTGGCGTCGCGGCCGGAGTTTTATTGTTGTGGGGCCCGGTACACTAGAGGAAACTTACCACGCTAGGACGGATTTGGCCTGGGTATGTATCATTTTGTCAACGTATCTCTTTTACATACATATATGAAGACAGATGCGATTGTGGATCTTTGTACAGTAATGGGTTGCCATATGGTTGTATTCCTAGCTGGTCAACTAGAGCCGGTACTTGTGCACTGTGCTGTGCATATATGTGCTGTGCCAATATATTTACATACATTTTTAAATTTTTAAAGTTGTAGAAGCTCCGTTATGCATTTCTGACGTACAATAATATATCAAAGACAAGATCCGAAAAAGGGGAATCACGAAGGAATAAAAGACACCATAATGAAGCATAAAGTGAAATCTCAAGTAATGTACAGTAAAGAGTATACTAAGCACACCGTATGGGGTGCTATAGATCGATTGGACAAAACTAGGGCGCAATGGGGGAGCGTATATAGTACATATCGAGACAAATATACGTAGAGAGCATGAAATGGACCGAATAGATAAGCAAACATGTAAATGCGCGGGTGGCTGAGAGAGTTGTTGACGGGCCCGTACCGTACGAGCACATCCACAACTTCATTTCCCTCAGCAAGTCCAGATTCCAATCGTACCATCCCTCCGCCCCTCCGTCATATACCCATCCTTGATCCGCACGCGATCGACGATTGACGCCGTCCTGCCTTCTCCAGCTGCTATTACTCCTGCGCCGCAGTTCCAGTGCTGCCCCTCTGTCTTGTCGTAGACTTTGACGACATCTTCGCCCGCCGCGGAGACGATGCGGCGCGTGTCGAACATCATGCTGCTGATGGGGTTGTCGTAGGCGTACGCGTCGTATATAGACCCAGTTCGGAGGTCCCAGATCTGTTTTAAATTTAATTTTAAAATTATAATGTGGTTAGTTTGAAATAAATGACAAAGTGGGAGATTTATTATAATTCCACCAATAATGAAATTCCTTTTAACTTACCCGTACACTCCGGTCCATGCTCCCCGTCACCAAATGCACGTCGTCAAATTGCAAACACGTCACGGGCCCAGTATGTCCCACCAAACTACGGTGCACCTGTCCGCTACGCAGATCCCACAAGCGTACCATCCCGTCTGCTGTCCCGCATGCCAAGGCCGCGTCGAAGCATTGCACTGCACCGACAAAATCCGCTGACACATCCGGGAGCCGGCCGGTTGGTCGCCACGGATTTTCACTTGAGGATAACGTTGAGGCCTGCGCCGCAGCCCAGAGGACATCGAGCGTCTGGACGCAGCGGCCCTTGACCAAATCCCACTGCCGAAGTGTTTTATCCGCCGACCCCGAGATGAGCGTGTCACCGCGGAAGTAAAGTGCCGTGACCTCATCGACGTGTGCTTCGAGGGAGAAGAGTGGACAATCTTCCATGCTAGAGGGAGGAGGCGGAGGGGGTGCCGCCGCGGGGTCTTCATACCCAAGCGCATCCTCCTCGTCATCCTCCTCGTGGTTACCAATGCGATTATCCCGTGGTGCATACTTTGCACGGCTGAGATCCCATAGCCGGATCGATGCGTCCATAGATCCTGTTGCGACAAGGTTATCCTCGACCTGCAAGCAGCGGACGGAGGCATGATGTCCTTCCAAAAATCCCATGCATCGGCCGAGATTTAGATCCCACACCCGGACTGTATCGTCCAACGCTGCACTGACCATGGTTCCGAAGGGGACGTCAAAATCTATTGCGGATACCATATCATTATGCGCTTCTAATTCTCTGATCATGGAGCCTGGCTCAAAATGTTCGTGGAGGACGGGCATGGATCTTTTTCCTACAAAGGAAAAAATGGTATTAATAACTTTATTTCAATTGTTTTGTTGATAAGGTATAATGCTAAAGAGGGGGAGGGTGGGGGAACAGACTTAACGATTTATGTTTCCACGTTTTGGGAGACGGCAGTTTCTCATAGATCGACTCCGACATGAAAGACGCATCCATAGCCTGCGTGTCAGATGCGACAGAGGGCTCCGTTGCATCATTGGTCTTCGGAGTATCTGGCCGCGTATGCGCTTCATCCTCCAGATCTTCTAGTTTATTATCCAACTGAACCACTACACCAGTTGCAATACGTAAGCCCTTCGATCCCCAACCTTAAAAAGAAAAGGCAAAAAGCAATTTCGCAGCCTTACAGTCATGTTCCAAATCCGCCTCGTCCATCTCAAGTTGGGCAAGACGGTCGAGCACAATTTTCCGCATACTTTGCAAATTTGCAATCTTGTTATCTATCTCGTAAATTTCTGCACTGCACATATTTTTCCTTATCCCCATCAATTCCAGCCGCCGACTGAAGGTGTTCCTGTCCTTTCTCAACGAGGATAGAGTGGGTGGCAATGCCCCCACATTCGTTCCCGCCCCATCCAACAACTTCTGCCCGCGCGAGCTTCGTCTCCGATGCGATTTTCTATGTTCGTGTTCACCTTCGGGCATCGAGGCCTGGAACCCTTGAAACAAAGAGTAGGTGCTCGTGTCCTCCGGAATGTTGGCTAGCAAATCATCCGAGAGGGACGAGAGGGCGCGAGTTTGGATTTCAGATGTGGATAGTTTCGATCGGACGAGGTCCGTGGGGGTGGTCTGAGCCAGAGAAAACATCCTCCGCTGCATCGACGGGCGACGCAGCTCTTTACGAATGTCATTGACGGCAGAGTGATAGTGCGTTCCTCTGGGAGTGTCCTGCATCGGGCCTATGAGATGGCCAGCGGTGGTCGTGACTTTGCGGCCAAAAGCCTCGAGATGCCGAGTCTGAGAAGCTGTGTTAGAGGATGCGAATGTAAAATAAAACCCCGAACCCTTTTGTTTTTATTTATCTTTTTGATTGGTTTTGCCTGATTTCCAAATTTGACTTTTCCCTTACCGTTAAGCCAGTCCCCAACACGGTGGTAGTCTCCTCGTCGCCGGAAGGTGAGTCATTGCGGGGGTACGAGCTGGCCATGGAAGAACGAGGAGAACACCGGAGAGAGCCCAGCTCCAATGGAGAGCCTCAGCGGAGAGGAGGGGGCGTGAAAAAAGAGGGGGAAACTGGGAGAGCTGGGATGGGGTTGATGATTATGGTAATATGTTGTCGTTGGAGATGTTTTGATATTTGGACGTTTGAAATAACAGACCGTATTGTGGTTACAATACCACATAATACACTAGGACAGGCACAAAGGCTTTAACCAGAAATGATATTCAAGTTTGATTCAGTACTCCGTAACTCCGTACTTCCAACCACATCATCTACTCTACAACCGAAAAGAATGTCAGCAAAGTCGAGAAGCTTATAGTTTTACTTTGAATCAAAATAAGGCTTCTTCGCCATGATGGAATTTCTAGATCTTAAATCTGTGAGTATAATATATTGGTTTAGAGCAAGACAACTATTGCCAATTGATTTGTTCAATCAATAATCTGATATTTGCTTCGGAATACAACAGTCCACATTTGAGATCTTTTAGCAGGAATACTAGCATATTTTGTGCTGCGACTGCAGCCTGGGCCTTTCCATCTGTTTTACTAGGTGGAGGGCGTTCTGGAGAATTGATACTGGGCAAACTTGACCGGTGTCACTGGTCCGCCTTTTTCAATTCCTATCCTCATCTAGAATGGGGTTCTCCGAGAATTGGAGAAGGCGACCATTTCCTCTGTTTTGCACACTATTAATTTTTGTATCAAGAGAATTTGCTACGCTTGGTGGCTTTGCTTGAACAGACAGTAAGTGAGAATCATAGGGGGCGCTGGAGAAAACCCAATGATATTCAAATTTCCATCTCAAACTACAGCATGGGGTCATGCAGTGCTACTCAACAGAATATTCCATCACACTGGGCTACCAACAAAAAAAAAAAAAGAAAAAATACCGCTATCATGATACAAGTCAGTAAGCACTCCACCCCTTAAAAGGATGTACCTTGAGTTCCTGCCGAAGAATTTTCAGATTTAGTAGTCTCTCGTCCCAAAAGTATATGGATAACACCTGGTGAGTATCCAAACATCTCTGTTGCCCCCAATGCGTGGCTACCGCCCGTCGCCTCTCCACTTTCCAGATCATTTCTGGCAAAGCCCACGATCAATAATATTTAATCGTGTTGAAATTGATGCTCGTCCGGCCAATAGTCTTCCCTTGGCTGGCAGCTTCAAACTTCAGCACTCCATCCTGGGCGCCAAAGATGACTTTGAGCGTGTACTTAAGGAGATATACTCGCCACCCATCTATATATTTTGATGGGAACTCGTTCAAGTCGGCATTGGAAAAGTTAACCTCAATCTCACCAACTACATAACAATCTGCAGTGCGGTTAGATTTAAGCCAATTGCCCCAAGGTACATGGCAGAGACAAACCTGGATTTCCCCGCTCCGGAGCATCCGTCAGGTCACAAGCATATAGGGTTACTTGACGCTTCAGGCTGTTGAACTGATAGTGCGTGCGGGCCACAGGAACCATACATGTATAGTTCTCTGAATATTTCTCGCCCTGTTTGATGAGAGTTATTAGGAACGCCTCCAAAGAAAGTAGAAATGGAGCCAGACTGCCGTGAATCACCTTGCAAATCATCCATTTCATAATTCCGCCAACCATCTTTTCACCCGTGTACACATCGATAAAAGCTTCCGATTCAGCATCTATGCCATCTCGGAACGGGAGACCCCAACGAAAGCCGTAATGTCGGCGGCACTTCTTTGTCGTGGACCGGATTCCTTCAAGTCCGCGGAGAGCAGCTCCTTGGACAATAGTCGCTTGACTGGATAGATTAGTTAGTGTGACCTTGCAACTCCTCAACTGTAGATTATCCAGTTAGGCGACACCTACGGTTTATCAGGAACGGTAACAGCAATGTCCATAGATTCGAAGGATGAACGAAATTTCCTGCGAAGATACTCCGAATCGCCGAAACCACCAACCAAGATAATCCTCTAGTCACATCAGCCCCGAGAGCTGCTGGTGGGATCTGACCAAGCAAGTGAGTGGGTGGGGTATATGGGGTATCGGACGTACGTTGATGCGATGTCCTGTTGCTTTCCGGGCATCCTGAATTTGCTCTCGTACCAAGGAGAGGATTTGTTCAACCACGGGTTCAAAAACCGACTGCAGATCCTCACTAGGGTATATATCAGTGGTCTGCCCCCTGGAGCAGTTCTAAGGGTGTTTCCCCTACCTGGATAACAGAACAATTCGCTCTTCATCATCGAAATACTCAGGCTTCGCATGGGGTGCATTCATGTTGAGCGGGAGTTCAAATATTGTTGGATCGTTAGAATGTCCAAAGTCTTTCTTGATGACCTCAAATTTATTCATGAGCTCGCTGCCTGGGCCCTTTCGCTTCATTGGCAGGTTGTCGAATGCATCGCCGAATCGGTCCGACATGAGTTGGTAGAAATTTCGGTCGACTGCGGTCGATCCGCATTTGCCTCCTAGGACATATTAGATTCAAACAAAGTTCCCATAGAAGGTATCACTGCAATGACTTGCCGACGCCTGTGCACAACTCTTCAAATCCCAGAGTAGGCAAGGTTTGGAGAACAAGATAGGTAGTCAAGTCCTGAGATGTGTGAGAGATACTTTTTCAAACCGCCTTTTCCGATGCTTACCACTGTACCGCCTCCACAGTCACAAACTAGCACACCATCACCAGGCTACATAGGCTATGGTTAGATAGTAACATGCAATCCGGACAAATGACTCACCTTGACGAATCCACCAATTCCATTGGGGGTGGTGTACTTCTTCAACGAAGTAATGGCTGCTGCCTCCGGCTCACTGATTAGGAATATGTCGTCGTTTGGCCGGGTGCCAAATCCCGCTTGTCGAGCTGCATTGAGTGTTGCATTCTTCGCCTGGTCCGACCAAATAGCTGGCACTGTGAACCAGAACTCTAGGGGAGTGGTTCGTAGCGTGTCTTCTGTGATTTGCTTACCAATCCTCTGGAGGATGTGGTGGTAGACTTCGGACAAATAATCACTTACAACATCAGTTGCGCTTTTCCCCTCAGGCAACTTGAGAATACCGATGTCGGAGGCCTTTTCAAGCCCCGGGTCATCGTATTTGGAGAGAGGAGCATTTTGATCCAGAAGCAATTTTGTCCAAGAGAATGTAGTCATGCCTGGTAGCACCTGGTATCCCCATCGCTTGGTGCTAACGCGTTGATTATCATCAGGGTATGCAATGCGGGACGGCGCTTTCACGACTGCAGTGGTGTCCCTGGAGGTACCTGGCCAGATATCGATGACTGTAATATCATCCAGGCCTTTTCCTCTTGAACTGACGTAACTTGCTCCTTCAGTTCTTTATGTTAGCTACCATCGCGAGAAAGATGTCAGGGGAAGGGACAGACCAGTAAATGTAGTCCCGTAATCCACGCCCACAATAATCTTATTAGCTGAGTTCAGTCCCAGGGAGCCGAACTTGCTCAAGATTCTTGTCTCGGTATCAGGTGCCATAGTAGTCGAGGAACATCGAAGTTGCCAGAACTCTACTTCGACTTGTGGGTCCTATTTGTACAGTACATATATACAACACATTCTTAAGGGCCCAGATTTACGCAGTAATCACCTGCTTGGGCACATTGCATTAATCACAGTATTACCCCTCTCCTGTGTCACCAAATACAGGGGGTTGAGCAATGTTGGTCAACTATTTTTAGTTAACTACCAGGCTGTTAACCAATAGTTAACAGATTTAGCCATGTAGCCGCCCCGCGAGCTTAACTAAACCTGCATGGAAGGAGTTTGTGCACACGGGAGCAGGGCGCTTAGCTAGAATTCTGAAGCTGGGGTCCAATTAACCCTGGAGTACGGAGTCGTTGTAAGTCAACTTGCTCCCACTGATGTGGAAAAGGGTTTAAAGAAACACTCCACCCCCTGGGCAAACCTGTGAAACAAGCAAAACCACCAAAAGATACCATCATTCAACAAAGCACACTATCTCCATTGCAGAATCCTGGGTCCCACCAGAGAGTAGGTTGAAAATTCGCCGCATTACGTTGAATTATCCTTGGATACTGATGGTCCATTGTCTGCTCAGGAACGACCTACTATTGGTGGCAAAGATAACGACCGAAGAGCACAGCCTGGACATAAGCCGAGCTCGACAGGTCAGCCCTCAACAAATATGGGCTTTGTTAAACGAGTGTGTACCTTTGAACCCATGGACCTTCAAGTTCCCTGGGAAATGCTAATCTATATGACAGGTTTTTTCACGATCTGAAGTGGCACGTCCCGCATCCCATCCGCGTACAGAGCCCCCAGATGGCATAGAGGCTGAGCCACCCCGCCTTGAAGATCTGCCACCAAGGCAAGATGCCGAAGGGTTAGTAGATACGGGGCAGATGCAGGACAGGCCAACACAGAAAGAGGAAAAGCTTGCTTTGGAATTAAGCCGGAAAGAGGAAGAGATCAACCAAATCAAGCAGGACCGTGCAGTGTCACGGGAAAACATTCAGGCTCATATCAACGACATGGAGCAGTACTATGTTCGGGAATTACACAAACGCGACGGGATTATCAGAGAAATGAAAATTAGTCACGCCAATCTGAGGAAGGCGCATGAAGAGCTTGGGTCCCTAGTTGTTGGGGCACAGGAAAGTGCCCTTGAATCGATGTTGAAAAAGTCCGACTGGTCTCCCAAAGAGGATCCCCAAGTACACGAGGAGTTTGATAAGTTGCAAGCGGGGCTACGGACGTGGACAAAATCCCATAACAACCTAATTCTGGCAGATTTAGACAAAGTTCCAGACACAGGGAAAGAGATGATTATGAAGCAATTGGGTGGATACTGCAATCAGACTGATTGGCAGACATTAATTACGAAAATGCCAATCCGTTCAAACAGGATTCCGGCGATACTTCTCCAATCGTTGTTGGCCAGGGATATCTTTGAATGGGTGTTCACTAATCCATTCTTTGCTTTTGTGGAGATGGGAGGGGATCGCGCTTTGGTAAAGCCAAATGAATGGATGAGCCTTTATATGGCATTGAGAGAAGGTAATTCCCTGGTAACTAGATGGAGGTAAATGCGTTCAGGTGCTAATTAATACATTGGGTACCAAGTTCATGAGGCGGAAGCTCATGTCTGGCGCTCGCAAACCCTTCGAATTCTGTCCGCAGTGACAAATCCGAACACCGAATCTCGACTTGCTAGGTGCATTCGTCTGGCGGTAGATCAAAGAGCAACCAGTTTTCTCGCCAGCCCAGCCGCACAACTGCTCCAGCACGGCCCTAATCTCGAAATCAAAGACCAGTGCAGACGGAATCTACAGGAGTTGTATCATGGGGCGGCAGAGTTGGCGTTATCATTGTGGGCGCAACGGACATATATGAAGCCCTGCAGTCAGCAAAATTTACCTGAATTCCACTTATCCAACCCACAACTGTCTGCACATCGCCTGCACCACCTTGACGAGGACGACACACGACTGGATGGGAAACCCATACTTTTGTTCGTTCAGCCGGCTGTTCTGGCATATGGTAACGAGGACGCTGAAAACTATGACTGTTCCAAAGTATGGGCCCGAGCGACAGTTATCATCGATGCGGGATCCTAGTTAGGAGTAAGCCTGCATATATTTCTTTGCGTGTTTTCGTCAACCGCGATTGCATCGATACTAGTACTGAGAATGAGGGTGGTGGACTGTGAAAGACTTAATGCGTATCAGCATTTCAACCCGTAATTACCGGGATCTCCATTCCTCCCTGCAGCCCCAGTAAATCTGTTGTAGCTTTCCTGGAGCCTTGCACTGCAGGCCCTCTGTCTATTAATTGAATTTGAAACAAGTCAAAAAACTATTGGCTCATTCGACGTTCATGCATTGGTGCGGCATAACTCGGGGTTAGTTCAAGTGGATGAGATGATTCGCCGTCCTGCCATGGGATCTTCACCAATCATGCGAATCACAACGGGAGGCTCCACACCCAGCCGCGACACCCTTGCTAGTGTGTGTCTTGCCGCTGGAGCTACTGCATCTAAAAATGGCCAACCAGTCTACTTTGAGGGGTCCGGGAATGGTGGTGGGCTTTTCAGAGCGCTACAGGTGCGAGAGGGCTGCGCCGCATTTGCGGTTGACAAGCAGCTAACGCGTATAAAATAAGAAGACTGTCGTTCTTGTCCACTTTGCTTTCATCAACTCCAAAGTTATGTTGGTTCAGATGGATACGTTGTCCCCAGAGAAAGCACGGGAGATTGTCGAGGAGATTCGGATAAATAACGGAGGTCTTAGGGAAGAAGTCCAGAGGAGCCTGCACGCGGAGGCCCTGAGATCGATCAGAAACCTACAGTCTCTGGCTGGAGCATCGATTCGGCATGTCGCAGAGGATTTGTATGATGCAGACACCCGGTTCATCTTCGAACTAGTTCAGAACGCCGAGGACAGTCGTTATAGTCATGCTAAGAGTCAAGAGGAGGAACCGTTTATCTATTTCACCTTATATCCCGATCGAATTACCGTGGACACGAATGAGGATGGCTTTACCGAGAATGATGTGCGCGCAATATGCAGTATACACAAAAGCTCAAAGCGTCAGATAGGTGGGTACATCGGACATAAAGGCATTGGGTTCAAATCGGTTTTCAAGGTGGCACACAAGGTTCATATCCAATCTGGCCCTTTTTGCTTCTCATTCACGCACCGCAAGGGGGAAAGTGGGATGGGAATGATAACCCCTTTCAGTCAAGAGCCTGAAGATCTGCCTCCAAACGTAAAAACTCGGTTTACCCTATATTTCATACATCCCGAGGATTTCCAAATTCGCGAAGGCGAGTTAAAGGAGATTCCGGACACGTTATTACTGTTTTTGCGAAGGCTGTGCAGGATCGGAGTCAAAATCGAGCCCTCCGGGTTCCGGCTCTTATTCAAACGCGAACAGACTGAGCCAAATGGGCGCATTACATTGGTCAAAGAAGCAGGCGACGTGGTGAGTAAGCGCATTTATCACGTTGAGGGAGCTGAATTCGAGAATCTTCCGGAGCATGGTGATCAATCAGCTCAGACAACAGCGGAGGTCATACTCGCTTTCCCTGTCGATGATTCCCATCGTCCCATAATTGAACCTCAACATGTCTATTCCTTCCTGCCAATGCGTCAGGAAGGGTTTAAAGTAAATTGCTCATTCTCATTAGCTCTTAGTGGACAGTTAACGGTTACTAACTGCAACAGTTCCTCATACAATCGGATTTTATCACCACAGCAAATCGTCAAGGTGTTCACCTCTGCCCCCGAAATTATGCAATCCGCGAGCGTATCAGCCTTATATTTGTACAGGCTGTTTATAACTTCTGCAAAAATGCAACCTTGAAATACGAATGGCTCCAGTATCTGCCAGGGCCATCCATTCCAGATCCTTTCTGGGCTACACTTCGTGAAATGATATTAGAAAGTCTAAGCGAATCAAAGATTCTCCTAACCCGCAACGGTGCTCTTGATTGCCCAAAATCACTTCAGCACCCCTCTTCTCGGCATTGTGATCGTCATGGTCAGCCGCTTTTGGATGATATCGCCCCTGAAGTCTACATGTCAGAGGGATACAATTGGCGCGGACATTCTGAGCTTTTAACTGAGCTCGGGGTGACCAACCTATCCTTCAAAAATATTCTGGACCGCTTAGATCCGTACCTGGTAGGGTCAACGCCTCGACTTTTCGATGTCAGTTTGGACGATGACTGGCATGCCAGGCTCGCGAGTCTTCTTCTTCGGGGTTTGAGTATGTATGGTACTCGGATTAGAGAGCGAGTTGAGGGTATGGCTCTCATTCCTAGTTCTTGCGGAGTCCTGTTGTCAGCGTCCTCGGGTGATATTCATTTCCCTGTAGATGACCAAGGACGTGCCATTCCAGATGACCTGACACTCAAAACTGTGGATGTCAAAATCTCTCAGGATACACCGCGATGGAGACTCTTTGAGGCCTTAGGAGTATCATCTTGCTCGTCACAAAAAGTTGTCAGCTCAATTCTCCGAAGGTATAACTCACCAGTCGGCGTGACGCTGAGGCATTCCGTCGATCACTTGAAATACCTCTTTTGGGTGGGTAGTCAGGAAATCCTCGACAAACGTATTTTCGTGATGGATCAGATGGAACGACGGGTGTATCGAGCCTTCGTAACGTTTGGTGTTCACATCATATGGGATGATGTCTATTTTGCTACGGATGGCGAATATGGCACCAAAAAGCTGTCGCAGAAGCTTCGACGCAGATCTAATCAGCAAAACAGCTTCCCAGATGAGATATATATCATTCATGATGCGTACTTGGGTGCCATTCCACCTAGCGCCTGCCCCCATGGTCTCACTTGGGAGAGGTGGCTACAAGTTAGGGCAGGCGTTCGTCGTGTCCCGAAGCTGTTTGATCCTTTCCAAGGCCGACTCTTCCCTCTCGGCCAGCACTTTTTGGACTATCATCCAACGACATTCATAGGGATTTTGAAGACATATTGGTCTAGTTACAACCGAGAAATGGCAAGTAACATCATCAGAGTGTTAAAAAGTATGCTGGTGCCTGGCCGATATACGCAAGAGCGATTCCCCCTTTGTCGTCAATATTATCCCTCCAACCAGCTACTAGATCTATGCTCTCGGGCAGGGGTTACTGATAACTTTGCCCACATTCTTAAAGTTCCAGCTGACCTGGTCACTGACACAAGCGATGAGTGGGAATTTCTATCCACTTTTAGAGTTGGGCTACAGCCAGATATAAGATTCTTCCGTTATATATTCTCTTCGCTCACAGCTGGCCAGACTGTAAATGCTCAGAGGATAGAAGGGTTGTTTAGGATGTATGAAGAGCTCTCGATTCGCTTCCCCACTGATGTTGACGCTATAAAACGGTACGTACTCTGATCTAAAGCACTTCCATTTCGACAATTAACGGAGACATGCAGGGAAATATTCGATAAAACCGTTGCGGTTTGTATCCCTAAGACGCGGATAGATACTGCGGAGCTTGCGCCCCTATCAAACTGTGTCTGGGAGGGAAACCAATGTCTTCGTACCTGCCACGCTCTGGCTCTTTTCCCGGAGTATACCGAGAATAGGCACATAACTTATCTCTTCCGGGATATGCTCAAGTTGCCTAGTGCTAGCCTTATCACTTATCTATATGAACTCGGGAACCGAAAGGAGGAGGGCCATGAGGACGATCTTTGCGTTATATATGATATGATCTCTCAACTGGCAATAAGTCCCAATGAACGCGGATTAGTACTGTACGCACTCACACTACTCAGGCTCTCGAAGCATGTTACGGCTAATTCATTTCATAGGGATACCATTCGTACCGATAAACTAATATATATATCTTCAGGGCAGCTTTGGGTGGGACCAGAATCCTGTGTGTGGGCTGAGGCACCCATAATTGGTGGAAAGTATGGTATCAGCGCTGCTTATTCACAGCATCAAGCCCTTTTCCAAGGTCTACTGGATATTCAAGTTCCTACAATAAATAATTATGTAGCGCAACTCAAGATGCTGGCGTCAGACGCCACCAGCCGAGCGAGTGATTTTAAAACCGCGATGTACAGTATCCATTCAATGTGTCCCAAAGCTGGAGATATTGAAGATCTTAGAGACTTGCAATTTTTACCGGTGCAAATGCCGAATGGCAACATTGAAATATTGAGGCCTGTTGATACTTTCTTTTTCTCAGACACGCTCGAGTACCAGTCTACATTTCATGGAAAAGCACCTTTGCTGAAAATTTCCCTTGAGGAACATCGAAAATTGCATCGAGTTTTGGAAGCTCTGGGCTTGGAAGACCGGTACATATCTACAATTGTGGAGGAAAGGGTTGTAGTAGAACAGATGGAACCAGAGCCGTCCCGTCAAGAAACCAGATTTTTCCAAAGAAAGGCAAAGCATCTTTACCGGTAGGTACAAACATTCAAAACCGTTTTGGGACCTGCTAACCGAAATTCTAAACAGTTGTGCTCTCCACTATAACCCAGAAATTGAAGACAACAAATTCCCCAATCTTCGTCAGCAGCTACAACGTGCGGCTGTCCATGAAAGCAGTGGATTTAAGAGAATTTTGGTTCTGCAACTGAAAGAGTTCACCGTCACAGCAGATTGTGACAATGGCTTGGTCCACATTGAGAACTACAACAACATGTTGCGCATCCATGTCCCGAGGGATCCGAATGATCGCAAACAATGCTACTTATCCCACCTCCCTAACACATTGGCGCGCTTTTTGGGGTTGAAAGACCGGGAGGCGCGCTTAACCTTTCAACTAGTCTTCCTATCTCATGGAAGCAGCATCGAAAGTCTGTTAGACTGCAATGGCATAGCTGCAGCACCGGTTGAAGACCTCCCTAGTGTCGGGTCTGACGCTTCAGATGATTCGGAGCCGTTGGCTTTATCAGGCGACACCGTCTCCGAGGATGGTGAGGTTGAAGACACACCTGTAAGGGTTCATACTCCACCATCAAGCTCAGAAACTGCTCTTGAAGTAAGCTCGATTCTGGGATCCGAGAACTTTGAACTCGGGCATAGGTCACGCCAGCCAAGCTATCAAGTTGAAACGGCTGGTGTGTTTGTTACAAGTCGTCAGGCATCAGCACGTTCGATCAGACCTTTCACCGCACCCGCCCGCCCTCTAGCTTTTCCAGATGACGGCGCTGAGCCTGTTCCTCCCGTGACCCAATTCGTGCGGTTACTCTGCGATGTCATTAGGCTAGGTCGTCAAGCGACTCTTCCACAAGCTTCTCAGGTCCCAACGAATGCGTCCAATGGTGACAGGAATACAACCACTGGATGGCCCTTTGGGGTGCGATCAGAGAATCAACTCGCGCATGACATTAAGATCGGTGCCGCAGGCGAGTTATATGTCTGTCTCACCTCAGAATCTTCTCTTGCACAACTATTAAATACATCGCTAACGACTTCTAGGTTTTCGAGCTTCTTCAAACGCTCAATCTTCCCGGCTTCGGCCGCCACAATTGGAAGAGCACTATCCGCAGAGAAGTCACTGTTCATCCAGACTACCAAGACCTTGCCCCTTGGAATGGCTCTGAAACTGCGGATCTTGTGTTTGACGATTCGAGCTCTGCGCTCACCTTGCTTCTCATCCGCGCGGGATACCTACCCCGAGACTCATGGAGAGGAGCTAGACCGACATATTATATAGAAGTCAAGACGACGACAGGGGAAAATAACACCCGGTTCTTTATGAGTAAAAGCCAATACCGAAGAGTAAGTCTGTTGCCTGCAGTATTTTGAGTGATACGAGGACTAATTTGTCAACGATGCAGATGCAAAGAATGCAGATAGAAGTTGCTGGAGAGCCAAATGACGAGATCTATATGATTTTCCGGGTCTACCATCTTGACAAGGAGAGTATAGGCGTTCAGATTTACTTAGACCCAGAGAGTCTACGACAAGAAGGACGGCTTATCTTCACGGCTGAATCCTACAGTGTTGTCCCTGGTCAGCTTTGAGTTTTGGAATATTTTCATGTTTGGATCTTGTTGTGCAGGAAATTCAACCATGCTTCTAGACTGGCAGCTGAATGTTTCTGGCAGGTATCCAGAAAGCAAGGATGAGAGTCATGAAGGCAAAAAAGAATTTTCTCTTATTTGATCTTGTACTTGTATCTAATTAAAGCAGTACAGAGACCAAATTCATAACTTTCGGCGTAAGTATTTTCCCGACCACGGTCTTCTCAAAATCTGTTTTGAGAGATGTATGATTTATCATCATTCCTACATCTTATATTTTGGATATTTTCAAGGAGATAGTTACACTCAATATATATGCCATCTTTTCCCATACGGTTCAATAAGATTGTACTGTACGAATTAGTCAAAAACACTGGACATAGCCAAGCTTCGCCCCTTGAGGATGCCAGCGCTTCAGTGGCACTTGCGAGATGACAAAACGTCTGTACTCTCTATCAAGCTTTACAAATGCTAGTGCTTAGGAAACTCCTACATGATAATATATCAATAGCAAATAGTTAGCAGAACTACATACTCCTGCTGTAGTACCTTTGGATGGCGCTTGGCCAGGTGTCATTATCAAAAAGAGTTTGTTCCGGGGTTCCAAATTAGACTTAGTGAACATCATATGAATTTGTGATTGGCTCTGAATTTTAGTAAACTTGGCAGACAATTACAGTAGTTCAAAATAGGTTAGCGTCCCGACTGGAGTGGCTGAATTAAGGTTGGGGTCTGATATCATGTGACATTAGCTCTGAAGAGCTTTGATCTTCAACTCCCAATTGCATGTTGAGCTACAATATCGATGCGAGCGCCTCACCAACATCTCCTCCATCCTGCTACACAGTATCCGTGCGACAACATGGATACTGCCATCGACTTGTCCAATGCGTCCAAGGCACTGGATCTTGAAAACATTAGATTCCAGTTAATGTGAGTCAAAATTATCCGTCAATCTCTGCCCATCGATCTATTATCAACGTTGATAGTTCTCGAAAAATTGAAAATGGGGGAGAGGGCGGGAATAAACAGAGAGAATGAATACATTGAGCAACCCAAATGGCACACATCTAACACAAATCCTGTCCCCTTCCAGCCGTCTCGAAGACACCATAACGTTCCACCTAATCGAGCGGGTTCAATTCCCCCTCAACCAACCCATCTATGTCCCTGGCGGCGTTAGAATCCCAGATTCAGACCTCAGTCTTATGGACTATCTCCTAAGAGAACAAGAGCGCCTCCAGTCACGCGTGCGCCGCTACCAGTCTCCTGACGAATATCCTTTCTTCCCAGACGCCCTCGAGGAGCCTATCCTCCAGCCCCTCAATTACCCCAAGATCCTCCACCCCAACGACGTAAACGTCAACGACATCATCAAGGCGCGATACATCAATGACATCCTGCCCAACGCCTGCCGGAAATTCGACCGCGAGGACCGTGGCGAGGCACAGGAGAACTACGGCTCGTCAGCTACGTGCGATGTCAATTGTCTGCAGGCTCTGTCAAGACGAATACACTTCGGGAAGTTTGTGGCGGAGTCGAAGTTCCGGATGGACCCTGAGAAGTTTGTGAAATTGATCAAGGCGAATGATCGCAAGGGGCTTGACGAGGCGATTACCAACGTCGCGGTGGAGAGGAAAGTGCTGGAACGGCTAAGGCTGAAGGCGAAGACATACGGGAGAGATCCTGCGGGTCCTGCAACACCCAATGGGAGCAACGAGAAGATCAATGTTGAAGCGGTTGTGGCTATGTATAAGGTAGGGTTTTTTTTTTTTTTTTTTTTCTTTTTTTTTTTTTTTGATTGGTCTTTCCTTTCATTCCCTTTCCCATTCCCATGCGATTACTTATATGGTTTGATTCTGGGAACTAAAGGAAAGAATGTGCGACAGGACAACGTGATTCCCTTGACGAAGCTCGTGGAGGTGGAGTATCTAATGCAGCGTCTGCATGGCACCGAGTGGGAGTAATCGCAAATAAATGCATGAGAGCAAAAGCAGAGCTCGAGTATGGTGCAATGACTTTTTTCGGGCAATCCACTTCTTTACGAGCAAGATAGATAATGAACTAGAGAAACACAGATTAATATGCCAAAGACAAACCATCAGATGAAAATTCTCATTTTTATACTTCTTCAAGAGGAGGGATTCAGGTACTCCTTTAGATCGGCCACAGCCGCCTCAAACCTCGCAGCTTCTATTAAAATCAAATGTCCCTTCGGACGCACCCCATAGTCATGAAATGCCCGTTTGGAATCCGACGCCCCCTCTTCTTGCTGGCGGGAATACTGGTAACCTCCATAACATAAGGCGTGTTTCTGCAACAACTCATCTTCCGCGTGGAAGTAGAATATATCGTTTCTCTCTTCTGCAGCTTTTTTCTTCTTCTTTTGTGGCCGGTCCTCCTCCTCATCTAGTTTCGATTTGACTTCTTCGTACGTCCTTGATAGGATTAGGTAATGTGTGAAGTTGTAGGGTTCGTTCGCTTCAAGGGCCCAGGCGATCTCCTCCAGAAGCATGGTGTACATTGGTGAGACGACTTCGGCGGGTATGTTGATTAGTCGTTCTGTCAATATCAGCCCGATCGCTGGTACGCTTGGTTGTGATAAGAGGTTGTCTAAGTGGGAGAGTAGGGAAGAGGAGGCGGATTTTCGTTGAAGGTAGCTTGTTAGGTCTTGTATAACTGGTACATCCTGTATCAGCCGGCAAGTACATGTACATATATCAAGTTAGCCATAGCAATGAATTAGGTAGCCAAGCGCGTTCGGGATATGTATATACCTTATGTTGCTGCAGATTCAACACAGTAAGGAATGCAAACGGATCACTTTCATTGCCATCAACCTTCACCGTCGAGCCCAAAAGTGGTTGCGACAGTATCAGATCAGTCAATGCAGAGAGGTCAAATAGTTGCGCATCGTTGTCCAGGAGCTGGCGCAGTAGATTTCGGAGACCGTGGAAATCTACTGCTGGTTGTGGATCGAACCACTCAAAATCAACGTTCACCATATCCATCTCCTATCGCAATTACCCGGGAGCATCAGTTAGCTAAAAAGTTGGTCCAATGCGATTTTCGAACGGGGGTTCAGTTGACGGGGTAAAATAAATATTACTTCATCGCTACTGCTATCGTCATTTTCGCCCAGGGCGCCGGTTGTGTTGGCCATTTCCACGTCGCCATCTTTCAATTGCTTCCGCTTGCCCATTTCAAGGTAATTATTTGTTTAGGATTTATTTTGAAAGAAATGTGCTGAGCAGGGAGATGTTGTTATATCTATGTCTGGCTCATACCAACAACGTTTCAAAAAATAAAAATCCATATGATCCAATTATACACTAAGCCGCAATTGACCTAGTGCGTCATTCGTGGACTGGTCTTAGGTAATCCTTTCGGGCCGAGCCAAGCCCCTCGTTTCATCAACATCCGGTTGCTCTACGATCATTGATACATCAACAAGTCTTGACAGAATACAGGTCTGGTTCCCTGACGCTTGAGACACTGCCAAATCTTCCAAATCCGAATTGATCGAAAAATGGCCTCTCTGATTGTATTGTCAGTCGAACTCCTGCTTAAAATTTTCAAGCCCTTAGGCCCATTGAAGACGTGCTGTATCTTGCTTGATCTTGCTTGTGTTTCTTGAGAATTTATATCAAGTTCTTGTCAGCGGGCAGATAAGTGTGAATGTGTCTAGAACTGCAATTGCGTGTGACTCAACGTGTTTTCCTTCTATATAATGTCTGGCGGCAATGCTACTATGATTATCAGACTGGCACCCACTGTCACAAGTATGACTTAACGGTCTGGTGCATTTTCAAGGCGCCCTTCAGAGACTCTACATTCAAATTGGAGTCTCGCTCTACGCCGCATCACTAATACCTGCCACTGCCAATATGTGAAACACTGTCGAACGGCAAGTGGGTGTGTATGCTGTGTATCACTGGCAGAACTTAAAGGAGCTCAAGATTACAATCATAACTTGATCCATCCATTGATTCCGCATTTTTAATTCCAGACTCCCTTCTCCAAGAAGTCCAGGTGAATTCCTCACCCGTTCCCATTTCAACAGGAGCATGTTATGAGTTGCCTGCCGTCAGCCTTATCAGTGTGCATGCAGGCAAGGACCCTTCCCCACCGATCACTTCTATCGGCCCTTCACCATGCTAGCTTATATATGAGACACCGTTCCACTGGGCTCAGGCAATGGCGTAACGTACAGTCATACGTCCATCCGGTCATTGGCAAAATCAGGTCCAGATAACATGGGAATTCGGTTACAACAGAACCTGCGAGGAATTCTTGAATCTTATTTGGGATTGTTGATTTTCTATGGCATCTGGCGTTAAAATTTATTGATTGGCAAAATTCATATCGGGTTCAGGGTGACTTGAAGAAGCTTAGTCTGGTTTAGCGACGCTGCTCTCCGATTTTTGAACTTACTGCAAGTACTGGAACTGTTCATATGGTTGACATGGAACAATAGCCAAACAGGCTTTTGATGTTTTCATATGAATTGAATCTCTAACATGAAAGCGGCATTGTCTTAATCGTGAGCAATTCCTGGTCACCAGACGAGCTCGTGGACCCGTCAACATTAGATGCTCGATGAGGTCTGTTTGTATTTTCAAACACCATGTTGAGCTTATTCAACGCATTTATGATGCAGTTGAATCTTTCTCCGGCATTGAAACTTATGGAAACTCCGTCTCAGCATCCACAATCATTAGCCAATCCTAGGGACTTAATCGCAACATACCATGCCATCATCAGCACCCACAACGACCGCGCCGTTTTTTCTGCAGCCTTTTCTTGTCTCATGTGATGCTCTTGTTGTCGCATCCGTGTTTGCTGCTCTACATCTGCTTTTAACTGATCGTAAATTGATTAGCTCAGTCGCCCCAAGGCCGGTAGCTTCATGTTACTCCACAAGCCTATACGCCTCCAATCTATGAGTGATATCTCAATTGTCGGACACTATCGGATCAGAAGTGAAAGGAAGATTTTCAGTGGTTAAGCCCAAGACCGTGGAAAGAAGGTAGATTTCTTCTCCATACCAGCAAATTGAGACCATTTTCAAATATCAATCTCTCATATCCTCGTATGGCTGCTCGTCAAACAGAACCTATCTAGGTAACTGCCATAGCCGTTCCCCAGATGTATTTTCGCTGGGCAACGTTGCTTTCCAAGGTTATGTTATAAACCCACGTGATTGGCCAAACTGTGAGAGGGTTGAACCTTAGTTGGTTGTTTATCTATCTAGTGGCGAGCTAATATATGTGTGTGGGTCACGTGGGATAGGGCTTGTGTAGTAGCTCCAACACAAACTTCCGGGAGAGATGATATCATCAACCCAGACAATGGAGGATATCCCCTTCCTACACCTGACCTTGAACAGGTTATATTGTCGACACTAAAACATCTTTGGGGGTATTCTGCCTCGAAGGGAAAATAAGAACAAGAAAAAGAAAGGGAAAAAAATACGAAAACGAAAAATCTGCCCAGCCCCAAAATACCATCGTTGTGATCCTTGCATCAGGAGCTCTGAATCGAACCTACCCCAGCCGGCTACAAAGATACTAATAAAAAAAACAAAAATAAAACAATGACCGGGAACTCCTCCAAGGTCGGCACCCGCGGACTTTACGCGATCGGGGACCAGACGAATTCTCCTCGGTCCGAAGCCATGGAAGCGAAGCGAAACAGAGACCACCCTCCTCTATCCAGCCGCAGAGGTAGTCGGCATTTGAAAGAACAGTACTTGGCCAAGAATGGCTCGACGCTCACGGACGAAGACTTAGCTAAGCTTGACCCTACTGCTCCAGTGAGCCTTTTTTTTTTCCCTCGTTCAATCCTTAGAGTCTCCTTTGGGAGTTGCGAGGTTGAATCTGGGAAAGCGGGGGAAATGGTGAGGGACGCGGCTTGATGTGGAAAATCCCTTTCGAGGCTATGATGTGTTACTATAAGGCGTATAATCCTACGTATAGATGTTCAACCCATATTTCTTAAACTCTATCCACCATCCACTGACAACATAATTTCAATTCCTAGGCGAAGATGCACGGCCATAAGCCGTCTCGCGGTGCAATAATCGATGCCGAGCTTCGTGCTGAGGACGAGGAGCGTCTGCGTCAAAAAGGTTACAAGTAAAGCTCGTTCTCGAGACGCGTTACTTTGGGTGACGACTCTTGTTGCTCACGCTGGGACAGAAATGGTGGCTGGCTGGCTAAGTGTGGGACCAGGTGGAAAATAGCATCTTCCGCGTGTTGGGATTTCCCCTTATCTATTGTTTCCGGGGATTACGAACGCAAGCGGATGGTGTATGGTTGTTTCTAAATTGCATTGAGGCTTTGATGTTTACCGAGATGTTTTATGTATATGAACATGGTATCAACTTTATCATCCACAAGCACATTTGCCACAGTTGAACAATACATACCATGCATACAGAGCTGAGAAGGAAAGTCCTTGCCACTAGAACTTTCTGTGGTAAATTTTCTACCTAGCTTTACCAGAATTTGTTTGGGACCCAGGATTGACGTTTCCATTTGACTGTCTTCTGCTCCACACTCTGTATAGTCACATAATTTTAAAAATTCAGTGCCTCAGATACATCGATCGGAAATGTCTTCAGAGTACATAATCCACGTCCATTCCTTATAGATGTAAAGAAGAAGACGACGAAGAAGAGTTAGTCCAGTAAAGTCGTAGGTATGATTTACAAGATATTTTTCCAATCTGCCCGCAGAACTTCGCCCTGTGTGATCTTGAACTTCGATTCTCGCCCCACATACAGAGTGTGGAGAAGAGGAGCCAAAAAAAATGTATGGTTCCCCCCATTTATGGTCAGGTCATTGTTTGGATGAGCGAATGAACAATACATATCTCCATTAACCACCGCCTATGATGGACATGCATAGATGAAGGCGAAGTCGGGAAAATTCTATTTTTTCTTCTTCCTCCCCTCCTCTTGATGGTGACGAAGTATAATACTCTAACTATGGAGGGTAAGGTAAGTGTTCGAGTTTATCTCCAGGACCTCCTACTGAATTTTCACTGATGCATTTTTTGATTTCCGTTGGCAAATCGAAAGCTATCTAGATATCTACACATATAACTACAGTACATTAATATCCACACAAACCACATCTAGGCGTTCAGCATCGATCCCACTCCAGGACCGTTTGTCCTTGAATACAACTCACCCAGAGTTCTCAGATTGACTAGAGGCTAGGTCTCATATACATTCCATACGGTGGAGTTTGCTGCCCATGGGGCCCTTACAAAATCTCCAATAGTTACGGAGCTACCTCCAAGAAGATAGCCAAACAGCTCCCCTGCATACAAAATCGTTAGCTTACCTTTCTCCCTTTTTGGAAAAAGAAGGGAAAAAAAACTTCGAAATGGTAAAAGTAAAAAATAAAGACAGTCTTTTGTCTCTCAAAGGCAGCATTTCAGTAAGTAAAAGTTTTAGGACGTTTAACTGTTATTCCTTACCGGTGTCAAAACCTCGAAAGGAGAAGAAAGCTGTGCATCTTGGAAGACTGCTGCATTCACCCTGCAGATAAGATACCCAAGTGGAGGCATGGGTTCCATTATCTGGTTCTTCATACCCTGCGAGGACGCGGCTGGGGAACAAACCAGGACCTCCCACCCAATTCTGGGGATCCTCCAACATCAGCTCAACATAGTGCTTCCCAGAGACAACCCCAGCCCAGGTGAGAAGGGCGACTGCCAGCGCTGTTGGCTTCATTTAAACTTTTCTTTCCTTTTCCGTTTTGCTTTCTCTAGCCATGGGTTGATTTTCCTGGAGGGGGAAGATGAGCGGGGGGTAGGAGAAGGGATGGAGGGAAACATCCTGGGGAATTCAGCGCCTTTTTGTATCGAGAAACAATAGCTGATGCCTCCTTGTCCCGGAGTACAGGAGAAACTAGCAGGAAGGCAAACTGACAAATCAAGGGTGGAGAGATCCTGCATTTCGCATTTCGCATTTCGCAGGAAGTAAAGCAAGTCGATGCTTTGCAGGAATAAAGTATCAATCAATAAATGGAAAACAATTAGTTCGGGCTTCCGGGGCGGAAGAGTTCCAAGTTCCATCGATGGAATCTTCAATCGTCCCAAAGACCATGCATTGGTTCATCGTGGTTGGTGCGGAATTTGATTTGGTTCAACCATTTCTGGGCCCGCGATCCGCGATTCCCTCTTGGCATCTGGTTGAATGTTGATGAGAAGATTGTCTCATGGCTTCATCAGATATAGTCTATTTATTGCTATGGCTGGCGATGAAGTTGGGGATCTGTCGAGGAACAGAAATAGAAACTGTGAGAATGCATTCTCAGAAAGAAATTGTGCCCAGCCAGCATTTGCATGAAGATAGTTAACTAACTACCGGTAGCTCACCAACTAGCAGAATACGGGATGATAAGGTTTCCAAGGAGAGGGAAAAGGGACTAAACTCAATCTATAAGTTACCGACTTCGAACCACGTTGATCTAGGCCACCGGGGCAAGGAAGCTCAGTGACCACCAGCGCTTACTGGGCGGAGAGCCATCCAATCCAGTCCCTCTAGCCACGTTGAAGGGTAAGCAGATGCCATGGGGCAGGAAATTTGGACCGAATACAGGGCTTCCAGAGTATTATGGGTGGGGATGTTCTGACCAATAACATATCATACAACTTAGTATGGTTTATTATTCGTTGTGACTTTCGTTTACATTCCCCACATGCAACTCACCTTGAACCTCCCCCCATTATTGAGCGAACTTTTGCACCCCCAGAAGCGCGGACCTTAGCCCTGTCAATTACGCGAGGGTCCTCGCCCATTCATTCAGACAGGTGTGCCAACCGAATCCGGTTTTTCGTTTGACACAAGCGCAGAGGAGAGGGGGAAGAGGGGGGTTGTTTACCGACTTTGCTTGCGCTGCATATGCAAGTTCATTTCTCTCCTCCCCGTTACTGAATAATAGTGACCTGGACTGAGGTGCTCTGTCAGAGGTTCTCACCGCTATGCAATGCATGCCTTTGTCTGGGTTCCAAGAAGTTCCTCGCTCCCTAGCTCTCTGAAATGCTAGACCGCCAGCAGCAGTTGGGAATATGTATAATCCTGGTCGGATAACCCGAATGTTCCGCCGACTCTCGCTTCTCACAGCGCCACTGATTCTTCTCCTTCGGCGGCGGCCCGTAGTTGCCGAATGCCTTTGATTGTGGGGGTGGGGGAGCGTGCCGGATGGCTTCCGCGAGCGAGAGTGACATCCCATAACTCGTAAAAAGGTCATACTGCGTGCAGTTGCACGCCAAGCATGCGCAATGCCTAACTGAGATCAGTGACCGCGTAAAGTGCGCAGGACCCATGATTGTTACTGGCTAATCTCCGACCTTCAGGATGCCAGGATATGATTGAATGTTGCGTTAGCAAACAAGCGCTAAAACCGGGGCGAAGTTGTCGAACCCAGGAGATATATAGTGCTACCTCTGCGGCCAGGGTTGCGCAACAGAACCCATGAGCTATCGGCCTAACAACCATCTTGGGACTCTAGAATCATAGTGTGCTCAAGTTGGTATGTTGCTGGTGTCTTAATTTAAGCTAGTTAAATTTCCGCTGATCATTGATTTTTCTTTTAAAGCAGACGCATTAGAGGAGCGGCAATCATCCACTTAACTTTGCTTGACCGTTTAACTTCGCATCTCACATTCATTGTGCGGTGTCTAAGCGCGTCGCCTCCGAGCCAGTCTTCGAGATGTTCAAGGAAAAGGAAGCGGAGGTCAATGTGACGTCTGACACCGAAGAAAACGAAGTCTTTAAAAAGACAACGGACGGTGTCAACTTCCGGAACGTCGGATGGTTCAAGGCTTGCATCATCTTCACGAAGGTCATATTTGCAACTGGTGTTTTATCAATTCCGTCTGCTCTCTACTCGCTGGGGGCGGTGGGCGGAGCAATCAGCATTGTAGCATGGGGCGCCTTCAACACATACTGTTTTGTGATTCTTGGGGGTTTTCGTGAGAGACATCCCGGATGTCACTCAATCGCCGATATGGTATTGGTCACTGGTGGCCCTATTGCGAAAGAAATCACTGGCATCCTGTTTATCATTGCCTATGTTCTCTGTGCGGGCACTGGAATCATTGGCGTGGCTACGGGTCTAAATGCACTCTCCCACCATGGAGCTTGTACCGTGTGGTGGTCCTTTCTTGCCGCAGTGGTGATCGTTCTTACGGCGTCAGTCCGGAAACTCGAACACGTTGGGTGGCTCACATACGCCGGGTTTTCTTCGATTTATATTGCAGTTTTCATAGTCGTGGTTGGAGTCACCCAGCTTTCCCGACCGGCTGCGGCCCCTCAAACTGGGCCGTATGACTTGGGATATCACGCCTTTAACAACCCTGGGTACGCCGCCGGTATGGTTGCATCTAGCACTATCTTCGTCTCCTCCGCAGGCACAAGTGCTTTTCTGCCCATCATTTCGGAGATGCGCAACCCGAGGGACTACAAAAAGGCTCTTTACCTTTGCATGGGCGGCGTTACTGCCTCATATCTCTGTTTTAGTGTGGTAGTCTATCGTTGGTGCGGAAAATGGGTTGCTAATCCTTCATTGGGCGTAAGTGCTTCATCCACCTGCCTCATACTAGGGGCAGAAGAAGAAGAAGAAGAAGAAGAAGAAGAAAGTAATTGACCGTTTTTACAGAGCGCAGGACAAACAGTCAAAATGATCTCGTACGGCATTGCATTGATAGGACTTGTTGTGAGCGGTTGCCTCTATTTGCATGTAGGTTTTTTTTCCCCTCCTCTCACAGTTCCTATTTTTGATATATGCCTAACCGCTTCTCCCTAGATCGCCGCAAAGTATCTCTTTGTCCGACTGCTTCGAAACACCCAACACTTGCAAGCCAACACATTTGTCCATTGGTCGACATGGTTCGGCTGCACGATTGTCCTTGGTACCCTTTCGTTTATCATTGCAGAGGCCATTCCGATCTTCAACTACTTGGTCGCCCTACTGGGCTCACTCTGTTTCGCACCCCTGGCCATGATCATTCCTGGTTGGCTGTGGCTTTTCGATCACGGTGACTACAGAAAGGGCACTATTCGCCAGAAGACCATTTACTTGCTCCACGTTGGCCTGATTCTCCTAGGCCTTTTCTTTTTTATCGGGGCGACGTACGGGGTTATTTTGCAAATTATTGACGCATATGCGTCGGGACTCATTGGTACGTCTGCGTCAAGTTGTCCGGCTTTTTTATTTCAAGATCGAGGGAACAGAAGCTGACGAGCTATTGATTTTAGGATCTGCGTTTTCTTGTGCCGACAACTCCAATTCGTCCTAGACTGGGTATGGGATTGTTGCTGGGAGGGTGTTTTCACCGTCCGTCTAGTGTATATGGTAGACGGGATGGGATTATCGTAATTGGCAATTAATTTGAACAATATGAAGCAATTTTAGTAATAATTGAGTGACAAAAATTTCCATCGCCCTTTGTGCCGTGGTTAGAAAATAGAAAATTAAATTTCCTTCCCCTGGCATACTGAGCATCAAAATATTAGGCCACTAGGGCAAAAGAGCTCAATCGCCACCAGCGCCATGGTGTGGTCTAGAGGGGACGAATCACCCAATCCAACCCCTCCAACACAAAATGACCGGGCAGAGTTAGTTAGTTGCACGTGGGAATTTTCAACCACAGCAAATGCCGAGCACCAAAATGGTTAGAGCTGCATTTATTTGTTCACTTAATATCTCCATACAAGGACTCGGGTACATAAATTGGCCAAGTCGCCAACATTATCGCAAAAATAGCAAAACACCAGAGCTGTATCCACCGGCTCAGTAATAATCACCGAGAATGCTAGAGAGCAATAAACCAAATACGCCTTGCATTATCGTTCACCGATGTTTCTTTAAATTGGCTCAACTATACGCAGCAGACTTGTTGTCTTCAGGGAGTCGGCTCATATCTATCATTGTATATAATCCATTAAAAAAATAAAAATAACAATAGAAAAAAAATAATCCCTAATATTTTTCCCTTTCGCCTGTAACCACAACATGAACACTTTTGTGGATTCCGCCATGATTCATTGTATTCTCTCGAGAACAGTTGCTCGCGCCCGAGTCTTCAACAGCTGACTGCGTTGTGGCCGCTTCTACGGTGCAGATTAACTCTGCTTGATCTGGCGATAGATTCGGATAATCGCGATTTCGGGGGGGGAATTTCGCATTCGCTGAGATTTTCTGCCAGCTGGAGAGTTCGTAACTTTGGGCGGGGCTCTGGTGGACTTCGCTTGAGCTCTTCTTGCGATAGGTATAAAAGGAGCTTATGACTGGCAAACAGGCACAGATCAAGCCAATGCCAGCCTCCGCGTTGCTGAATCAAACATCATTAGTAAGTAAATGTAAAAAGAATAAGATTCGAGGATAAGGCAGATCCGATAAAATATTTCCCCTCCCCTAAAATAATGCTTACCCAGTGAGCACGATTCGAATAAAGACGATAGTGAAATTGGGTGAAGCGCCTTGCTCAACCATTATGACAAGCCTCCAAACGCTGAACGCGGTGGCAACACCTCCGGCTCCCAAGATGCCAATAACCCGCAGTTTCTTGGTTTTTCTAATGTGAAGGCTCCACGTCAACGGCAATGGTAGGACGAGAATTGCGAAGTCGCTGACCATACTGATGACCGCGTCTGCAGTAATCAAGTTTTGTTGGTTTAAGCATTTGGCTCCGCTTGCGGCACCTTCCCAGTAGCCCGAGATGGGTATACAAAAGAAAATCTTCAAAAAGATAGCTGGAATATAATATAACAGGAGTACTCCCAAGATTATGTAGACGCCGAGAACCTTCTTGCGATCTGGATTGAAGATTCGGATGACGATGGCTAGCAGTGCCACCTTCACAGAGAATGCCATTGGAACGTAGAGAATCGTGACAGCATATGAGATCTGGGAGAGGCGAAAGTCAGTTTTCCTCGATATCTAAGCTGCGGGCTTCACGAAAATGATCAAGACACAAGGGAGGTTGCGTGTGAGCATCTCACCTTGAGGAATTCCCGTTGCTCGGGTTGAGGGACATCCCAGGCGTGGTATCCACCGCCATGATATGAAACTTTAACTGATAATTAGACCTGTTCTTGAATAGGTGCAGGTGAATGGAGTTACTTACGAAGTGCCACACAACTGCAGTATCCCATGAAGAATAGCTGACAATAAGGTCAGTGATGGTGGTGATGGAATGGAAAGAATCCTCGTGACATACCCATGAAATGGTAGTAGCATCTGTAGAAGAAAAGTAAGTCAAGATGCCTCGCTTCTTCAAGGGAGATTCCATACTCACAATCCTCAATGTCAAACCTGGAGTAGCGGTAATATTTGATGATGAGACGAGTCGCGACAAAGATTGTGACAACTGCTATAGTCAAGTACTGCGTCACAAGGTTTACTGTTCGTAAAACATCTGTTGGGTGGTCAAAATTTGAGGTCACTCCTGGCGGCGGTGGAATAATGGGAGTGATGGCAGCCATCACCGCACAGTCTCTGGGAGGCTGGAAAGGTGAATGTATTCTGGGACTGTATGCGCAGAGCCAAAAGGCATGACACCGATATATAGATATATGAATATGAGCTGTAGAATTTAGGTGAGGCAAGCATCTGCTCTCACGCAGCAAGGAAGGTGGCAGAAAGGGGAATAGACATTCTCATGTCAATAATAAGCGCCACACTTGTCTGTCCAGTATCTCGAACAAGGGGATTGTCACTAAAGCAAAGTTTATGAGGGAAACTTTTGAACGATGTGGCGCTTGATGAGTAGGAAGATCATTCGGTGTTGAGCGCGGAGGAAAGAGCATTGGCACAATTTCGCGGGCTTTTGATAAGGATGATTGAAAGTGTCCGCGGGATTTTGCAACATTCTGGAAAAAGGAAAAAGGACAGAGCATTAGCGTTCCAGAGTTTCCGCTGCTCACGAGGTCCCAAGTGCTTGGGATGAGTGCTCAAAATTACCTGGAAGTGAAAGCTCAAACACAGTTTCATTCACGAAGTAATGTGGGAGGGAACAGGGTATTTCGGCCCTAGAACCTATCACAAGGTCAACTGGCCTGCTCGCCTTTTAACCCAGGTTACGGGGGAGAACAAATAAGGCTCATTGGCCGTATTCTCGGCTTGTAGCATGTCAATCCTTGCACGGATGAGCTTCTGAGCCAGTGAGGTGCGGCTGACAGCAGGAGACTGGGCCCAGAAAGCCTCCAGCCAGGAAAGGAACTCATTCTTTTTTTTGATCAACGCCAAGCTTGTGTCGTACCTTGATTTGATTCATCATACGGTTGATCGCCCGGTTGAAGATATACGAAGAGTCTTGCCTCTGTTTGAGAGGAGGAGAGATCAGAGGCAAACTTTGGCGCGTGGCCTCGAACGAGCACATTACCGAATTCAGAATGTGTAGAATTCAAGCGTAAGCCACCGACTTCAATTCTCCCTGGAGTTCAGCGGAGGACATTGTATGCAGTTGAGAGCAATTATGATCAGTCTTTGGGTGTGGTTTGAATCCGAAACCATTCGGCGGGGATATCTCCTCCCACGGGTTTCATGCTTGTCCCATACATCTCTTCTGATAATTGGTGACCTACGAGGGCAGTGTGTCCAGCATGGTGGCAGCACCCTTAAGATGTGAGGATCCTCCCAGTCCTTCTTCGAATCCTTTGTGAGCTCGAGCTGAATAAGAATGTAAAAGGCGACTGAACTAAAAATTTATGGGAATTGGCAATGCATCAAGCATTTCCTTCGCCGCCCCACTCTCCTGTCTGTTGGGTGGCTTGCCTTTTCATGCTCGTGGTGCCTGCAATCATCATGCGGGTGAGATTGGCTTGAGTTCGTTGATGCAAGTTTCGTGCAGTGGATGGACAAGCGCTAAATGAGTTTAGTGTTTGTCGAGTGAGTTTATTAGTAGCCGTCTAGTGTACTCCATACACATGGCCAGGAGCCATTCAGTGATAACATCGGATTACCGACAAATAACTGCTAGCGACTAGTGTTCAAATGTTGTCTCTCTTGAGGTCATGAAAGATCTTGCAGGAAAAGGAAGAGTCGAAAGCGTAAATATCATCCATCATTCTCACCCACCTTTTCTGCTCAATGGCTCACCATCTGATCCTGCATATCACAGCTGGATAGAACCAGTTTGAAATAATACTTCAGTTCTCGCATTCCTTCCAGCATTCAATATCTCCCAAGAAGACTGGCTAGGTTGCTATGAACAGATATTACAGCAGGATTTGCAGGGAGAGATGTTCGAGTGACAGGCGGCTTAGATACAGGAGGTGATAGGCGTTTAATCACTGCAGAAGCTGTCGAAGGATGACACTACCATTGTCAGCAGCTAGTTCATCTACTGTCATATTAACAGCACTCCCGTATTCTACTCCGAGTCTGCCTGTGCTGTACTGCAACTGACTTGCAGCCTCAGAGCCTCTCTTTCAAACCTTTCTTTAGCTGTAGAATGCTAATCAATTGAACTGGCATCTCATCTGCGCCGTGGTCTCCGGATACCATCCCACAGTGGATGAGAGATTCATTGGCAAGAGTATCTCTCTGATATCAACTCCGTAGAGAATCGACTTGTCGGACTGCTCATCGCTGTCACCACCATGTCCGGGGTGCAACAAGCCGAGAGCGAAATCTTCGGAACACGAGGGAAGGCGTACACTAAACCTGTTAAACACTAGTCGTTCTTGGCAGTGTACATGTAATTTATCCCTTGTATTCGCGATACACAGCGCAACCGACCACAGCGGGGTTTCGATCAGCTGTTGGCTTCCGATCAGCTTGAAAAAAAAGTTGATGGCTGGAACTGATCTGCAATTCAGAGTTCAGCGTCGCATTTAAAATATTTACCCCAGATCTCCTCCGTAGTTTCAAAATACATCAAAAGTATGTTCTCTGAATCTCGCCTTTCATGGAATTTACTTCACATTGACTCCTCGCTCACAGGGTCCTCTTCCCGGCCGGCTTCGCTCCGGTTTCATGTCAAAAGGTCGAATGCTCATGGATCAGGGATCTTGTACACAACCGTGTCCTGCTAGACTCATGGGGAAAGCGGAAGACTTAGCTTAGCCAGCCACGCTGGAGATGGCTTCGGGATCCCTGATCCTTGCAACTCAGCTACCGCCCGCTAGCGACACGCTAACTTCTTTAACTTTCCCCAAGCGCTTACATCTATGAAGCGGAACTTCAGGAGAACATGGCAGTGGAGGCCGTGGACACTACGGGAAGTTCAGGAGGGGCCACCCTCCCACGGAAATTACTGCGCCTGCAAAATCTATCATCAGTATCCGACCTTGGCGCTGCAGAGCGGAGGGGTTTCTGGCGGTCGCTTGCACTATTGCTTTGGATAGAACCAATCTCTCCTCCGTAGCAGCCCGTAGTGACTTCGAAGTCCTACGTTACCCAATGATATAGCTTGTAAGGGGTGATTGGTTCATTATATCCCTTCGGATTTGTTTCTGATTTGATTGCCCGAACCTGCGCTTGCATTCGTTGCAATAGTTATGCTTTATTGATTGGCCACTCATTCGGCTGGACTGTTTTCCCCCTCGACAACTCGACTCTGTTGCATAAGCGCAGGTGTGCAAGAATGCGGGGCATCATGAGGTGGTAACAAATTAAAGACGCGATGGAATCTGTAAATTTTGAAGATCAAGAACATCAACACTTGGAAAGCAGAAAGAAGAAAGAATAAGGAAAAAGAAAAAGGATCAACGAAGACTCGCTGGTTTCAATGATTTTCTTGAACTAGTAATTAGCGTTATCGAATACTCAATTCAATAACGTCCTCCCCTCTTCAGCAATCACAAGTCCCTCTCTCCTCGCCGCCGCTACCAAAGTTTCTGAGCCAAAGTTTCACAACCATGACTGGCTATAGATTGGGTGTTGACGTCGGCGTAAGTCCATCGATTGTCGGTTTTTAAATTCAAGATATCTTGAGTTGACCACTGAGTACACAATAATCAGGGCACTTTCACCGACGTTTGTGTCTTCACTCCCAACGGGGAGACCGTCCGAGCAAAAGTTCCGTCCACGGTTCATGACCAAAGCATTGGAGTCAAAGATGGTATCGCCAAGGTTCGGGAGATACTGCAAAGTAGATCTGGCTGGGACGGGAAATTTGACTTTATCCATCACGGAACCACAACTGCGACAAATGCGGTTCTCGAGGGGAAAGGCGCCAAACACTCGGCTCTGATTGTCACTGCAGGCCATAAGGATATTCTTGCCCTCAGACGATCTCATATTCCCGGTGCCTTGGGTGCTTGGATCAATTTCGTGCCCCCTGAACCAGTGGTGCCGCTGGAAAGAACTGTGCAATGTTCCGAACGTGTGTCTGCAACGGGCGAATTAATCCAGGAAGTCGACGCACGCAAGTTGCGACTAGATTTGGCAGAGCTGAAGCACCAGGTCCCGGAATCAGTTACCATCAGCTTGATAAATTCTTATGCGAACAGGATTAATGAAGACGCTGTACGTGGCATCGTCAGGGAGGAGCTCGGCCCTGAAGTCGAAATCGTTTGCTCTACTGATGTCCTTCCAGAGACCGGAGAGTACGAAAGGACGGTCACAGCAGCCGCAAATGCGATGGTGAAACCCATCGTCAAGAGATACCTTTCGGGCCTCCAAAACCTTTTGAAGGACGACAGCTCCATAATCCGTGTGTTGAAGAGCGATGGTGCGATGACGTCACTGGAATTAGCAGGGGACGTTCCAGTTAACTGCCTTATGTCTGGACCGGCTGGTGGCGTTCGTGGAATCGCCGACGTTGTAGCCAAAAACACACCTTACAAAAACTTAATCACTCTCGATATTGGCGGCACCTCCACGGATGTTGCCATTATCGTAGATGGATCCCCCTCAGTCCGTCGTGAGACCGTTATTGATAATCTCACTGTTCGGGCCCCTTCTGTTGACGTTCGATCAGTTGGAGCCGGAGGTGGGTCAATTGCTCGATATGTTGATATTACATCGACGTTGAGAGTGGGCCCTGAAAGTGCTGGAGCGACTCCCGGACCGGCTTGCTATGGTGCAGGAGGGAAAGACCCAACCGTCTCAGATGCAAACCTAATTCTAGGATATTTGCCGTCCAAATTACTTGGAGGAAGCTTCGAGTTGGATGTTGCTGCAGCCGAGGCCGCGATAGACGGTCTAGCAGCACAGATGAATCTGCCGCGCGAAAAAACCGCTGAAGGCATCATCAGTATGATCAATGAGACAATCTACGGAGCTGTGAGACTGGTATCCGTAGAACGAGGCCATGACCCTCGAGGCTTTGCTCTAGTTGCCTATGGAGGAGCAGGACCCATGCATGCGAATGCCGTGGGAAAGCTGCTGGGGGCCTGGCCAGTTATCGTTCCTCCTGCTCCAGGCGTTCTTTGTGCCCAGGGAGATGCCACGACAAAGATGAGCCACGCTCTATCGAGATCGTATATTAAATCACTTTCTGACATCGACGCAGACGAGTTACAAAAGGTATATAGTGACCTGGAGCAGTCCTGTGTCCAGGTGATGATCAGTCAAATCCATGATCTTTCTGAAGACCGACTCATCAAGAATTATGAGATTGATGTGCGATACAAAGGCCAATCACTAACGCTCACCATTCCGCTCTCCTATGACGACACCAGAGCTTCTTCCAAATCATTTTCTGAGATACTGCACTCCAAATTCGATGCACTCCATGATCAGCAATTTAAATATTCCCTTCCATCATTCGAGCTCGAAGTCATGCGCCTCGGTGTTATAGTTATTGATGGCGCCGCCGATATTGAAATAGCTCTAGCTGAAGCCAATGAGGTGTCAGGGGGTAATACCCCTCCTCAATCGGCGCTCAGGGAGAAATCAATGATCATATTTGAGGGGAAACAGTACGAAGCTCATATCTGGGATCGGAGTAAGATTACAAAAAAAGGATACGTGGTTGAAGGACCCTGCGTGGTAACCGAGATGGTATGATAACCTACACAAAAGAGTGAACATGGGCTAATACACATTAATTGTTTAGGATTCTAATACCCTCATTCTCCCCGGATATTATGGCGAGATTGACTCCATGGGAAACATCCTGATTAGACCGTTGGAGACTAAAAAAGAGGAAGATAGGAATCCAACTTCACATACTCCACAATCTGCGACAGAACTAGTCGCGAAGGAACCTTTGATATCAACATTGATATCGGCCTCGTTGCAATCAATTAGAGAGGAGATGGATCGCCTTATGCTTCGATGTGCTATGTCACCTGCGATTAGAGATCAGCAAGATGAATTCAACGTCGTAACTAACCCGAAAGGGGAGATGCTTGTTGGACAATTTGGAAGCTTTGTGCCTTCTTTCTTGCGCAGATGGACAGGTACCATTGAGGAAGGTGACGTATTCATGACCAACGACGTTTACGAGGTTGACGGCGCCATCAGCCATTTGAACGACGTCATTGTTCTTTTGCCAATATTCTACGCCGGCAAGCTGGTGGGTTGGGCAGCTAACTTTGGTCATTTGACTGATGTTCAGGGGAAGGTCCCGGGTAGCATGTCTGTTAATGCAACCACTGTTTTCGAGGATGGTATCCAGATCCCTCTATTAAAACTTTATCGCAAGGGTCAATATAACGAGGATATTATGACACTGCTCTGCCGTAACTCTCGGCAGCCCGACTGGATGCGAAGCGATATCACTGCACTTGTTACTGCAGTACGTACAGCGGCAGAGCGTGTCTGCGAGCTCCATGACAGGTACGGAGCGGAGGTCTACAAGGCCGCATGCGACAGCCTTCTCGAGCAGAACCGATCAGCTATCTCCAAGATTATCGACACAAAACTTGGCAGTGACCCAACTGAGTTCACCGACTTTGTGGATGATGATGGACATGGATATGGGCCATACGCTGTGAAATGCACAATGCAGAAAAAGGAAGACGGAAAGCTTCATTTTGACTGGCATGGCACAAGCCCTCAAAGTGAAACGGGAATTAACTTCTACCTTTCTGAAACCATGTTTAAAATGTTTATCGGGTACGGTGCAGGCTCCCTTCGCGATAATTTTGAACCTCCTGCTAACATATCATTAGTTACTACCTCTTGGCAGCTTATGATCCTTATTGTGTTGTGAATGATGGCTTCCATGACTTACTCGAAATTCACCTCCACGAAGGTTCGGTGCTTAAACCTGTTCGGCCTGCACCCCTGAGCTGCCGGACCCATTTCCTTGGGAGAATCCTGGATGTTCTTCAAGCATTGTTTGGCCAGAGGAATCCCACATTTATGGCTGCTGCAGGTTTTTCCGACAGTCCTCACTTTGTAAGAGAAGTCCATATTCAGGAAGCAGGGACAGGGACATGTTGCTAACTTAACCAAAGTTTTACTCTGGCTTCAAGCCATCCGGCGAATGGTTCCAGCTTTACCAGATTGGCTTCGGTGGTGTCCCAGCAAGGCCAATTGGAGATGGGGTAAGAAACTTCCAAAAAAAGAAAAAAAGAAAAAAAGAAAACCTTGTATGTTAGATGAAGTAGATATGTCAGATGCTAATTAAACCCACAGCCCGATTGCCACTGCCTTTTCCCGGCAATGAAGTCGATTCCCACGGAAAGCTTGGAATTCAACTATCCGCTCCGACTCGAAGCGAACGAATCTGTAGCGGACTCGGGTGGTGCTGGGTTCTATCGCGGCGGCAACGCACAGCGCACTGTGTATCGATTCCTCAGCGCTGGAGAGTTTAGCATCCACGACGATAGATGGTTTACCAAACCGTGGGGCGTAAACGGCGGAAAACCAGGAAGCCGATCAAGAAAGGTCATTTATTATTATTCCAAAGATCCGCAGAATCCGCCAACGAAGGTCCTCCAGAGCAAATGTGATCATATCCGCGTTGCGCCCGGGGACTTGCTTGAATGGATCACTTGGGGTGGTGGTGGGCTAGGTGATCCGCTCACAAGGCCGGCGGAGAAAGTGGCATTGGAAGTGCATCGAAAATCAGTCACGCTCGAGGGGGCTCGCAAAAATTACGGTGTGGTGGTGAATCCGTCGGATTATTCCGTTGACCAGAGTGCTACGGATGCCCTCAGGGCAGAAATCAAAGCTGCAAGGGCGTCAGACAAGCTTGAGCTCTTTGATCGTGGTGGGACATTAGCTGAACTGCGTGCTTCTTGCCTCGAAGAAACTGGCCTGTCTCCCCCCATCCCTCAGTGGGACAAGGATCCCTATGGCCCACATGTTGCTGTTCCATACGTGAAGGACTGGTTCAAGTTGATGAGGGAGAAGGGCGAATGGGTCGGATTGTAATGAAGTCGTCGCCGCCGAAATGGTAAGTAGGATAGCTTGTAAGGGAGTTATATATCCCAGGTTGGTAATGACCAGTGATGGCAATTTTGTCTATGTTAACATGTACGGGAGGAGTATTTGTAGTTTTCGATTCAGCTCTCCATGATGGGAATTTTTCTGTTATACCACTCCCATTTTCTCCCTTCTTTGTGGCTGCATCATGTATGTCAAAAGATGAATCACAGAGAAATTGATATACCTTGAGAGCTCCATCACAATCCTTAGATTAGCACCGTGATATTTTCACTTCATATCCTACCAAGTCAATTGACACTTGCGGAAGCCCGCGTCCAGCCTCTAGTATCTTACGAGCATCTTGAACAACGGCCAACGCCAATATTAAATATTAAATCTGTTCTATTTCGATTTCTCTCAACGTTTCTAGAGAGCACGCCCTGCCGTGGCTGGTCAGCTCTGGTGTTTCGACTTACCTTTAGGGAGTTGTTCATTCCAAAAGGTTGATGTTGTTACGTTCCAATGATTGCGGGGTCCTTTGGCTGTAATGCTTCGGAGGAACACCTCAAAGATCTTGGGCGTGATAGCCATCACTGTCATATGTAATGTACCATAAGTCTATTCTTTGCCTTTCCACTTTTATTGTCTCCTATGACGCAACCCGAAATGGAAAAAGGACCCCAGTGTTTTGGTCAACATTTTGTTCAACATTTTGTGTAATATATAATGCCGGATAATTATTCCTGCGCTCCCGGTCTAAAACCCCAGTTGTGAACCATCTCTGCGAGAAGAAGTATCTTTGGTTGCATTCTCCTCACCGTGGTCTTTGACATCATGCGGTTCCCTACTTCCATACCGAAACGACTATCTAATTTCGCAACCAGCCGCGCTTGCGTCTGTCGCTCCCTACATACCAAGCAGGCAGAATTTATCACCCTTGACTCTAAAGGATCCCTGGTGACCCAGAATGTCAATGTTGATTTGGGGCATGCCCACGAGGCTTTCACAATGCTCCCAAAAGAGATTGGTTATGCCTTCCAAGCAGGCATATACTCAAACAGCAGATTGCTTTCTGTCGATTTGTTGGCAAGAGACTCAGACCAGTGTCCCCTAACTTTCTATCATGATTCTCAATACTTTGCACATGGTAAGTCATATTGGCCATACTGTGTTTCCTGAATAACACCCAAATTTTCCAGAATCATTACCATATCCTCGGCTTGTAATTCCTCAGGACCTTCCACGTCAGTCTGATGCCAATACAAGCCCCGCCACTCTCCATACCTTTGGAGCTACTCATACCATCACACTGGATGGGACTTTTGATGGTAAGACTCAATCATGTATGAAGCTTTTTTCTGTTTGCTTACTCCAACTAGCAAAATTTACAAATCAGCTTCGAGATTCTCTCCAAGATCTGAAGAGATCTCTTGATGAGCTCAAAGATAAGTAGGACTGTGACAGGGATATCTTATTGAAGCAGAAGGACAATTTTTTTGGTGGCCATTGTATATGGGTTGATATAGAATTCAAAGCCTCGTATGGCAGTTACCCGCCCAATAACTCTGCCGTCAGTGCCTTGCATGGCTACATCTATCCATTCATACATGAAAAATGATCCATTGGCAGAATGAGATTTAAAATAAATAAATAAATAAATAAAAGAGAGAGGGGGGGAGAGAGAAGATACAGACAAGATAACTTAATACTCAATTGTCTCATCCCGCCATGCCAAATATCTTGAGTCCAGCTTGCTATGGGAGTCACAACACTCTTGGAATAGCTGCCCAACTGTTTGCTGGTTCATTGATTGGTTGTAACAACAATGCGAGTGTTTGTAATGCCTTGATTGACATTATCATAATCTCCTCAGGTAGATTGGCAGCTAGCTGAAAGATATTTTCCTGCTGTGCATAGTACTTGACATTCATTGGAGATGCAACTGCTGATTCCAACATAGCTGGTTGGGTCGGCCCTAAATTGGCAATTAATATCTTACAGAGATGTATAACTTGTTCAGCATTAAGAAATCGGAATTCTTTCCACAGAGGTAACCATTCTGAACAAGCAAGATGGTGCGCGAGGACGAAGAGTTTCAGCTTGGTGGAATGAGGTATCTGATGCCTAGAGCGGTTGATTGAAAGAGAATGATAAGATTTTGAAGGCTGGCGCTGGAATGATCCCCCGTTTCTGGAATATTTTCTGCACTAGTGAGCTATCTGGATATTAACGCTATATAGTTAGTGTGATCTTGGCCGTCCAGGGGGTTTCAAACTTAATGCCCCAGGACCTCTCCTTGCCCAAATCCTTCAAAACTGCAACAATAATTAATGACAAGACTTTGACTCTGATTTCCTCATTAGAAAAAGCGTTCATACAGCAACAACTATAAAACAGAAACATAAAAGCAAAACACATCAAGCTGCTGTATCAGCAACATCATCATTATTTCTTCTTATCAATCTTCTTGATTCTTTTCCTTCCAACAAGGCCATTCCATATGGCTTATCATCAAATCAGTCCAAGTTGTATTTGAAAACCCATCCCCAATGAGTATATCCATGTTCTCTGTGGTAGGGACTGCCCTGCGAGCAGCACATAAACCAAGTGTTGCCAGCTGCTTTTCTTTTTTCCTGGCCCTTTTCATTTGTGAATTTTTGAATCTTAAAGTTGCAGAATGTATGAAGCTCTTGATCTGCCAGAACTTTTCTGCATTTCCACCTTGTCCTGTTGCAAAGTCATCATGAATGCCAGCTGAAGCTGGACTCTCCTGCTTTATTGCCAGGTTAGCTTCACCGCTATTCTGAGCATGACCAACTTGCATCTTCACTTAGTGAAGTGAAGGTATGGTCGTCATCTTATTCCTCTATCCCAATTTATCATCTCCATCCCTCTTCATCTTCTTTTCCATTCTGCTTACACTGTTAGGACTCTTTACAACCATATCAAGACTTCCAAACAGCTAATCTTGCGAACTGCTTAGTATGTGGTTCCTCACTATACTGCGGCTGGCGGTCGCAGTGTAAAGGTGGTGGGTTGGGTGGCCACGCCCACCGGTATATATATCACTATGGGCGCAACCATTTAACGAATGGTTACGTTGGCTTTTTGCTATGGATAACCTAGTGGCCATAGTGCTATCTTATCACAGGTACTGATCTCCTCAAGCTGTACGGATCTGTAGATTGCAGCAATAATCAGCCCTGTTTTGGGGCTTGAGCTGATTTTCTATCTTCTCGCGTTTGTTCTGAATGTAAAGTCATCCACCCAGTTCAAGCTTGATTATTCTTCTTCTCCTTTTTCTCCTTTGTTTTTCATTTTTCGATTTCTTCACTTTTCCATTTTTTCACTTCTCCTCCAAACCTCCAGCTAGTAACACTTCAGGCAGCACGGCAACTGCCTAAATTTTTATTCACTTCCTACGCTGACTTCACTTTTTAACCCTCCCAGCTTCCCCTCCCAACTCTCTCAATCCTTTCAAACCCTCTCAACCCATCTAACAAGCCTCCATCTTTCCTCGTATTCTCTTCACCCGGTCATCTATCATACTTACAAGTTTGATTTCCGCTACTCAGACAGGCATGGACGAGCCGGCTGGCGACAGTGACACCCCTCCAGCAGCAATGGATATGGCTGCTGATACTCTGGAGAGTGAGACAAGCAATTGGAATGAGCATCCCAAGCCCAACCAGTTTCTCTTAGAAACTGAGGGTGGCTACAATGATGAAAACATGGAAGAAGACCATGAAGAAATGCCGACAGGTAACATAGCAGACGTTGGTGACTGTCTCCCTGAGGATGGGTGCGAATACGAGATAGGGAAGCGACTCCTCTTCACAGCTGTATTGGCGAGTGGAAAACAGGTCACTCAAGCCTCAATCCGCGAAAATAATCCCACAACTAAGGACAAAGCTCCCGATCATTCTTCTGACGACCCTTCCGAAGACCAAGAAGGTGAGTTCATTTTAACCTCTGGCTCCCGTATCAGAATTGTTTATTCGTTATCTATTTATAACATGTGCAATGTGCTAATAATGCTACAGATACTCAAGCTCCAACTGCACAACTCGACGAGTCTCAAGACTATCACGACATTGCAGGCGAATTGGCTCGCGGTGAACTTACCTATGAACGAATGTCTGCTCAAGGTCCTCCTAGAGTCGATCTCTCGCTACGGATTTTTATGCTCCAAGGGCACCAATCATACATCGAGGTCATCTTCCGCATCATCTACGAGACAGACGGTGTGTCCTCAGACCACTTGAGCGAAGACAAAGCTGGTTTTCGTTTGACATCTCAGCACCTTGACCTTGATCGGCCTTTTGAGGTTAGAGAAGTTGTTACCAGCGAAAAAATGGCTGATTTTAAAGAGAACGAACTTGACACCGCAGGAAAGGTCCTTGTTGATGCCGTTCCACAAAGCGTTTCAGACAACTTTCCAAGGTTTATGCACCATGTGAACACACGGCAGATGTTTCAAGTAACGATCAACCGTGCCAAAGAGTTGGGTGGTCTCTACGCATGGAACCTGTACAAAGGTGAGCTCTCTATCATGTTCAAATTCATCTGGCATAGAAGATGATGAAACTAAATTTGTTTTTGGCAGATGACCGCATTATAAAGCATGGAAGTCAGGAAAAAAAGGTTCGCAGGCTTGCCTCCCAACTGGCTTCATCTGAAACCCTCGTGTTCTATGTCCGTGGGAGCGAGATAATGATCAGTCTTGAGCGTCTTGGAAAATTGCTTGTTGACCAAGCGGAATCACCTCCCTGGCAAGCATACATGCCCAAAAACCGCAAAGCAGGAACGCCTATTTTTATTCAGGCAGGCAAGAACCAGACAATGCCAAGAAGAGAAAGGCCAAAGATCACACCCGGCGCCAACCTGAGCTATGCGTCGTGGGAAGAATACACGATTGCTTTTGGAATGGCCGCTCAGCAGGAACACGAGAACGAGGTTGTTCGTGACAGTTGCCGTCAACTCAGGGGTTGTGAGTTGCGATTTGTGGCTATTCCCTATGCTGGCAATCGTCGATACTTCGCTCTGATGGACACCAGAGAACAGATCGGTATGGAGTTGAACGAGGATGATCAGGTTAAAATAAATATGCGTGCCGATATTGATGAATACATCCCCATCGATCCAAACGCGGGTTGGAGTGGGCGTGTCGTGGAACAGCCTCCCTTCGTTCACCCGAAGTTCCTAGTTTTTCTGGTGACGCGACCTTGGGATAAACAAAATGCAAGATGGCTTGATGAAGATCTGCAAATACCTGCAATTGACTTATCTCAACAGAGGAGTGACAAAATCCATGAAATACTTGAGAGCGCCAGACAAAAATACGTCACTATCTCCTTGGTCTCATCCCAGAAAACATATCGACAGGAAATTGTCAGCCTAGATGAAATAAGACAAGGAAACTGCTCTCAACATGTAAAACAAATCCTCTTGGCAAATGACTTTCAAAGTCTTCCGCAAGTCAATTTGTTTAAGGATCTTGAGCATTTCCCACATGACAAAATCTTGTCAATGATGGAGAAGGCTTTCGAGTTTGACAAACAGCAGATGTTGTTTGTGCGACAGTGTTTTGGTCTCCCGGGTGGTTGGGGAATGCTCTTCGGGCCACCAGGGACAGGAAAGACGTTTGAACTTATCCACCTCATAACACCTATCCTCGCCAACCAGCGCATGATTTCTCAGGACACCGACGAAACCCCAAATCGACAAATCTTAATCGTAACAAGTGCAAATGAACCAGCAACTGACATTGCACTTAAACTTTGGGAGCACAATAAGGACAAAATTGGTCATTTACAACGCCTTCCAATGGTGGTCAGAGCGCACTCTCGCGAGACAGAAGAAGCTGTTGCTCGACTTTGGCAACAGCCAAAAGACAAGCCCAGAAGCCCAAGTTCCAGACCCCCAATCATTTCCCAGAATATTCTTGATGGTCAGAGTGCTGAAGACATTGACATGCTGGATCTCATCAGCATGTCGAAGGTGTTACTTGATACCCACTCAAGAGCAACCAAAACTAGGTTTGAAGGAATTAAGGACCCACGCTTTCGTGCCAAGGATATCAGTGTTGGTGCATGGATGCTGCGTCGGTTGGGTCTTATTTCGGACGAACCTAAAGAATTCCAAGGTTTTAGTCACCCTGAAAAGTACACTGACATTCTGAATGGCTTCTCACTCATCGCGAATGGAGAAAGTCATGCGACCAAAGAGGATCGTGAAGCTTTCACGAAGGGGATCCGTGAGCTACAATACGACATCATTCGGCACGCAGATGTCGTCGTTACCACCCTCTCAAATGCCGGAACGGAATGGATCAAATTGAACGCCAATTTCGACGCCATCTTCCTCGATGAAGCAGGCCAAGCCCCGGAACCTCAGGTATGGAACGCGCTGGCAGTACACAAGCCACGAGTGTTCATCCAATTCGGCGATCCCCGACAACTGCCGCCGTTTTGCAAATCGTCTACTGTCCGGGAGAACAATTTCTATCTGGTGCTCCATACCTCACTCTTCGCCCGTCTAGAGCGTGCCGGATTCCTTCACGTTATGCTTGAGAGGCAGCACCGCATGCATGAGACAATTTGCAAACTTGTGTCCGACCTATCTTACCACGGACGGATGATCACGGTAGATAGCGAATCGAACTATCTAACTTCCAGACGTGTTTCGCGTTTTAACCGCAAATACGGAAAGGAGCGCACTGCCATCTACCTCGATGTTGCTGGCAGTAAAGAGGAATTGAATTCCACCAAGTCTAAAGCCAATCTTGACCACCGGAAGATTGTGTTGGAATTGGCAGCAAGTCTCCTACGGGAAAATGTCGTCCTCGGTTCACAGATCGCAATAATTACACCGTATTCGTATCAAAGGAATATGTATCGTTGTGATGTTTCGTCAATGGCACGCGCGCATCCACAAATTGGTCAGAAGCTTCTTGATATCGTTATCACAACCATCGATGGCTTCCAAGGCCGAGAGCGCGAAGTCTGTATCGTGGACCTAACATGTACAGAACGAATTGGGTTTTTGCATGCGGCCCAACGCATAAACGTTGCGCTCTCCAGGGCAAAATGCGGGTTGTATGTTGTTGGTAATGTGCGGGCTATGTCAGAAGACCGTAAGTACCAGGGATACCGTCGACCAAGCTTGTTAAACAAACTGGCGACACAGCTCGGCAATGACCTGGCAATTGTCCAAGTGAATCCGAAGGGCGGATCTCGACAAAAACGCGGGCGACACCCTCGACGCGAACCAAACCCAAATCAAGGAGTAAGTAGCTAATTGCCGGCACACTCGACATGGTTGAATGCAGCACTAACCCAAATCGACAGACGGAACCTTTTTCGCAGGCAGGCCCTTCGGTGGACCCTTTTCGACTGGCGAACACTTTTTCAACAACAGAGGTAATTACATAACCACCAAGCCCAACAATTACAAAAACTAACTGCTACTTTTCTGATAGGCGAGCACTGTTGAGGTTGGGAAATTCGTAGATGGTAATTTGGAGGAAGACTTTGACATGGAGATACAAAAATGGTAGAGATTTCAATGGGTTTTTATCATGTAGATAGCACTAGCGATAAATCCAGTTATCTTCTTTCCGTTCGATGCAAATTTCCTTAAACTAGAATCAACGCTTTGCCTAGAATTCTGTTCAAATGGAGTTACTTGACTTCCAGATGTAGCTCAATGTGGTGATGTCATCATAGAATGAGTCAACCTTTATTAGGCCACTAGCGCAGAAAAGCTCAATCACCACCAGCGCCATGCTGGTGGTAACGAATCTTTTAATAATTCTTTAAATAAGAGGGGACGAACCAATCCAAACCCCCAACAGGAGGGAGTGGATTGGGTGATTCGTACTCTCTATACCACCACGGCGCTGGTGGTGATTGAGCTCTTTTGCCCCAGCGGTCCAACACTATATACACCTCCACGTAATAGAGCTTTACGAGTGTTCTTGCTTCACTTGTCTAGTTCGGCCATTCATACACACACATTCTCTCACAGACCCATATGAACCCACTCAAACCCTGTATATTGTTTCTTTTTCTGTGAATTAACCCAGCAGAAACTCGGAGCCGAGATCTCGACTGAAGAATCATGGTGGAGCCAAGAGCGAACTCCACTGTCACGCCCTCCAGCATAAACAGGCAGGCCCTGAAGCACGCAAATGAAGACAAAGAATTCTTTTCCTTCTGTCCCCCGGACGTGCAACCAAACACTCGCATTATTGCTCTCTGTGGTATCAACGACTTTCAGAATAATGCCTCCCCCGAAGCAGATGGGTGGTTTCTATCGGACTTTTTTCTCTTCCACCATCTTCTTCAACATTCACGTAAGTGCCGGTCTCTTAAGAGTGCGTGTGTGTTACTCCAGACCAGTTGCTAACATTAATAGATACATTCCACGCGTCGAATCAACTGTGGTTCACCTGCGTTGAACCACGAGCTCTTGTGACGAAGTATGGTGAATATGTGCATGGCAGCAGGTCTGGCGACTGTAGAGTTGTCCTGGATGCAAAAAAACTGGAGCAAATTGAGTCAAGCCAAACGATCCGCGTAATTCCCGCGAAGGATCTCCTGGAGCGTTTTTTAGCAACACTAAGATCAGAGACACAAATTGCAGTTCGAGAAAATCAGCAGGTGCTAGTGTTCATATTTGGACATGGAGAAGCAGAATCCTTTGGGGTGTCCATAGGAGGCGAAGGCCCTTCTGACCGAGCACTGCAACTTACCGAGAAAAAGTTACACGAAGCCATTCACCCGAATGTTGATTTAACCCTGGTGATGACATCATGTTTTTCAGGAGGGTGGCTTGTAAAGCCATACACGGATTCACGCCTCTCTGTGGTAAAGAGACTTAACGTGTCAGGTACGGCAGCCGCTGGTGATGAGCAGGAGAGTAGAGCATGGGCATCGAGCGCCTCGCGCGGGAGAGCAGGGGGCTCTATTTACGCGGCTGCTGTATTGAATGCACTGGTGCAACCGGCGGAAATTCACCGGGAGGGCGTTGATGAAAGCGAAGCAATGAGCTGTCTGACGTATATAAACCTGCGCTGTGCGGTCCACCAAGCTTACAAAGAATCGGATCCATTTTACGGTATTCACGGAGTGTCATTTGCAGCCGGGGACGATATGTGGGAATCAGAATGGAGAACGCGCTCGGGATTTCCACTCCTTGACTACCAAAAGAAATGGGAGGAACTACTCCAGGTTAGCCCTAACCAGCCAGCATTTGATAGCGTACCAACTCTGGGATTTGCTGGTAGCATTGGGAAGGGGTTCTACAATGTCGTGAGGGCGAAAGCAAGGGCCTATGCGGACTCATTCCCCGGCGCTGATAACCTGGCGCCAAATCTACCACTCCACTATTCGGTCCGTCAGTTGCTACAAGGGGCCCAGTTTTCGGAGAATAAGCTTATGAGCATTAATGACAGCTTGGACTATCGTTTATCTGCGTTACAGCTCGCCACTCAATATACCACCTTCCTTGAACTTGCATTCCCGGACGCAGTGTCATTTGATGTGGAGAAGTGGGCCCTCCAAGCGGACAACCAGCGGCTAGAATTGTTTCGAAAGGTTAAAAGATACAATTTGAATCAGAAAATCTTCGATAGACCCATCGGGGATCAGGGTTGGCGCTATCCTAAGCCGGATCAGTATTTAGCAATCGCCTTGATAGAGTCTTCACTAATATATGAAGATATTTGTGAGCGGATCGATCAGATCAAGACAGGTAAGTCAAATTATCATGCCTCAATAGTTGATCACTAGCTAACATAACTAACATCTTGCTTAGTAAAACTGGGAGCACAGCGTTTCCTTGCTAAAATGCCAATTGCAGAGAAGATAATGGGGAACCAGAAGGTTATGAAAAAGCAGGACAAGTTTGTACAGACATGGGGGAAGTTAACAACTCGTCTGAGATCATTGTCACCGCAAAAAGGTTCGCGAAAACCGCTGCCACTGTCACCATGAGAGTCGATGGTCAAAAGAGGTTAGCGCAGAAGCACCCTTTCTGGAAGATTAATATGGAGTATGGGGTCGCTTTCAAAAGTTACCTAGTATGTACTATCAAGGCATTAAAAAAAATTAGTTAGGTACCTACATCATACCTATCCATATGTATGTAGGTAACAGTATATACCTCGTATGCAGGCACATAGGCGAAAAAATAAATTATATCAGAATTGTATAAAAACCCCATAAAAAAAACATTCAAAATCACTTCACTATAGTTTTAAAGATTCCTTTTTTGATTATGGAAGCTGAGGTTGTCAGTTAAATGAATTCAGATCTGCAAACAAAAATTGTAAGAAGGCAAAATTTGAATGATGCTTCTTTTGCCTCTATTGCTTAAGCTACAAATTAGTTGAGTTGTAGGTTAAGTAACGTAGTATGTATGTATGTATGTATTAATTTAACCTCCCGGGGGCCTCCCGAAGGGCATCATACTTTGTATGTGTAATTTATGAGCAAAAGTATAAGATAATACAGACTATAACTCAACAGTATACTGATAAGTTTAAATTTTAAACTGTTCAAATATTAATATATATATTTGAATAAGTAAATTACATATAATATATGATTTCAATATGGTGGGTGTTGAGATATCAATAGATGATCATCATAGATTTTATATGGAAAATCGCGGGCGTTAGGTGGTTGACTACGTTGTATCTTAAAAGAACTCTTTTGGCATATAGAGTACACTCTCAAAGCTTATGTCCGGCAAGATTGCTTATCAAAACAAGCAGGAGGAACGAGAATTTGGATCATCACCTTACTGACGTCACAAAACATTGCGCTTAACTCTACTGTGATTGAATGGATTGTTCAACGAATGAACCTGAAGAAGAGGTTGTGGCAAAAAGCTTTTTGATTGGAGATTCTAAATTTGAATGTAGGGTACTGGGGCACCAAGCCTTTTTCTCTTTAGGATAAAGAATGCCGTGAATCTGGGTATACCGTGTAGTTATAGATCAAGCAACGTTCGCTGGAGCAGTGCGAGATGGCGCAAAAGCGGCCACAGATATGCCATCCCCAAAGTGGCAACAGTGTTGCCGCAACAGGCCTAGCAGTCAATGTAGACCAATGGTGAGAGCGCGCTAGGGCTTGGCGAACCCCTAACTGGCACATCAGATAGATTGTAAATAGCTACATCTATAGATTGAATAATATCAAGAAGAAGAGGAATATACAAACAGTATTGTAGATACATTGAATCTGATAGAATTCTGATAGCATCGTCTTAAATAACTCATTTTCGAGCAATTACCTGTTTTAACCTAGCACTTATTATCCACTTAGATCTAGCGCTAGCACATGAGTGGGGTTTCTTAATTATATCAGAGTTGCCTTTGGCTCGATCGCTTCATAGATTAAGTTAGTTGAACATGCTTTAATTTTTAACTACAACGTTCAACTTTATAGCAATCATACACTATGAGATGTTTATAATCATTGAAAACGAAGAAGTAAATCTCCAAGTCTTATATATCGGTTGATCGGAAGAAGATGCAATAAATTCAGCAGCTCTCACCTTAAGATGTTTCAATATAAATTTCACTTCTAGTAACTATATAGGAATATCTATTGAAAATAACTGCAACCGCTTTTATTATAGTACTTTTATTATGAAGAGTTTTTTAATTTTGCTTACAACTGTTTATTTTATAATAGTACCACATACGTTATCACTAGTAAGTCTATATTTTTTTTTTAATTTTTATATTATTACCCATTTTTTTACATTTTAAAAGAAATGAAAGCGATATATACTAAGTGTTATAGCGGAGAGTGGAAAATATAAACCTCGTTCATAACTCAGAGAAAAATTCTAATGGATTAATTTCCACTAGTGGTGATAAAAATGTGAATAAATATTTATCATATCAACCACGGAGTCACGATGGTTTTGAAGTTCATAAAACCCATGACCATTTACTACCATCCGAGAGAATCCAACAGTCTGCCCAAGTATTAAACAAGTTGAAAAGGGTGGCTGCTGGTTGTATGAGATATCCCTGCGATAACTCAATTATTTGTTTTTCAAAACTTTGCGGTGGTTGCGTTATTGCAAGTGGTAGTAAGGCTGGTGTATGTTCCGAGAGATATCATCCACCACGGTGATATCAGTAATTTCCGTAGTTAAACAAAGTACGTTGAAAATATAAAGGAAAATTCGAAGAACTTATAGTCTTAACTGTGCTAAGTGGACCTACACCTCTCATTAGTGAGTGCGCTATATTGTAATTAGACGGAGCGAAGCGAAGTCTCTGAGAATCATACGAAGCTCTGTGTTTTGAGGGGGGGAGAGAGACAAAAGTTGCTTCATTTTATGGCTGAAATGAATGGCGGCTACCTACCTGCCTGCCTACCTACCTCTCTGCGCGATATCTGATCAATGTCTATATGAATAGATATTGCCGGCTAGATTGCTAGCTACCTAGCTACCTCCCTACCTGCCAACCGACCAGCCTGCTCCATATCCCATCAATCTCTATGAGAATAAACGTCACCATCTAGCTACCCACCTACCTATCAATGCTAGCTTACTACATAGCTGACTGCCTATCTATCTACTGACCTGGTTGAAGGAATGATATCCACTGATGATATCTATGATGATATCTAGCGATGATATCTAGCAATGATATATCGATCCAGCAATGATGTATACCGATGATAATGTATACCGATGATATGTACCGATGGTATCAATGATGATATCTAACAACGATACCTTGCGAGGATATCTAGCAATGATATCTAGCGATGATATTGCTTAATAGCAACATAATGAATAATATGACTTCGCACTTTTGCTCCGTCTTGGCCCAGTTGCATGTTTCATGAAGCCCCTGCTATATAGTGTTGTGCCTGAGCCTTCCAACCCTTTGGAGGAATTAAAGATGTCTTCATCCCCTGGGATTTATTGAATTGTTATTCTTTATAATAAAAATAAAAGAAGAAAAGAGTTTTTTTCTGTGAGAACACTTTCTGAGTTTTATAACTCAGATTATTAGATCTTTTGCAAAAATTTAAATAGAGTAGAAATCAGTGAAATCTACATTTTTCATGAAGTCTATATGAGGAAATGATTGATAGTAATGAGAATACTTTATATTTAATCCAAACAATAATAAATAATAACAGAAAGTTGAGGTAGAAAAGAAGAATGAAATTATATTTAGAGATGAGATGAGAGACTATCTATCAACCCGGCCCGCGAAAAAACGTGAAACATGCCTGCGTTTAGAAGGCTCATGCCCAGGCTTATAGAGGCTTAACTAAACCTAGTTAAGTAATTTAGACACATCACCCGCTGTAAACACCCTTAAGCGCCCCTAAAACCCCGGGTCTGGTTCGTGGATTTAATCAAGTGAACCTGGGAACCCGTTCTTTCGGGCAACTCCCACCACTTTTTCAACCCGACACGCGAAAATAACAACACTAGTGTTTAGATCAATCAGAGGTGTAAAAATCCTCTCTGCATCAATAAAATCATTGAGATTCGATCATTTTCAGCCATGAAATAAAACAACTTTCAAGCCCCCCCTTCTGGAGCTTTGTATGATTTTTAGAGACTTCGCTTTTACTTCATTTAATAAAGTCTGGATACAATATCTAGGACTCGTCGTCTGATGATGAACCTAAGCAAGTTTTATACAGTTTTTATATCATGTGATTTAGTGGTGAAATATGGACGTTATATTTAGAATATTAACAAGATTTATCCATTTTTTTTATATATAAAGTCATTTCTATCTAAATTTAACAGTGTTTTTTTCTATTAATTATTAGGATTCTATATACGGAGTATGCAGAAATGAAATTAAACACGCATCAGCAATAATCTGATTATTTATATAACTGAGATGACTGAGTGACCGAGCCTCTGCAAATAATCACCGATAACCCAGTTATCCAAGGGGGTTTGGCTAGGGTGGCGTACAGGGGGGGCGTGTGTTATAACACCGCTAACGCGACCGCGTGGATAACTTGTTCTGGAAAACAGCTGGAGGTTGGAGGGCAACACAGCATGGGAAGCGACATTGCCGACTGTTGAAATAACCCACCCATGGACTGTGATTCTCTTGTGACATTTCTAACTGTGCCACAATTCTTCTGTTCAGTGTTCAAAGAGTTTTCTTCTGCATCGAAGAATAAATATGTTATGGCAAATAGAAGGAGGAGCTTGGAATTTTTGCGTTTGAAACTTGATGCTGATCTCGAACATTATCTCCGGGCCAGAGAGGACACAGTCTAAGTTTAAGTTTCGTCTCTATTCGCTCATTCCTTTTTTTTTGCTTTTCCTTCCTTTTTTAAACTTTGATGGCTGGGCATTCAATCTGGCGTTGAGGCTTGAATTGCTGTGACAGTGATGACAGACACAGACTGCCTCTGCCCAGACCGGTTTTGTTGTAGCAAGGCGCGCCTCCATCTACCAGACGCTTCAGATCCAGATGCGAAACTGTAGAGAACATTTTCATCTTTCTGTTATATTTGTTATATCGACAATTGTTGAAGCTCGATTGACGTTTGTTGCCCGTACGGGAGTTCTAGTGATACGTCACAAGCCCGGTACCGCACAGGGATGGCCATGCGTACGAGGCTGGCCCCGCTAGAAAGTTAGCGGTAAAATTTACAACGGTGGTGTATTTTACGGTGGAAACAGCGTTGCTAACCTTGTTCCTGCCCCCTGATACGCGATGTTGACCTAGCGCAGACAGCAGTAGGCGAAAAGTAATACGCGGTACTGCTTGCTCCAGGGGGCTCTTTCTGCTCTCCGCAAGCAGCAGCCGCACCACCACCACCTCCACCGCCATCGTGGCTCGTTTCTCCCAGCATCTCTCGACCTCCTCTCCGTCCGCTGCGTATACTATCACCTCCTCTCCTCTCCTCTCCTCTCCTCTCCTATCCTCCTCTCTGCATTTCCTCCCTCCCCCTCCTCCGCCCGCGACACCCCCATCCGGGAGTCTTGTGTCTGGGGCACTCTCATATGCCGCAGTCATCGACCATCCCTGGCATTGGCGTCCAATCCCACAACGATCCCGCCAAAAAAAAATACTGCGCTAGTCGATCCCTTTTCTTGCGGAAAAATAATAGGGGCTTGTCCTGTCATCTCGTTGCCCATTCTCCTTCATCCTCTCTTCATTTTTCTCCGATTCCATCAAACAGTTCATCCCGCCCCAATCCCACGCTCTGTCAGGAACAGGCTCAGCAATCGCCGGAAAGACAAACGAATCTGACAGACGAACCGTCAAAATTTCGAAAGTATACTTAAACTTCAAATTTACGGCTAAGGAAACAAATAGATCAATAAAACATCCTCTGGCACGCCCCTCGAGACGGCTCTCATGATCGCGTTCCTCTTACTGGCCTGACAGCTCTGGGAATTGATCTTGGTGGATCGAGAACTTGGGGGGTGGCTTTCCTGGCCTTTTTTTGCCCCCTTGCCTTTCGTTTCTTTTTCTTCTGTTTCAGCGGAGACAGACAGAGAGACAGAGAGAAAGAAAGAGAGCGAGACAGACCGTGTTGAAACCGGGCCCATAGCTATTCCGTCTTCGAGACAGTGGTTTCTCCACCATGGCCAATTCTCCTCCTGCCTCTCCTATTCCCACCGGCCAGCCGCGTCCCATGAGCGCAATGATTCGACCTCCACGAAGCAACAGTCGCATGAGTATGAGCAGCAAACAGGGCGGTAGCAGGGCTTCAGACGAGGATACAAAGACGGCGGTGAAAGTCGGTGTGTAACAGTTTTTATTTTTTTTATTTTGATTTCTTCTTGATATTTTAGTATAACTATATATATGTCGCTAAACTCTCTGGCACAAAATGCATATACTTATACGAGTAAATACACAACAGCTGTTCGCGTTCGCCCGCCATTGAAGCCCACCGATCCAGGATTCGAGTTGATTCCACAGCGCTTTCAACGATCAACAGTCCATGTCACGTCACCAACCAGCGTTGCTGTCGATGCTCCGCAAGGTCGCAAGCTGTTTGTATTCGATAGAGTGTTTGCGGAAACAGTGGATCAGGAAGGCATTTGGGAATACCTACAGGACAGCGTCAACTCTTTCGTACAGGGTTACAATGTTTCAATTCTCGCATACGGCCAGTCTGGTGCTGGCAAGTCTTACACTATGGGCACATCTGGTCCCACAGAGCAGAGCGACCAGAAAGTTATGGGTATGTGAACGTTTCCATCATGTATATATGTGTATATACGTATATACTGATCCTGGGTCTAATCATTTTCATTCTGATATAGGAATAATTCCCCGTGCCGCCCAACTTCTCTTTGAAAAGTTGACTGGGGCTACACATACTCGCACAGGTTCAACCGGTCTACGGACCCCAACACGATATTCCGTCAATTCGTCATTGCCCCATTTCGGCAAGGGTGTGTTGGATAAAAGTTGGCAGCTGAAAGCCACTTATGTAGAGGTATATTATTCCTCATCGTTATCATTTTTTTTTTTTTTTTTTTTTTTTTTTTTTTTTGGATAGATCAGGCCTTCTAACCCTGTTGGCGTCAAGATTTATAATGAACAACTCAGAGACCTCCTCCTCCCTGATACCACACCCCTTGCAGAGCGAGGTTCTGTTACCATCCGCGAAGATACCAAGGGACGGATCCTACTCACGGGCCTGCACCAGGTCAACATCAACTCATTCGAGGATCTTATCGGGGCTCTGAATTTTGGTTCCTCTATTCGACAAACGGATGCCACCGCGATCAACGCGAAATCCTCCCGCTCGCACGCCGTGTTTTCTTTGAACCTAGTCCAGCGCAAAGATCAGACCTCGACTCTGTCGACGCGTGAAAAACGATTATCGATGCCCGTCGAAGCCCTCTCTGGAGCTGACATATCAATTACTGTGGATAGCAAATTACACTTTGTTGACCTTGCCGGTAGCGAGCGCTTAAAAAACACTGGTGCATCTGGAGAACGGGCCAAGGAGGGAATATCAATTAACGCTGGTCTTGCTAGTTTGGGCAAGGTCATTTCACAACTTTCATCGAGACAGGCCGGTTCCCATGTCTCATACCGCGATTCTAAGCTCACTCGACTACTTCAAGATTCACTAGGTGGCAATGCGATCACTTATATGATTGCCTGCGTTACACCTGCCGAGTTCCACCTTAGTGAGACTCTAAACACCGTACAGTATGCCCAGCGGGCTAGAGCCATCCAGAGCAAACCTCGTATCCAGCAAATAACGGATGAGAGCGATAAACAAGCTGTTATCGATAGACTAAAAGCAGAGGTAGCATTTTTGCGCCAACAGATCAACAATTCCGAGGGCGGGGATAGAAGGAGCAATGCCCCCCAAGAACGCGCAGAACGTCAAAATGAAAGAGAAATAGAACTACAGAATCACCTTTTGGATGTTCAAGAGAGCTATACTGCACTAAGCCAGCGACATGCCAAACTGATCTCAGAACTAACAAAGGCTACTGATTTTACTGGGGATACTGACGACCTACAAAATCTGCTTGGTGATAGTGCGATGGAAAGGCTGAAGCGCTCCCATTCATTCGCAGAGTCTGTCGAGCAAGTGGTATTGGAGTATGAAAAGACAATTCAAAGCTTGGAATCATCGTTGTCAAACACACGCTCCTCACTGTCCAACACTGAAAGCAGCCTTCTAGAAAAGGAGACCAAGTGTGCCTATATTGAGACTGTAAATGCCCAATTACAGGCCCGCATTCAGAAGATGATGGATCGTGAAGCAAATACTGAACATTATCTACATGAACTCGAGTCCAAACTTGATGGCCATACCACTGGTGAAGAGAAAAACGCTGCTATTATTGCTGAGCTACGCAAGGAAATCGCTCGTGCGCGTGAAAATGAAGCCAGCTGTGAAGACTACATATCGACACTGGAGGAACGACTGGCGGAGGCTGACCAAGACATGGAGCTGATGCAACGCGAAATGGATAGATTAGAGCACGTTATAGATCGCCAACGCAGCCTGGGTAAACTCGATACCCTATTGTACGAGCTCGACCATATCCAACAGAATGGCGCTAAGTCGGATGATGGCAAAGGGGACACTCTCAACCACACATACACTCAGACCGCTCCTGTTGCAGGTAGGGAACTCCCGAAGACCCGAAAGCGGGGCCTATCTCAATCTCTCGATGTGCTGATGGAAGCTGTTGAAACTGCTATTCCCGAATCAGATGATGATCTCGGAGAGATTCCTCCAGAGTCTGGGTCAGGCCCTTCTGAACGAGAAGAGGTGGGAGCTCGTAACGGCGAAGTCGATGACAACGACGGACTGAAGACGCTACAGAAAGCCTCTGGAGAGAGCAATCGCCAAAATCTAACCACAGACCACGATTACCCTCCACAGAGCCCTGCTCAGTCCCGGTTTGTTGCGGAAAAGCTGGAGGATGTGACGCAAGAACTATTTGAACTTCGAATACAGCACGAGACCACCACCAACGAATACGATCTTCTTCATGCAAAATATGAAGAGGCCCTTCGCACCCTTGCTGAGCTTCAGGATGCCGTTGATGAGGCTCGCCACCCTGCGAATGTGGCTGCTGCTGCAACTCCGATGACCAGCTCTCGGCCAGTGTCTTTTTTAGAAGACTCGAGATTACAGGCGCTCAGGTCTGGCGGACAGCCTTCATCTTCGCGATTGCTCTCCTCGGAGTTGTCCTTGGCCGAGCAGTCAGCTATTACACAGGAGCACTCAGAGAACGGGCACCAGGGCAATTCCGACCTACCAAATGCATTCGACACGGATGAGCCTCATCATTCTGACGTGGAAAATATGCAGAAGTTGCTACAAGAACACCAGCACGGCATGAGCTTAGTGACGCAGAAATATGCCCAGCTCCAGTCGGAACATGAGGAGACCTTGAACCTGGTTGAAGATCTGAAACAGGAGCTCCAGCGCACAAAGTCTTCCTCGCCCACGACTCCGTCACCCAAGGCTCAAGTCATCCGACGCATGACCAGTCAGAACATGACCACCGTTGACCGCGCACATCGCTCTCTCGCATCTCTGAGGAACATTGCCATTGAAGAATTTGAAGGCAAGCCCGATACCATGCAGACTTTCGAAGTCAGCCTCAACACTGCAATGCATGAGCTGCACATTCGCATGGAGCGAATACAAGCTCTTGAGGCTGAGAACAAGAATGTCAAGAAGGAAATGGAGACCAAGGCAACTATTATTTCCGGTCTGACCAGGGAACGATCTAGTCTTTCCGGTTCGTCGCCGATGGATATCTCTGTAGTCTCACAGATGCGGGATCAGATCCTGCAGCATGAGAACCAAATCAAGGAGATGCAGGAAGCGCATGATGCCCGGGAGAAGGAATTGACAGCTAAAGTTCAAAGTTTGAACGAGCTGTTGGGGACACAGAAGGCTCTAGTGTTTGAGAAAGATGAACAGATTATTGCTCAGAATCAAAAGATTGTACAACTTGAGGAAGCAAACTCCGATTGGGAAATCAAACACCAAGGCGTCGTCGAGTCTTTGCTATCGTCTGAAAATAAACTTCAAGCCACCCTCGTTGAACTGCAAGCTGCGCTGGCGGAGCGAGCGGAATGGCAAAGCAAACACCGTGCCGCGGCTGAATCTCTCCAGTCCTCTGAAAAGCAGCTACAAAACACAATGGTCGAGTTGGAAGCTGCTCTCGCTAATATTGACGCCCTGCGAAGTGAGCGCAACGAAGTCGAGGGAGCCAGTGCGGATGAAATGGCTGCAGCTGCGAAAAGTTTTGAGACTGCCCGGGTTAAACATCAAGAGCTTGTGGACGGTCTTAAGTTTAATATTGAAGAGCAGAAAAGCACAATTTCTACTCACTTGTCCACCATCTCCGGATTGGAATCGTCTCTCGCCGTTGCCAAGGAGGAGATTTCTCAACATGAGAACGACGGCCGTTCAAGCAATAGTGAATTGGAGTCATACCGTGCTCGCGCTGCTGCTTTAGAGCAAGAGATCGAATCCCACAAAGCTACCGCTGAGGCGCAGAAAGCGGAACTTATGTCCCTACAAGAGTCACACAAGCGAGAGCTGGAGGAGCTAGAGGTCAAGGTCAAGGTTGCTGCGGAGGCACAACATGAATCGCGAATGGCGGAGGAGAACGTTCGCAATGAGCAGGCTGTTAGCGCTCTACGAGCGGAAATCTCTGCATCCAAAAACGAACTGGCGAAATTGTTGTCTGGCGTCACCGCAGCTTTGAATGCTCCTGTCACAGTCAATAGTCTCCAGGAGCAAATTGAAGACCTCCTTTCTCAGAAACAGCAATTCGCTGAGAAATACTCTGCGCTGTTCGATACCAATGAAGATCTCGTGAAAGAATTGGAGACAAAGACAAGCAGCCATGCCAAACTCGAGAGACAATTCACTGACCTGACGGAGAAATCCAGTCGACACGAAGCCAAGATGACGGAGCTTGCTCATCTCGTTGCTAGCCATGAGGATGCCCTCAAGGAGAAAGAGGATCTCATCAAGAAAAAGGACGCGATTATCAATGAGATCACCGTTGAGAAACAGAAGAGTGCCCGCCTCGTGGAGGAGCTGGAGGAGCAGATTACAAATACCTTCGATCAGCATCATAACCGCCTTTCTGTGATTCAACAAGAGAGACACCAAGCGCTTGATGAGGCGAATCTCAAGATTGGGAATTTGGAGAAAGAGATCGAGAGTTATCGGCTTCGTATTGAGCAACTGGAAGTAAGTTGATTTTTTTTTTTTTCTTTCACTTGATTTTGCGCTTCTTCCTTACTAACAGTAAAGAACCAGGGTCAAATGCGGAACGGTGATGCACCGTCATCGATCGATCGCACTGGCTCCATGACGTCGAACCTCCGAAAGAGTGCATCAGCAGCATCACTACCATCGCCTCCGCCCGCCATTCCTCTCCCTCCTCTTCCAAACATCGCCGCGCAGACTGGAAGCATATCCCCACCCAGCTCACGACATACCAGCAAGGAACTCGTCAATGCCCAGCTCGTTGAAGACCAGGAAGCGCGCATCCGCACGATCGAGAAGCACCTACACGCCGAGAAACAACTAACTGCCACTCTCGAGGAAGCACTGGGCGATCTCGAGGCTCAGAGCAACAAAGTGAAGACGGAGATGGAGGCGTGGAAGAAGAAGGCATGGCAGTACGAGGACGAGCTGACGCAGTTACGGTCTGAACGGAATTCAACGAGATTGTCCATCCAGGCAGTAGAGGAGGAACGGAATGCACGGCGGGAGGCGGAGGCTGCGCGCGCGCATTTGGAGGAGAAGATGAATGCGATTAGTAAGAAAAAGAAGAAGAGTACGCTGAACTGTTTTTAGCAGGTTCTTCTTCCTTCACACCCCTTTACGTGGTTGTTATTGTGAATTTTTCATTTCATTTCATTTTTTGTTTTCCGTACCGTCTCTGTTAATTTCCATCCTGTCCCTTTGGATATATAATATCCCATTGCTCGTGCTTGTGCTTTGCGTGTTTCTGTTTAAAAAAAACTAAATTGACATGATGCTCCTAATTATTTATTATTACCCAACACCCTTCATACCCATACCTATGCCCATGCCCACGCCCACGCCCAATATTTTATTACTAGTTTTATCTTCCTTTCCCCTTTTTTTTTTTTTTTCGCTTCTTGACGATGTCATTTATGACCCAGATATTCTTTATTTTCTTTTCTCCCTTGCTCCCAATCCCAAAGCTCCCAACACTCTTCTTCCATTGACTGTTAATTATATATCCCTCTCCGTACATGCTACTTGCCGCCTTTTACATTTTATTTTGTATTGTTTTATCTGTTAGTCTGCTTTGTTGTTTTGTTTTGTCTTCTTTCGATATTCTTATCTCCCGATACTTCTTTTATACCTTCTTCCTCTTGTATTTCTTCCTCTTGGACTGCCTCACCTTCACCTCACCAGGACCTAAGATGAGATAGATAGATTCATTTCATTCTGTCACCCTTTACACTCTACTCTTCTTCGTTCAAAGTCTGAACTTGTAATCCATTCTACCGACCAGCAGTGGTGATTCGCCCTATACCACTTAGCGGGTACTATGCGGCTCTCATTTGTTTTTGTTTTTGAAAAACTGCTCACTATCATACCATTGCCTTGACTTCTATATAAGTATGGTTTGGCCCCCATTTTTAAGTGTGTGTGGGTGTGTAGCTGTTAGTTTCAACATTGCTAAGCTGCTTTTTATTTCACAATCAACCCCTCGCCTCTGTAAACGTAAACTTGCTCTTACATGACATGACCGATTTTATTGATTGGATTAGAGTTTATTAAATTTAATTCGTCTTTGAAATGTCCTTTTTTGGACCCTCATCTTTGCTCTTCTTGCCTGTTCTCTTCCTCCTCTCATAGTTTATTGTTACGTAGCTCTGTAAGTGTAAGTATTGAATATATTCCATCAGGATACTATCAGAAGCCGGCTAGCAAATCGGCTATTGTTACCATTTGGAAAAGTAGAAATAAATAAATAAAGGATGTACTGTACTGATTCGTTCTTATCTATTTGTAGGTCACATGAGCTATACTCGGAGCTATGACCACCATGTTCGGTCTGGTTTGCCACGGAGCTCTAGTTATCCTTAATGAAATTCTCCAATTATATAATTCCTTCCATATTTTCTACAAAACCAAAACGGACCATTCCAATTCCAATTCAAATCAAATCCAACTCAGATGTCAAAACACGCACCTCGCAAAAAACGCAGAACAATAACCATCCTCCACCCAGACCTAGGGATCGGCGGCGCAGAGCGCCTCATCCTCGACATTGCGCTGGCTCTGCAAGCGCGCGGACACAAAGTGAAAATCTACACGTCGCACCGGGACCGTAGCCACTGCTTCGAGGAGGCACGCGATGACACGCTGGACGTGACTGTGCGCGGAAACACTGTGTTCCCAGATCAGATTGCGGGGCGGTTTCGGGTGTTGTTTGCTGTGTTGAGGCAGGTGCATTTAGTGGTGTGGTTGTTAATGGCGCGGGAGCGGGAGCGCGGACGGGAGGGAGATGCGGTTGGTAGGCGGGACAGAAATGAAGTGGGGGATGACGACGACGAGAAGGAGGAGGAGGAGGAGGATGTATATATCGTCGACCAGGTACCTGCGTGTGTACCTATTCTGAAGACCTTTGGGCGACTGTTTTCTAAAGCGAGAGGGAAGCAACGCATCCTCTTCTACTGTCATTTCCCGGATCAATTGCTCGCTAAGCGTGACGAGGGTGGAGTTATGCGACAGCTGATTAAAGCGTGCTATCGATATCCATTCGATTGGTTCGAAGGGTGGGCGATCAGTGCTGCGGATAAGGTTGTGGCTAATTCGAAATTTACGTGCGGGGTTATCAGGCAGGTTTTCGGAGATAGGTTTGGGGATGTTCGGGTTGTTTATCCGTGCGTTGATACGGGGATTAAGGATCTTGGAAAACTAGTTGAGGGGAAAAGCCTTTGGGGTGGGAAGAAGATTCTGCTGAGTATTAATCGGTTTGAGAGGAAGAAGGATATCGGACTTGCGATTCGGGCTTATCATGGTCTTGGGGAAGAAGGGAGACATGGGACACGGTTGGTCATTGCTGGTAAGTTACTCTCTTCTTTTCTTTATTAATAGCTGTCTATGATTCTATAGTGGCCGCTTACTCCTATTATGTATAGGTGGGTACGATAACCGCGTACAAGAAAATGTCCAATATCATACAGAGCTGGACGATCTAGCCACTGGCCTAGGCCTAAGAACTGCCACATCAAAAACAGTTATATCTGCCCTGTCCATCCCCGATTCGATAGAGGTCTTATTCCTACTCTCGGTGCCGTCCGCATTTAAACAAACTCTACTTTCAGCAGCAACGCTTCTCGTCTATACACCATCATATGAGCATTTTGGCATAGTTCCTGTCGAGGCGATGCGTGTAGGTCTCCCAGTTCTAGCCGTAAACAACGGGGGACCATTAGAAACGATTATAGAGGGGAAAACTGGTTGGCTGAGAGGGGCAAACGCTATCGAAGAGTGGACAGCAGTGATGCGCAAAGCGCTCTGGGAAATGGATGCGCACGAAGCTGCGGTAATAGGCGCCAACGGCAAAGAAAGAGTGGAAAAGGAATTCTCGCTACAGGCCATGGGAGACCGACTGGCAGCGGAAATTGAAGATATGTTTGACAAGGATGCTCGTCCGTTCCTTGGGTTGTGGAGTGTATTCTTATTTGGGGTCGCAATTCTCGGGTTGGTAATTGCTGTGCTGGTCGCGGCGTTCACAAAATTGCGAATAAAATGAGAGGAATTGCCCCTCGAAATCGACAATTCCCCTTTCATCGAGCAAGGGCGAGAAGTGATTTATCCGCTCCAAAAGTCCCTCCTGCTTTTAGGCAAAAGATGACCTATTTGATACATACCTACGAACAACGGGTGGTGGCATCTACATGGACTCCGTAAAACCTAGGTTTTGTTCGGGATATATTCTTGTGGTAAGTTTTACACTCATGTCTGTGGTCCTTATATATCACAGCGAATAGCACAAGGCAATGTTGATACCAGTCTTGTGTTCGTAATATGTAGCAGAAGGAAATATTCAATGTATTGAACCCAGTTCCTTTGTCTGCAATTTGTTGTGAAGAACCGGGTCAAATGCTTGCTGGTCCACGATGATGAATATATTAGTTCCAAGTAAGATACACGCAGGGCTAGCTGTTCAAGAATCCTTCTTCAGCTTGGCAAGTAACGTGATTATCAATGCCTAGTTTCATATGTCCATACCACATCAATATTTCAAGGCTCGATCCTCTTAACGGCGTATTTGCTTATTGCGGAATTTGAACTTGAACGTGGATGGGTTATTGGTTGATCGAAGCTATGCGACAAGCAACCCATTATGCCGCATCAGTTTTACCCTTCAATGTAAGAATGAATTGTGCAGTCGAAATGAATTGTAAACACTAACATCGAACAGCAGTGATATGAGATATACATATGTAGAACTAGAGCATTGGATTTGAAGTTACTAGCGCAAGTTTCCTTTTTAGGCAAAGCAGTCACATGATTACGTGTTGAGATCGCGTTTGCTCAAACCTTGCAACGTCGAACATTGATGATAAGTCAAATTTCATCCCGAAACACGAAGAAGCGCAATAAAAAGGTGCTGGGTGCTGGCAATATCGCTCGTGGTTTTCTTTCTCTTTCTTCTATTCCACTCACTGATAACTTTTGGCTTTGGATATTCTGGTTCTGTGTTTCTGTTTCCAGCACTTGGGATATGAGCTTGACCGTTGTTTTGGATGATGATATGCAGAAATTTATTAAATTGATATCTTCTCAGGAGCACAACTGACTTTGTTTGGATCGGCGTGCTCGGATCCCATCATGCCTGAGGTTATCAGCCTCCTATCATCGCCGTTTTCGGAGACGCATCCAGTCCGTCAGTCGCCCATAACATCCGAGCCACTGGCTCGCACAGCTGGCATCCCGTCTGATGATTCAATTTTCGACTGGGGAGACACAAACCCTTCCAAGAAGCGAAAATTGAGTTCCCAGCGCGGCCTCAGCCCTCCCAGACAACCTACCCTTTCCCCGGAAAAACGCCCTCTACTCCTATTTTCTGACTTGGAAGAGAGTATTATATCTTCTCCAGGAACCCAATTAGACAATGACTATATTTCAACAACGAAAAGCCGTAAATGGAATGGCGACATATCAGACCCTATTGAATTTACATCATCAGCCGCGGATGGGATATCCACGCACGATGGGGGCAACCATGCAAAAAGAACTCCTGCTATCATAACATTAGACGATAGTATAATAGAAACGGATGGCCTATCTTCCCCGGGATGTCCGCTGAATATCCCGTCACCAACTATTTTGAAAGCCGGTTTGTCCGATAAAACAACGAATCTACTCTTGCGGATTCAAAATCGTTCGTCGGCTGAACCCATCCAATCCAAACAGAGAGTTAGCACCCATGTGTCCAAATCAATACCCTCAAACTCTAGAATACGAATGCCAGACCCAAGCCCAACGACAGGTATAGATTCGAGCTCCCCTCCGCCAGTGCTTCCAACGTCCAAACCAGAAAGGGCACCCAAGATGTCCACTACTGGTAGGGAAATGCGGGAAGCAGAAAGGCGAGCTGCAATGGAACGCCGCGAAAAAGAGAGGGAAGAAGTGAAAGCACGGAAGCAAAAATTAAAGGAGCAAAAAGCAAAAGAGAAGCAACTAGCTGCTGACCTCGCAGAAGCCAACAAGCGGAAATTCGATAAGAAAATTTCCACGCCGGAAATGATTATAGACATGTCGTCTAGCTTTGAAGAATCCAGCGTTGGCAACCAAGTTACGGAGTACATGCGACATCTCGGAGTGGAAAAGCATTTCGTTTCTACTCGCATACCAAATATCGTTACATGGAGGAGGAAAGTCACTGCTCGGTATGATGATGAGGCTGCACTCTGGGAGCCTTGCCCTCTGACCATTAGAACGGAAACACATGTCCTATGTCTATTGTCGGCACAGGAATTTGTTGACATGTCGATAGCAACAGTAAATAGTGACAATACCCTCGATTCCCATGTCCTCAAAATAAAACGTACTTATCCCGGCTGCAAACCAATTTATCTCATCGAAGGCCTAGGCATATGGATGAGGAAGAATAACCATTCAAGGAACAGAGCATACCAGGCATCTGTTCTTCGAGAATTAGAAAGCATCCCCCAACTTCAACAACCGCAACAGCCACCCAAACGCCAAAGAAAGCCCAAACAAGCAGCGCTCCAACCTGCGCTAGTCGATGACGACACCATCGAAGATGCTCTGCTACAGCTCCAAGTGCAGCATGGATGCCTCATCCAGCACACCGCAGCACCGAATGAATCTGCAGAGTGGATTAAGAATTTCACTGAACATATTTCCACGATACCCTACGGTCAGGAGCTCATAAATCTGCACGACGCTTCATTCTGCATGGACGCCGGCCAGGTGAAGTCAGGCGAAGATAACGCTGACACATATGTCAAAATGCTACAAGAGATTCAGCGTGTAACCGCTCCGATATCATATGGAATAGCATCGCAATATCCCACTGTGGGAGATCTTGCGACAAAATTGAAGGAGCAAGGGCCCTTACTTCTGGAGGATGTAAAGGTATGTTATGTTCCCTTATATCTGGTGGCCCTATCTTCCGTTTCTTTTACTGCCAGGCCTCAATATCCCTTCCAGATTCCACTTTTCCAATTGTCTCTTAGACACTAGGATTGTTATAATTGAATAATCAATAAGCTAACGGTCCAACCCTCATCGCAGAAATGTGCAAATAGAAGTGGTGCCCTGACAGATGCCCGCGTTGGCCCCGCTATGAGCAAGCGTTTATATAAAGTTTTCACGGGCTTGAATCCATCATCAACCGATATCTGATGGCCTTGGGCATTATATATACCTATCATTAACGAACGCCCCCTTTATTACTACAGCGGTCACGATCTTACTTCATGGTCTGCAGCGCTTTCGATAATTAGATCAAAACATAACTCCGGCACCTCTGATTGGAAATTTCCTTGATATATGAATACAGTTTCACTCTCATACCCCTGTTTGTTTATTTTTTATTGGCATCTCGATTGGGTATCACTGATGGTTTTTTACTTCTTTGTATCTTCATTCACCTTTGGCAGTTGCCAGCAGGGAAGGGAGGATCGAGGAAAGGGGCCAGGCGAAACAAGAGAAATGAGAAGTTATTGGCTGAGCACGGTAGTTCCCGATCACCCCACCTATTGGACACATCCAGGTAGCAATTATTGAAGAGTTGGTAATCCACAGTCATGACCTGGGTTTGGGCTGTGCTGGTGGTATAAACACACTCATGTATATCTACAAGACACTTTTTAACACGACGTCCTCGGTTTCTCTGCATTCGCACTACAACTAACTCAACCCGTAAGAATATTGAAGCGGTTACAAGATTTATGACAGGAGTAAAATTGCTTTTAAATCCCTCTCTTTCTCTGTCCCTCTTTCTCCGCTTACGTAGATATACATATCTGTAGCAAACAACTCATTATAACTCGGTCACAAATTCTGCTTAACCTAGCCAAGCACAATATCTATCTATCTAATATTTGGGGGATCCTTTGACTTTTTCTTCATTCTTTATTCAGATGATTGCTGTTTGACAGAAGCGTTGCATCAATCCCTTGCTACCCTCTAATAAATTGCCTATTCCTCAAAATCCTCAGCCTATCAATCCTGGATCCAAAGAGCGGAACTATCTATCCGTATTTCCATGAGCAAAGGCAAATCAAGCCAATTCCTGTCCACATTATTAGTCTACTATCCATAAGGGGGGGAAAAAATCTATATATATTCCCGAAATCAGGTTGTTATCTATACTATACAACAAAGCTGGGGCGGTAAACAAAAAGCAAAACAAGACAAATACAAAAGAAATGTTCAGAACAGTCCACAGGGGCCGATCCAATATGCCAAGCACAACTCGTAAGTCCCCGTCCCGTCAGACAAGCCATGATATCCTACTATGGCTGGCTACTATAGCGAGATAACCAACTACACCCGCATTTCCAACCCTCATCGCTGCGGATCAATCAGACCACAACCCGCCGCCGCCTCCACCCCTTCCACGCAACCGCCCACAACCCAATAGCCACCCAGACACTAGCCGTGCACCCGAGGGCCCAAAACCCATAACAGCGCCAGCCAACACACTGCTGATTCCCATCACCCGTCCTCCTCGCCGCCTCATAGCAGGCAGAGTAAACCGCACCCCAAACCGCGGCCCCCGCTGCGGGGAACATGGCAACAACACCCCAATTCGTTCCGAAGTTCTCCACGCCCCACACGACGGAGATGATAATGGGGACGAGCGCGAAGGAGGCGCCGTAGCCGACGCCCACAAGCGCGGTGGTTAGGTGGAAGGACTGCGGAGCGGAGAGGGGGATGGGTGTGGCGAGGAAGAGGAAGCCGAGGGACAGGAGGAGGGCAGAGGGGAGGAGGAAGGTTAGGCGGGAGAACGTTGTGCGGCGGATGAGGCTGGTTTGCGGTTGTTGAGAGGCGGTGGGGGAGGAGGCGGGTTGGAGGTGGGAGTGGGTTGGGGACGGGGCGAAGAGGTCGGATAGGTAACCGGTTAAGAGGCGGGCGAAAGTGGAGGTTAGGGCGATGGATGTGACGTGAGTCGCCCGGCTGCCAGCGGGAGGTGCGAGGTTGGGAGGGTATGAGGGAGGGGTTAGGGTTGGGATTATGGTGCCGACCTTTTTGTTTAGAGAAGTTAGTGGGGATCGTGTAAAATGGAGAAGAAGAGTTACAATAGAAGGAAGAAAGATAGTTGGGGGGAAAGGGGGAGGGGGAGGGGAATTAGTAAAACATACATTATTTATATATGCCTCCCCAGGGCCCGTTATCAAAAAGAACCCAACAGCAAGCCACCACATTGTCCTATCTTTCAAGAACAATCTCGTCTCTTGGTTAAGCAGCCAGTCCTTCTTCCTCCGCTCCTCTTTCTGGTAGTCGTGTCGTTCCTCCTGCGAAAGCGTGAGGGATTGAGCATCAGTCTCGATGGGCGTGTCGGCCCCGGCCCTAGACCCAACCCCGGCTACGATGCCATCCATAGTACCATACGAAACGGATGATGAAGCCATAGCAGCCCGAACCTCCTCTCTCGAGCGAAAAAAGTCATTTTGACCAATAATACCACTCCGCTCCAGCTCCTCCACCGCCTCATCGATCATCTCTTCTTCATCCACAATGCGCAACGCAAATGTCCCACCAACCCCAACGACAATCAACAATATCCCCAGGAAAAGGAAATATTTGAACACATCGACATCGCCCTTCTGCCCATCCGGCCCACGCTCATAGAGCAAGTGACTCCCCACCTGACTCTGCCACATGCCACTGAGCCCAAAAGCCGCAATAGGCAGTGCAAGCATAATGCCCTTGCGTTTCCCGCGGCCAAAGTTCTTCGCACACGTCGTGACGGCGGCGAGATACATGCAGCATGTGCCAGCACCCACGCCAACAAAGGATATAACCATAACCGCGAAGGGCCAGCCCGTGCCGCCCACGTCAAGCGGCGGTCCGGATTTGTACGTGAATGCCGCGAGGAGGTAGCCACTGCCGAAAAGGAAGGCAGAAATCAACGATATAGGGCCGGGAGTGTATCTATCGCAGAGATAACCGAAAAATGCCACCGGGAGATACATGGAAACCGCAGCGGCGACGGCGACGGCATTGACGCGGAACTGAGAGTAATGGAGGCGGGTTTGGAGGAGGGGTCCGTAGAGGGAGAATGCGGTTATGCTTCCGGCGCAGAGTCTTCATCATATATATCCCCAACGAAGAGAATCAATTAATTGGTTTGTGTATATATGATGGCCATGGAGCAAGCCACTTTATACTCCCAGGAGAGGGGTGATGAAAGATTAGGAAGAATAAAAAGGGCCTAACATACGCACTCCCAACTCCCCATGTTAAGCTCACGACCTTTACCACTTGCCGCTTCCACGTCTTCCTATCCCGCTCACTAATTTCGCAGGCGACATCACCGTAGTCGTCACCGTCGCCGTGACCGGCATGGCCGTTGTGGCTGCGGCCATCACCACGCGGCTCACCTCTGTCTCTCCCACGGCCAAGATCACCACCTTCCTCCTCATCTTCAGTATCGCGAAGGAGCAAAGGTCGACCGGCATCGAAATCGCGCTTATCGATGACTTTTGCATGGCGGGTATTGTTGGGGGCCGGCATCTTCACGAAAAAAAAGGGGGGGAGAGCCGACACAGGTGCCTCGAACGTGATCTATCGGTATCCGTCTATCCGTCCCGGGCCGCCGAAACAGTCACTTGGCCTGGCTTGTGTCCGTGCGTGCGTGCGTTCGCGATGTTGTGATGTATTTATATATAGTACTTTCCGGACTCCAACACTAACCCCGACCATTCAACACAGGAGAACACCAATTTCGATTCGAACAAAAACCCGGGCTCATCGAGCGGGTAGGTTGGGTATTATAGGTCGGGTAGGCACAGATACGATATTCCCCTCTCGCGAACCCCCCTTTCTGTAGCTTTTCCCGCTCCAAAAGTCTTCCGAAACGTTGATTTTTTTTCAAACAAGTCCAAGATTATATCTATACATATGTAGTATACGGTGGAAAACAGAACCTCATCGCCCCCACCTGGCTTTTTGCACTTGCAGGCTGCAAAATGGCGTTGAGCAAGCAATTTGGGGTCATGCCGGATCGCTGGGTTGTAACTTGCGTGCGTCCAGTATGTTATGACGAATTCAGGTTGTTAGTGGAGCGGGATATCCAAATCCTGTCTCAACAGCTGCTGTGAGCGTTATCGGTTGCCGTCTCCCTTGCTTTCGACCCGTCGACCCTAGTCTCGATATTAGTCTGTCTTGTCCCGGAGCATCCCGTTCGACAGGGTAGATGGAGGTTGTTGATGTTGTTTATCACCAGCGAAGGTTGCAGTTGAGCCGCGGGAAGCTTTTCCTATTCAGGCAATATGTATGGTGCCTAAGCGCCGACCAATAACCATAGAAAACATTGCCTCTGCTATGCAATAGTTAAAAGGGAATAGACTATAGCATAATATTCATTCATTTCATTCATCAATTCTAGTTAGTTGCTAATGTTACGTTACGTCTGGATTTCCGGAATTTCCGCGAAGAAAAATGAAAAAGGAAATAAAAACAAGCGCCCCAGATCCGAATTCCAAACCCCAAATCCTGTTCCCATGTCCCATGTTGTATCCATGTCCCATGTCCCATCAGCCCATAAATGTTATAAACCGGGAGAGGAGGTGTAAAAAGAAAGGGGGGGAGGGGGAGAGAGAAAAACATATAAGTAAAGGAAGAGGGTGAACGGAAAAACACAACACCAGTAATAAAGAAGCAAATAACATTCAAGGAAGAATCGGAATCAAGTGTCAACCCTGTAATCTTAGCAAAAGATAACGCATGGGGGGGTAAATACCCACAATAGCTAATAAGACTCTCAGAATCAAAGTGGGACAAGAGCAACAAAGACAGCACACACTCCACCAACCCAAACTAAAGGCTAACCTCTCCAGGGTCTGTATCCATAACCCCTTCCTCCCAAAATGCTCCATCATACTCATCATCCCCGACCTCTCTCCCAATGGCCATTCCCGACCCACCTCGTTGCGAAAACGTCATCCCCTCCCCTTCCCCCCTCTCTACATAATCCTCATCCTTAATCTCCTTCAATATGCGCTGAAAATACATGCGCAGCGAGCGCAGGCCGCGAAGGTATCCCCGATCAATATCACAAGGGCGATGGGGCGGACAGGGCGCGTCGGGTGGTATACCATCTTCGCCCGTGATGCAGTTGGCGAAATCGACAATTTTCACGCGAAGGCCAAAACTATTGTGCCCCTCTCCGTCATCGGTGGCTGGTTTCTTCTTTCTTTGTTGTTTTGCGGCAGGGTCACGATCGCCTGTTGTCGTGACATCATCAGGCTTTTCTGGTTCTGCGGATTTTTCCGCGTCATAGAGGATCAAGAGGCTACTAGCGTACAGCCTGTAACCGGGGAGTCGCCGCACCATGTTTTCCAACCGAGCGAGTTTGTCGAGTATAATAGGGATCTTCTTCGTGACACTTGAGTAACTAACGCCATCATACAAGAATCTTGTGAGTGCATCCTGGAACTGTCGTCCAGCTTTGAGGTCACGCCCGAAATACTTATCCTCGAAAAGATAATCTTGTTTTTTGATATTCCAGACTTGCATTCCACAAAGCCGCACTCCCAACTGCTGCGATGTCGTGGTTTGGCACTTGCGTCTCTGAGATTTCTTCTTTTTCTCAGTAGCCTCGATTCCATACTGACGAGTACCCATTTTTAGATCGAGAACACACGGCCTATTCATGCCGGCAGTAAGGTCTTCAAGGAGCAGGAAGAACTGAACTCGTTCATCTCGTGTAGTCCGTGCTTCTTTGGGGTTTACGGGGAGCCGTACAGGACCCCCCGTGGAAGCTTCCGGAGCGAAGGGGAAATTTTTGTTCTGTCGCGAAGTGGCTAGCTCCAAAGTAGTCTCACTGTGCTGATCAGAAGAAGAAGCCTGGTCAAAAACAAGGGCAGGGTTCATGACAGATTCCACAGAAGCAGGCCGCGGTGGTATATCCCGTTCCATCCTCAAGATTTCATCTTCTTTATCCCCACCATATCCATCGTCATCAAAATAAACCAGTTCCCCAGGTTTACTATTGCTCATACTTCGTTTTCTTTCCAGCCCACCGCCGGAATGACGGCGCCGTATCCGCGAAGCAATGGGAGCCACGAGCTTAGGTCGACCGTGTACTTCTTCTATATATAATTTCTCTGGCGCATGGGTATCCCCATTCACAACTGTAGAGGCAGAAGAAGACGATAAGTTGGCCTCTTTTTTGTCTTCGTTCCGGTTCATTCGAAGCGGGGGGGCTGATCCTTCACGCACAGTACCCATGGAACTGTCGCTCTGTAAAGACTGACAATCTATCGAAATATGGCTTCGTCTTCGCGAGGTCTCAGCCCGCAGTCTGGAGAAGGAGTTATGTCCACGAGAGTGGCGCCGATGATGGTGGATTGGAGGCGGTGCAAAAACCTCCCGAAGGACCTGTTCCTGTAGTTTTGTATTTACAGTTGTCGCGCCCCAGCTTGCTCCATGTCGTTTTGGAATATGCGAACGAATGGATGATGCTGATGTTGACTTGCGCGCGACGTCGTCATCGTCATCATCATCGTCGTCATAACCAGCAGTTTGTCGGGTGCCAGAAGTATTTCCACTATCCGCTGACCCAGCAGAGGTAAAGAGATCTAACGGAATTATATGCCTATTATTCTCAAGGATCACCTTCGGAATGACGCCCGTAACCTGCGATTGGCTAAAGATCCGCGCACTTTCTGGGTCTTTGGTCTTTTTCGAAACTTGCGAGGCTTTCTCAGCGCCATTGTTCGTAGAAGTGGAGGGGGCAGTTCCGTTTTCAACTGCAATATCATCTGTCTTATTCTTTGGTCGCTTTGGGCCTTTTGAGAATGTTACATTGAGAACACCAATGTATCTGCAGGAAAGAGAGAACCCATCATTAGCATCTCTTTGATTATAAGAAATAGAATCCTGACCCATGACATCTGTGCTGCAAGCTTGGGTGTTTCGGGATGAACTTGGGAAACGAGATAAAAACAAATAAAATAAAATAAAATAAAATAAACAAACCTTGCTAGAAACATTAACATTTCCGGATGTCTACGCTCAATCCTCTCGTAAAACTCATTCTCCCGATTATTCAATTGCTTACAAACAGCTCGTCGGGAAAATCTAAATACGGTGGTATGGCCCCCAACTTGATGCCGATACGGTTTGAGCTCAACAGCTCCAAGCAGAGCAGTAGGCCCATGAGCATGTTTACGTTTAGGGTGCGTAGGGTAGCGATTACGGTGCGCTGTGGAAGCAGCCGGAATCGTACCCGCATCGTCAGTTAAACTAGATTCTTCCTCGCGTGCAGAAAGCCCGGTTTCGTCCGCAGAACCAAACTCAGACTCAGACGTCGATTCATGGCCGAGCTCTGAAATCGTAGCCAGTGAGCGGTCGTTCCCCTCGCTAACCTGGCCCTCGGGGGCCGTTGGCAGGTCTCCATGGAAAAGTCGAGTGCTGCCATCAGAACGCAAAGCTATGTCCACATGGTTGAATGACTCACTTGGGCGACCGTCATGATTCTTCTGGATGGATGAACGCTTGAGATCCTCTTCAGGAGGTTCCTCTTCCTCTGGGGTGTTGAGCTGCTCGATATCAACCTCGACCTCGACGTCCTCTGCATCTGCACGTTTGTGTGGAAAGTAGAGTGCCGATGAAATTCGTTCTTCATCCTCGTAACTATCTGAACCTGTCCCTCTAAGATGCTGTGTACTGTCAGACCCCACAGAATTACTACCGAAAGTGGAATCTGGTCCAAAAAGAAGGGCTGATGACCCACGGTCCATGATCGTAGTAGGCAGGCTGTTTGTCGACGGAGGAACGAAGCCACCGTAGCTCTTGATTTCTTCCAGGAGGTCAACGGGAACCTTCCTCCACCTGTCAGTCCGGGGTTTTTCTTCAACGATATCGGAGTGAAGAGGGTTTCGGCGGGCGCGTTGGGTAGGAGTGGCGTCAGTGGCGTCAGATACATCACTCCCTCCATCCTCATCATGCGTATTCTCGTCATCCTCCCGCTGTAACTGGTGAGGCTCTGATACGTCTGGCGGAAGGAGTATAACCTGAGAACGCGATGAAGAGGAGGAGCCTTCACTAGGGAATACTCTCCCCCGTTCGCCAGAATAATCACCGTCACCACCAAGTTGACAGTCCTGATCCCTAACACTCCGCTCCACAAGACGCTCATCTCGTTTTTTGCGCTCTGGAGATTTTGTATTCTCCTTGAACAGACCTAGGTAGTGGCTTGATTTGCGACTCCGAACGTTAGAAGCCGGTTCTGCGTTGGCCAGATCAGCTTCAATGGAAGTCTCTAGGTGTGAGGGGTGACCCTTGGTCGAGCTGCGGGCGATAGGAAAATCTCGACGAGAATCAGAGGAGTACTCCCCTGACCGAGACTGGGACTGGGACTTGGGACGGAGCTGGGATGGATCGGGTTGCTGCGTCGAGGTTGTGGATGATGATTGCGCACTGGTACTATTTTTTCTGAGCAATGGCTTCGTTGCCATCAAGGGAGTCATTTTGCTAGAACTCGTCGTAGCCGTAGCTGATGTAGTCATGACAGGTGTTTGCCTAGCTCCCGCGTTGGAGGAATCCGGGAGGATGGGGGAGACGGCTCCAAGGGAATCCCAGGTTTTTGCTCTGGAAAGCCGTAAAGATCGTAGCGGGTGTTCTGCGGATGTAAAATTAGGGGTAGGCGAAGGTCGTTGGAGGAAGGCATCAATTCCGTGAGGTTGATTAGAGGTGATAACGGTCGCACCACTGCCACCAGCATCATTTGTGCCGCTTCCAGCGACAACACCGCAGGTTCGCTGCGGAAGCTGAGTGGTAATCATCGAGACGAGGGGAGGGGAAGAGAGTCGGGGAGGCGAAGGTGGCGGGGGAGAAGCGTACAGGGGAAACGAAGGCTGCGAAGAAGAAATCGACTTGAGGCTGTCCTTCCGCACGGAGTCAGTGGACAGAGAAGAAGCATTGCCATCTTGCCGAAGGTCGGGAAACTGCAAAGGGGTATTCTGGTAATTATTTCTCGTGTTATCACTGTTATGGTTGTTATTAGCACTCTTATCCCACGCAGATGATCCTCCGCGGTCCGCCGACGTCTGCAGTGTTGCCAGCGGCAGCGGCAGCGGCAGCGGCTGTCGTCCTTCTCTTTCTTCTCCCTCTCCCGGTTGATATCCGTCTGTAGCTGTAGCGGACTTCAACTGTGGACGGAGTATGAAAGAAGCTCTTCCCACGGCCCTTTCCGCCGGAATACTATTTACATCGTTGTCCGAGGGTAGATAATGTGTGGCAAAGATGCTTTCCCTCTCGGACAACTGGGGGCTCCGGGATCGAAGGGCGGAGGAAGTGGAGGAGGCGGAGGAGGCAGTGACGGGGGTGGCTACAGAGGGCCCGTAAGAACAGGGTGAAATAGAGGAGGGAGAAGACGGGGAGGCAGCGATTACCCGGTGAAGAGGGAACGAGGCATCGCGGGGTTTTAACCGGCCCGCAGGCGCAGGCGCAGGTGTAGGTGTAAGGGGTGCCGTCGACGCATGAGTGTCGAGTGGTCCTGACGCAACGGGCGCAGCAACGTGGGCAGGCTGTTGGCTGAGCGACCCGCAGCCGGGGGCTTTGACTCTGGCTCTGGGATTGGAGGCTGGAGTCGACTGCAGGCAGCTCGAATCAGAAGAAGAATCGGGCGCAGGTGTCACCAGGGTTGTGGACGAGGGATCAACGGGAGCGGGAGCAGGTGTTGACATGGGGGAAACATTGGTCAGGCCAGTGCGATGAGGAAAGCCAGTGGGGTTAATAGGAGGAGGAGAAGAGGAGAAAAGAGCAGCAGCAATTCATAAGGAAAGCTAGTAGGACGAGAGGGAGTGGGAGGAGCGGACGGAGAGGGGTCGAGGAGCTGGGCTGCAATAAAAATAATGAAGCTGGAGTGCAAGTTCTGGCCGAGACTGGGATGAGGCGAAGGCTGACTGATGATGCCGATGACCTGGGGAGGTGTGGCTGGTGACGGCAAAACCCTAAAATTCAACAACAAGAACAGGATTCTCAGGGCCAGGGACAGCGGATGGGCAAGCACAGATGGTTTCTGTATGTATATAGATGTGTATATATGTATATGGCTAGTTAGAGCGATTCTGTCTGATCCATTATCTCATCTGTCCTTGCCGGTCAAATTCCACAGCAAAGCAGACTGCTTCTGCTGACCCCAGCCGCCGCTGATTGGGCCATGTGCTGAGCTGGAGCTGTCGCTGCGTCAGCCCCCAAGGTTGTGCCTGGCGACAGTGGAACTGCCACAGGTGCCCCGTCGAGATATCAGACAGGATCAACTACAGGAACAGGTACAGGGACGATGCACCACCACCGTGAGACAACGATCACGGTCAATAACATACTCCGTACTGGAATAATATCTCCCGATTACTGCAAAAGCTTACCCGTGCCACTCTCCATCCTTTAGTACCAGGTCAGGATCAATGCTCCCCAGCCACTCCACTTGCATCTTGCGCTTCCTCTCCACGTTCCGTCTCCACGCTCCTCTCCCGGCAATCATCCCAGGCCAACACACCATCGATCCCTCCAACTGCCTCCAAACGCTTGCTACATGAGGAGCACTGATTACTTCTAGTACGCAGCAGCCGTGGCCAGGAACAGCCCGGCCCGCCAGCGACACCCGTGGCCATATCTCTCACCTCCCCTCCCCTCCCCGCCCAATCAAGACCCGCCGTGCTCCCACGCGCTCTCCTCCTCCGCATACATACGCTGCTCTCCTGGCCCAAGACAAGTCCAAGACACAGACACAGACACAGTCACAGTCACCTTCCTAGGCACAAGCCGATAACTAGTATCCATTGTCAGACACGTTGCACGGCCAGCAATCGTTAGTATGAGGTATTTATCAATCCGCCGCGGGTTCCATACGCAGTACGGAGTACAGACCAGTACATTCATTTCTATACCATGCCGTGAGTGGGGACGGGAACGGCAACGGACGGCCAGGGAGTGTCTCGACTCCGCAGTGCGAAAGTATCCCCCCCAAACCCATTCATCCATTCATTAGCATCGTGGAGCTATGGATGTCCAAATCATCCATGGAGATATGCTAACACTAATACCCTCCCCCGCACTGGAAAACGTTCCTACCTCCTGTACTTGTACCCAACCAACGACACATGAAGAACCAGCGTTCAATGCTCCTGGGGCTCTTACATAGCAAGCAGATAACCTGCTCCTCCTCCTCCTCCTCGTCGTCGTCGTCGTCGAGCAACTGGCGATATCCCAATGGCACCTAAATTTCACCTTATACAACGATTACACAAATAGTACTATCTCCAGATTAGATACCGTGTACTCTATACCAGGTCCACGATAAAGATACAAAAAATGAAAAAGGGCGGTGAGAGAAAACCAGGCTCGAAAAATGAGCACATAAAAACTCAGTAAGAATCGATTGGTAAAAAAACAAAATAATACTCCAAAAAAGTACTCAGGGTCCTGCCGCGGTTCGAACGCGGGGCCTCTCGCATATTTAGGCGTTGGAAATAATAGCGCAAACCCAAAGCGAGAATCATACCACTAGACCACAGGACCAGTCATTCTTTGCATTGGACGGCTTATAACAGCAATATTTACTTACCATCTAGTAATAATAAATACGACGCAACTTTGCGGAGCACTATCGATGTACAGTACAGAGCACCGCAGATGGCAATTCCTGGTTTTGAACAAACGGCTCAATTTAATTAAAGCAAAATTGGTTATAGTGAGGGCGTTATCTAATTGCAAATCTTGGGACTGCGTACTTCCCGTACGTACGCCTTTGTCTTTTGAACGTGGTACGGTGGCAGAGTGAGATTATATATATATATTTATTTGGTATCAAAGTCAATTATCACCAAAACAACAAACACAGTTCCAAAATCAAAAGAGAAACGAAAACCAGAAAAAAAGGGAGGTGGCAGAAAGAAGAGAATAAAAGAGCCACTTTTGAAAAACCAAGCCCAGAAAGGACCTACGCATGCTACAAAATGCAATTAGAACGGGGTATTTCGACAGAAAAAAGGGGGAAGGGCCCAGGCAAGAGACCAGGCAAACCCCATGATACCAAAAGGAGGAAAACAAGAAATGAGACCCAAAGCCAAGATCACATACCCGTCCTAAACGCCATATATATCAAACAAGAGAAGGTGGAAAAATGAAAACAGCGGACAAACCCAAACCCCTTCTCCGTCCTGAGTCAATGTCCAGGCAGGAGAACAAAAGCAAATTTCATACAGAAAAGAAACCCTAAAACCCCAAAAGAAAACCCAGACAGAAGAACAATAACGGAAAGGCGAAAAGATTCACCATCAATTATCTTGCCGCTCCTTTTTCTGCTTGCTCTTCTTTTTTTTAAGAACCCCCAACTCTTCCAACCGCCTCCACACCTCATCCTTTCTCACATACCCACTCCTCCCCTTTGCACCACCATCACCACCACTGCCACCACTGGAACTGGCACTCTCATCCCAAAAATCACCTACGCTACCCCCCGCACATCCATTGACAATAGGAAGTCCATTCAAGACCCTCAACCTCCCCGCAGCCGCCGCCTGCACCATCAGCTCCACAACTCTTCTCCGCAACCTCGTTGCTTCGTCCAGGTGCACGACATACTTGCGATCTGCAATGACGTTCGTCGGCGGTACTGTGTAGTGGTCATCAATCTCAATCTCAACCCTCCCCTCATCCTCAGCTTCAGTCTCATCACGAGCCTCGTTGTCATCACCGAATCCTTTCCGCGCAATATCTGTACAGCCACCCAAGGTCGGGAAACCCGCATCATCCTCATCTTCATCCCCTTCATCACTTTTGCGAACCTGTAACTGCCTCTCCTCTTCGTCATACCCATGCCCATACTTTTTCTCATTCTTCCGTCTTCCCACCTGTCCGCCCCCGACAAGGCGGCCCTTCTCATCCCTCCACACCCTCCCACTTCCTGTGACAGGCGCCGGATAGAACCCCACCGTAATTGGGTTCCCCCTTAAATCCACATCGCCCAGTGCACCGCTGCGGCCACCGACGGATCTCAGAACCTGGCAGAGCTTCCGGAGCCGCGCGATGCGGTTACCAACTAACAAAACGCGACCAAGGCGTGTGATGCCTTGTAATTCGGAGATGTCGGAGAGCGCGTTGAAGTTAAGATTCAAGACGCGGAGGTTTGGGAAGGCGATGCCGAAAGTATTGGGTAGAGTTTCCAAGGCACACGAGGCGATGTCGAGGTATTGTAGGCTGGGGACGCCGGTTGGTGGAGCGAGAAGAGCTGGGGATAGGCGGTTGGATGATAGGTATAGCTTCCGGAGGGAGGCGGCTGCACCAAGGTCGAGGTGGATGAGGGGAAGTTGGGCCATCACGGATTGATGGGAAGAGGATGGCATTGTCTGTTCGCGGAGAGATAAGCTGTCGAGGTAATGACACTGGTCCAGACCGGTGATCGTGGAGAGATGGTTCCTGTCTAAATAGAGGAGGTGGAGGTTGGGGAATTTCCCGATATCTAGTTCCTCTATGTTATTGTTCGATAGAATAAGTGAGTGCATGCAATGAAGAACTTCCAACGATTCGAAATGCCGAATGCGATTTCCTCGAAGGTCCAGCTTTTCGATAGTTTTGATGAATCCAATGTTGCGAACACTCGTGAGACAATTATCACGCAAGTCCACGTGGATCAACCGAGTCCTTTATATAGCCGTCAGCGATCAATCGTCCCCTACTAAAATAGGCTGTATCCAAAAATTGAAATATACTTACAACTCGGCTTCCCCAAAGTCAACCTCCTCAATCAAATTTCCCCTCACCTTCAGCGACAACAACCCATTCAAATGCATGATACCACGAATATTCCGGATCCGATTCCCATCCGCCTTCAAACCCCTCAGATGAACAAGTCCCGAAAACGCATCAAGATCCTCCAACTTGTTCCCCGACACATCCAAATATTGAAGGTTAGACAGATGGCCCCATGCAGTCAAGTTTGACAGGCAGTTGCGTGGAATCTTCAATGTGCGAATGCCCGAGGGGACACCGCTAACCTGGCCCACGTTATTGTCGGATGCGTCGAGCTCCTCAAGTCGCGAACAGAATTCGTTCAGTCTGTGTAGCGTTATTAAACCTTTGCCGCGAAGGTTTAGTCGACGTAGGTGTTCCCAGTATGGTTCGTAAGGCTCTATGTCAGTGATGTGTTTAATCAAATCTTCAGTCGCCAGAGTAAATGTCCCGTGCACCTGTCTGAGAGAGGTCGGACGAGTCCGTTCAGCAACATAACTAACGTCACGTCGCATAGACTCATCAATTTGATGAAGCGTAAAATCAGACAGAGAGGCAAGCTGGAAGCTATAACTGGTATCCATGTTTGGGCTCCCTGGTAAAATCATCGAGCGGTCCTCATGCCCTGGGGCTTGGATAACAGAAAGGTCGTGATGTTGGGTATTATGGTCATCAATGGCTGAATCTTCAGTTCGCTCATCAATTCGGGAGATAGGTCTTCCCTTGAAAGTCCGACTATCGAATGAACTATTCTGGACCGAAGAGATCCGGAAGGGGGAGCCTTGGCTGCATGGACGCGGTAGGTTGTCTGAATGGCTCAGAGAATACCCGAAGCAATTAGACCCGAGGTGGTCATGATACGCCGTAGATGGCAACGGATGCTCCGGCTCAAGAGATTCCTCCCGGTACACCACATGGGATACCAAAGGGGACGAGAACGAAATCGTAGGTACCCGACCACGCCTTTCGCCGCCGGGAGGTTGGGCACTATCACACTTTAAACAATTTCCTAAATCATTAATTCCAGCAAGCTGTCCAGGAGCAGCTAGCTCCTCACTACCCCAGGACGTAGCTCTGGTTTCTGGCTTCGGACAGCTCGACGTAAACCGTGTGGATTTCGATTGTACGGAACTTGTCTCAAAACGTGCGCCATCTCGTGTATTTGGTCGGAAATCAGGAATCTGCTGACGATTATCCTCCCTTGCATCCCCTTTCTCGCCTTTCAACTGTTGCAGCTGTTGCTGAGATTCTTTCAGATTACTGGGTCCCCGTTCACTAAAAGCAGCCGCTATCTCACATAGTTTGCCCTTTGCCGTTGCCGGCGACGAAAACGTCTGCATAGCCATGAGCTCTTGTAGCTCATCAACGCTAAGGTCCGGAATATCTTTAAAGGGGTCTTCTTCACTGATAATGGCGTTGTCTTCCATCGCATTCGACACCAATGATCTTTCTTCAGCAGGTATCACCACGTCTCCGCCCTTTACCCAAGTATGCGCTGAGCGGTCATAAGTCATCGAACCGACCTGCTCGGGTATCAAGTGAGCTATCATCTCGGAAGATATGATCCCCTTGGCCCCAGAGCCACTCGAAGAGCCCCGGGAAGATGCTGTGGGCAATGAGTTTCCAGCTGACCTTTGCGACGACATGTCCTGCTGGGAATCCGCGCCGTCATGGTTATTAGAGCCGCTGGGTAAACTTGAAAAGGAGCCTGTTGCACCTTTCTCCAGGTCTGGGGCGGACAACCCTCGTAGATGCATCCTCGTGCTGTTTTCAACAGCATCATGCTCATTGCCGTCATGCTTATCTGCCTGCCTATTAATGGAATATGTAGCCATATACCGTTCCCGATTAAGATGTAGAGACTTTACGGACCCCCCCATATAAAGCCCAAAGTCATCCTTGTCTTCAAACTTCTTCAAATGGCTCACTATACGCGGGTGCTGCTTACGTGGTTGCTCTCGTAGCCTGCGAAGATCAACAACCCCCTCGCGACTTGGCGGCCTTGAAAACTCTTCCTGGGTCGACTGCTCTTCAGCATCCTTATAGGAGTAGTCCGGATCGCTAGCAACATCACTCAAACGTTCGGTTTCTTCAACACTCGACAAACCGTGATTATGCTTGGCGCTTCCTCTGGCACGTATTATGTCCATGATCTTAGTAGCTTCGTTCAAAAAATCTTGCGTGGTAATTGAGACTTTCCTACTGTCGTCGAAGATATGACTGGGGCTTGCGATGGAGGAGAGCTTGTGCTCATGTTTATTCTCAGCGTGTTGGACGATATCAAGGGGAACTTGTGGTTTGTAAATATGTTTAGTTTGAGGTATCTCTTGGTTTCCAACCTGAGACCTTATTTGCGAGGGAGTTGGCGTTCGTGGACGAGGTGGGAGTTGTAAGTCACCATCGTCTCGTTCTCCATTGCATCCAGATTGAATCTGTCCATAGTTCTGGTCGTTTTGGTTGTTATAACTGGCAGAAAATTGAGGAGATTCAAGAAGAGAAGACGCCAGAAGTTGATTATTGGGATCGATATTTTGTAGTGTTCGCCTTCGTTTTCGGCTCGGGTCTTTCGTCGGACTGTTCAAAACCCTCTTCGTCTCGCTCTGTCTAAATGGATTTACATCGCAATTTTCGTTTAGCATTGCTGGATTATTTGGATGGGTACCCATCTTCTTCCTAGCTGCTGGAGCTGGAAAACCATTAGTCTGTGAGGGGCCAAATGGATCATGTTGTTGTTTTGAAGATTGTATTTGGCTTTGTTTGCCGGATTCCCTTCCTCGAGATGGAAGATCTGATGGTCCTATCCCGTTTTCACTTGTGATTACCAGGGAAGGGGCGGGTAGCAGACTGAGACCGTCGGTTGGTTGCTCTGATGAACCGCAGCTATTTGAACTCAAGTGGTCTCTGGAATTGGCTTGATTCCGGTTCTCCTCGCAGGGCGATTTGGTGGGAGTTTCACAGCAACTTCGAGAGGACGATGTGGTTGCTGTTTGGTTTTTATTACGGCGTGAAGTCGGTTGGCTTCGGCTTCCCGTCTTCTGACGGTTTTCTGTAGGTGATGTGGTTGCTTCATCTGGGCCGTTATTAAATGACTCTTCAAATTGACTCATTCTTCTTAGTAGTTTGTTACTGGTAAATGTGTCGTACTCCCCGAATAACTTCAAGGGGCTACCAGACGATCTTGGTCTCGAGTCGTTCGTCTCGCGGCGTGCGCGGTGTGGCGTAAGGAATGATTGAGGGGGAGGGTGTTGTTGCTGTGAACCGAATGTGTCCTTGCGACTCTCATTGAGTGGAGTATTTCTGATGCTAGACAGGAAGGAGGCTGAATGAAGCGGCGAGAGGAGAGAAGTTGGTGAAAGTTGGCGACGGCGAAACGACCCATCACTGGAATAACCACCACGACGTATGCTTACAAAGCCACCACCAGTGGAGCCGAAATCCATTGTTCCAACAGATAAGTCTTCAGGTAGCGACTGACTGGTCATTTCGATAGAATCCTCCACTCCTCCCGTGAACGTTTGATTTTCCCGACGGCTGAGGTAACTGCCATCATCACTGGCAACTGAATTGTGTCTGCGAGAATCGGGAAAGGTTTCTTTTAGGTTTGGGTTTCTTACTTGCTCAAGAAGTGACTCCAAAATTTCCCGATTTGTGTAATCGCCAGCGGTATCATTGTCGTCCTTGGAGAAGAGGATCGGAGTAATTTCCTCGTTACGCAGTTCCTCCCTACCGCTCACAGTTCGTGATCTGGGATCAAAACTAGCACTTTCGCTCGCGTGGACACCGTCCCCCAACCAGCATTTAGCGTTATCTAAGGATGTACTGTATCTCTCCACACTGTCTTGGCCATCACCGACAGAATTTACGCTTCTAGTCCGGGCATCATCCAAATCGTTCAGCAAAACGTCTGGCAGCTTGTCGCTGGGCGATTTTGGAAGCTGTAGCGACCATGGCTGATCAACCTGGGTCTGCACGGATGTAAAAAGATTCGACCTTGCGTTTGGTTCAGTATGGGTAGGCGGCGGTTTAAACACATTCTCCAGTTCCATGGGGCCGAACAAGTCGCCCCCTTCTCCCATCGGACCTTCACCGCGATCAAGACGCTTCTTCCATTCTGGGGTACTACCTTCTTTGGTATGTTTACTTTGGGGTCTTCTGTGCATGGTCGAACTTGTGATAGGGGTGTTTTCGGATTGAACTTGTACGGATACTATAGCAATATTCAATAAAAAGGATTTCTCGTTAGTTACAGACTAATGAATGAAAAATTTCTTCATGTGGTACGAGCCATCTTGCCTTTTGGACCGACACTCGAGGTGACAACATTGATCATGGAAAAAGTGTGGTTGGACGAAACATTGCTATTGTTGCTTTCGACGTCTGATAAGCGGAGTGGCTCTGATGTTTTGCGCAAATGTCGGGAGAAGAAGGATGGTTTGTTTTGCGACGAAGAAACACTGGTGGGCGGAGAGGCGGACTGGCCGCGTGACGAGCGTTTGAAGGAGTTGGAGATGCGGTCGCGCAAGGAAGTTTGTGAGGAGCGAGATTGTGGGATCCAGTCTTCAGACAGGTCATCTAGCCAAGGTTGCTGTTTACTCATGTTGAGCTTGATTTGGATTCAGGGTTATGTAGTCAAGAGGTCGATAATTAATTCAAAGGGGGAGGGAGGCTCAACGAAGAGGTGGAAGGGAAGTGTGCGATCTAGGAGGAGTAGGGATTGCGAAGAGAGGATATATTAACATAATGGTCAGTTAATAAGGATATATAAGAGGAAGGCCTGTGGACTAAAAATGGACCATCAGCTAGTTAGGCGGCGCTGAGGATAAGAGATGTTGTTGAAGTTGTGGAAATGTATATAGCTCAGACGGTGTGGAGAGTTTGATATCATGATGCTTTGGTCACCAAGAAAACAACAACATCCTGCCAAATGCGGGCAGCAGTCGGAAAAACAGATGTTCCGGCCGCCTCTGACGGTTGGGCTAACTCAAATGCGGAATATATCAACCAGTCACGCAGTGTAACTATAGAGTGCTGCGTATTACGCACGGAGTATAGATAATATTAGAAAGATCTCCACGGCTGATGCATGTCCATTACATCAATGTAGCACGGCGACGGTGAGATTATCAGATCCCCGAGATAAGGCGCCATAATGAGCGCGTTTACTTGAACGCACTGATAATTACACATCGTTCACCTCACGTCCTGTTAACTAAAATGTAAATGCTATTTCGCAGATTAGACTGTTTGTGCGTATGCCGAATTCCAGGATCCAAGCTCGATTTCAGTCTGCATCCTGGAGCGCATTAACGACTTTGTTGGCCCAGCAACCAGCCGTAGCTCCCGAAACTTAGAATTCTACGCTTAGCGCGTTAAGTGGGACACGGGACCATGTGACTTGGAGCTCTGGCTTGCTTGTCACAGTTCGCTCAGCCTCCATCAAGGCCACAGTTCCTCCAAGAGAAGGCTTCAACATCCCCGCAGAAGTACACAATACCGTCAATCTGCTCCTCGATCTCCAAATGCCGCCCTCGACGTCCCAGTCATTGAATTCCCCATTCCTCACCCTTGGCTCATACCGTCCCTGGAGGCCATGGTTTTCAAGCGCCACACCTCTCCACTACACTTTGAACCCCTGTCCCCTCTACCCTCAGAGCTTCTGAGTGAATTTTCTGATAGCGACGATGGACTAGACCGTGCTACTCGAGCTGCGAAATGGAGGAAAATTGAAAGGTTAGGCCAGGATTACTTGGAGGGAAGGCCGTTGTTTATTTTATCCGCCGGTTTAAAGGGGCCCCTGGAAAATGGATGGGTGAACCCCTGGAAGCGGAATAAGGAAAAGGATAAGACACCACCACAAAAGCTATCATTGCCAAAACAAGATAGGGAAAGGGGATTGAAAAATGGTGTCCAAGGCTCTATAGCGGTGCCCTCAGAAGCTCCCTCGCGGCCTCTGAAACGCCCCTCGAACCGACCCCCCCGGGTTCGTCGTCAGGGAAGTGGGTTTGAGTCGTCTCTCGAACCAGAGCAAATTCTAGAACTCCAATCCAACCAAGTGCAAAGACAGGCAAGCAGTAAGGATAGCGGACTGCTAGGAGCGGATGTATTTAGCAATGCTCGACGAATGCCTTCAAATAGTATATTCTCAAAACCCCGAGCAGCATCGGCGCAAGTGAATTCAACGACAACTGAACGAACTCATCGATCTATATCCTCATCCACACCAAATCGTTGTTCAGTTGACGCCAACAACAGTTGGCTGAAGACTGATGAAAGGAGACCACATCTAGAAGAGTACGAACGCTCAACAGGCTCCAGTCCAACCCCTGGCTATCGGCCACGCCCTTCTGTAAAACCTGGACATAGCGCAGGAAGACCACACGACAAGAAAAGACAACGGGTGTGTGATTTGATCAATGCTGACAGCAGGAGCTACACCCCTCCTCGTATTGCGTTTACTCCTATCAATGGACAGGGAGTGTTAAGCTCCGCATCATCTAAAACAACCGGACAGCTTCTTCCGGAAGAAGGGCTCTCGTCCGGGAAGGGTTTGAGGTCGCCAGGTGGCGGCTCACACTTTTCAAAACCCGGCAAGCCCGCTTCCGCTTTCACGGGCCATTCCAGCAGTAAGAAAAAGCGAGAGGTTCCTCCTCTCGAAGGGAATACGGCCTGTAAAACAGTAACCATGATACAACCCCCAGGATCCTTTCAAGCTGGACTTTCTACAGACGGCTTCCCAGAGTCTCAATATCGCCTCCATGACCAGCCCGCATCAAGCTCGGATACACTTTCGAACTCTAATTGCAACATCGAACGTGACAAACATTGTCGATCTCAACCATTGCAGCATAAAACCTTACCGCGGAGCACAGAGAAGAGTCAGATAAATAATGGCTCCCACACTTTGCCGGCGGATCCAACCCCTAATGGAAAAGATGGTTTGCAAGACAGTCTGCAAATCTCCAGCAATGCGACAGCGTCAGCAACGATACCATCGGCCCAAATAGTCCCAGACCATTTCAAGTTTCCAATTCCAACTATGTCTCTCCATTCCACGTACTTTTCGGCGGCCTACTCCAGCGCTGTTAGGCGTGGAAGTCAAAACGGTGGATATGAGGAGCACTTGTCGACGCAGGCACCTGTTCCTAGTGCTCAAAAGCTTGCACGGGATGAGTTGGTGATACCAGCCAAGCTGGACGATACAAAGGCGTCAAAAGCCAATGAAGCCTCGAAGGTAGCTGCAGGTGGTGAGCAAGCCAAGCGATCGCATTTATCCGAGGCCAGCATATCGAACGTGCGAGCAATCAAGCCATTTTTCAGCACAGTTAAGAGGATAAAACCCGGGAAAAGGTCCGAAGCTGAAGCGGCGACAGTAGATGCAGCTGGAAAAAATAAGGGTCAGCAGAAACAACGACAAAATGGAAACCGAGCCCGAAACTCAGCTGTCTTCAATGATCCCTCATCGCCCGCCTCTCACTCTCGAAGTCAATCACGTTCACCATCGCCAAAAGCTACATCTCCGCCATGCCTCTCAAGCCACCCTTTCAACGCACCCTACGCCAGCATCAGCATCCAAAAAATTTCTCAGTGTGTCCCATCTGGCGAGTCACAGAGCTCGAACCCAGCGTCCACACTCCCCCACTTCAACCTCACGGCCTCCACAAGCGACACACGGGGATACCAAGACTGCCAGGGCCAGGGTCCGGGCTGGGAAAATTTCGACCTGAGCCAGGCGATCGCGGAGGCAGGGACATTTTTGGGGACCTGGGATTTTGATAAGGTAGGCCTTGAGAGGGTCACTCAGGGTGATAACACGAACAGCGTGAACAGCATCAAAAGTCATGGATATACGAGAAGCCGCAATGCCAATGATAATAGTAATAGCGGCGGTGCTAAGTATGAGATACCGTTACTACCAGCTTCGTCAGGCACGAAGTTGCAGTCGATACTGAAGCCAAATACACCTGGGCAGTGATCGGGATTTGTGTTCTCATCCTTTCTTCTTTTCCTTGCTGACCCAGCATTCCGTGGTTGGAGGATCTTATTGTTTCCTTTATATCTTTTTGTTGGGTTTTTTTTATTGGCGATAGAGCGTTGAGCACTACTGCGCAGAAGTACAGAAGTATTTAAACATATATTAAGACATAGAATCCATGGTGAAGTTAGCGTCAAGCGTGCATGGCGAATGATAGAAGATCAGCATTGCAGAGTTGAGAGTTTCCTTTGCACGGCTGGGATTTCCGTAAATTAGTTCTTTGATAAATATCTAGCATTCGAAGTTTTATGAAAGGAAAATAATTTTGACACCGTGTCATGTCTATTTTGATAAATACTAAATGAACGCGAGTTGTTTAGGTGTCTTAAATGGTTAGCCTGTAACTATTCCAATAAGCTTGCTTAGCTCGGTCCAGAAGGACCTTAACCGTCATCCCGCCGCCTACCACAACTGCCAACTCCAACATCTATCCTCCCTTCACAACCTCCTCCGGCCCATGGCGCCGGTGCTAGGAAATGGCTTTGACCTCGGTAAGCGGCCCATTTTCTCTTGCTTACTTCGAATCAATAAAGCAAAGAACCAAGCTAACATTGAAATGTAAAGTGGAAAACGTTTAACTTCTTCGACGTCGCCCCTGTCCAATTCCCGGACGACGGTAGCTCTATCTTCAATGTATGCGATGCGCCCGTGTCTCACATACACATTACGCACACACACGTATATGACATACTAACGAGAATACCATACGACTCCTGCAGGGCGACATAAGCAGCATCTGCTCTGGCTCTGAGAACCTCTTCCTCGGCACATCCGATGGCATCGTCCACATCCTGTCGCAGACCTTCAAGGTACTGCGCACCTTCAAAGCACACGACACAGGTTCCATCACGCACATGAGGCAGGTTGATTCCACCTCGCTGATCGTCACCATCTCGGAGGACCTGCTGAACGACCCGGTGTTGAAGGTCTGGGCGTTGGATAAGGAAGAGAAGAAAACCGGGTCACCGAAGTGTTTGTCGACGGTCCAAGTGCACAATGGACGGAGGCAATTTCCGGTATGGTGACTTGACTCTTTTCCTTTCGTTCCACATTTGATATTTTCATTCTTGACGCCTCTTCTGCCAGGTATCCGCCTTCGTCGTCCTCCCAGACCTATCCCAGCTTGCTGTGGGCTTTGCAAATGGCTCCGTTACTGTGATCCGCGGCGACCTAATCCACGACCGAGGCGCAAAGCAACGCACAGTCTTTGAATCCGAAGAGCCCGTTACCGGCCTGGAAATCCAGCACGGGCCCGTAACGACCCTCTACATCGCTACGACGGGCCGGATCCTCACACTCGTCATTGCGGGCAAGGGCCAGGGCCAACCCGCCCGCGCGCTTGAGGACCTAGGCTGTGGCGTGGGTTGTATGACGATCGATCACGAAACGGGCGATATAATACTTGCTCGCGAAGATGCGATATACACATACAGCGTTTCTGGTGGCCGGGGTCCTAGCATTGCGTTCGAGAGTCCGAAGACGTCCATAAATGCGTTTAGGGATTATATAGCGCTCGTCTGTCCGCCTAGGCCGGCGTTGCCGAAGTCTTCTGATGCACTCCGACGGCTTGGTGGTAGCGGTGGTGGGGGACAGGTTGATGAAATCTTGACTACGTCGACGTTTACGATATTAGAGCCAGATTTGAAATTTGTTGCTCACACTGAGTCATTCCCATCCAGGGTGAAATATGTGTTTATGGAGTGGGGTGATTTGTTTATTGTTAGTGTGGATGGGATGGTACGTGCCGCTATTCCTCTGAATTTCTTACGAGAAGGGAGCTCTCTTGCTAAAAAATATAATGTTGATGAAAATAGGTTTATCGATATCGTGAAAAGACTCTCCAGCAGAAGTTGGAAATCCTCTACCAGCGAAACCTTTATATTTTAGCCATCAATCTTGCCCAGAAAGCTGGTATTGATACGCTACAACAAAATATCATCTTCCGCAAATACGGCGATTACCTATATCAGAAGGGGGATTATGATACTGCAATGCAACAATATCTACGCGCAATTAATAATACAGAACCCTCCCAGGTTATTCGAAAGGTAAGGCTTTTCACATCTCGCTGATCGACGTAGCAGAAGCTTAGGCTTGCTAAAAAATCACACGCACGATATAGTTCCTAGATACCCAACGTATCCACAACCTTATTGAATATCTCGAAGAGCTCCACGATCATGAAAAGGCGACTGCTGATCATACAACGCTACTCTTGAACTGTTATGCAAAATTAAAAGACACCAGCAAGCTCGATTCGTTCATCAAGGCTCCCGGTGAACTGAAATTTGACCTAGAGACTGCCATTGCGATGTGTCGACAGGGCGGTTATTACGAGCAAGCTGCATACCTAGCGAGAAGACATAACGAAAATGACATGGTGATCGACATTTTGATTGAAGACTCTCGGAAATATGAAGAGGCATTGAAGTATATCTGGAGTCTGGAGCCTGATATTGTAAGTTAATATACCCTATAATATTGATCTACTATTAACAACTAGTTTGCGACGACAGGCATATCCAAACCTCATGAAATATGCTCGTGTTCTCCTAGGCCATTGCCCACAAGAGACCACAAAGCTTTTCATCGAGTATTATACAGGTCGCTTCCGACCCCGGCGAACAACCGAAGAGGAACCGGCAGAGAGACCCCAACCACAAACCGGAAGCGCCATCCAAAGTCTAACCTCCTTCATCCCATTGCCAGGATCACAGGGACCGAAAGCCCCGGCTGCCCAGCCGCAATTAGCCCCAGAGCTCGAGTCACCAATTCAATATGACATACCGAAAGCGCGTAGTGCTTTTTCAGCATTCGTGGATCAGCCGCAGAAGTTTATAGAATTTCTAGAAGAGTTGATTAAACAGCATAACCTGAAAGAGGAGGATAGGGTGGATCTGTATACGACTTTGTTTGAGATGTATTTGGATACGGCGATGCATACCAAGGGGGATGGTGAGAGGGAGGAGTGGGAGGGCAAGGCGAAGAAGCTAATTGAGGGGAAAAATGTATGCGGATTTTATTATTTTATTTTTATTTTTGAACCTTTTCGTCAATTGTGGCTGATGATATATGGCACTCACACAGATTCCCGTATCCACCTCGAATGTTTTATTACTCTCCGACCTCTCGAATTTCCGGGAGGGTACGACCCTAGTCCGAGAACAGCAAGGCTTGTGTTCGGATATATTCCGCTCTTATACCTCTGCCAAAGACACTGCTGGCGTCATCAAGGCTCTAAGAAAATATGGCCCGCAAGAGCCTCAATTATACATCGACGCCCTAGCGTACTTCTCGTCTAGTCCGAAGATCCTCGAGGAAGCCGGCGACGAGCTGCATGAGGTACTCAGAAAGATCGATAAGGATGGGTTAATGGCTCCGCTGCAGGTGATCCAGGCACTGAGCAACAATGCGGTGGTGACAATGGGAATGATAAAGAAGTATCTCAGCGACAATATCGAGAGGGAACGGAAGGACATTGCAAATGTGCGTATCTTATCTTCCATATCCCCCCCTTCCTTTCCTTTCGCCAACTAACAAAATGCACACGCAACCCATAGAACCGCCGCCTAATATCCAGCTACACTGCCGACACCGAGACAAAGCAAAAAGAAATCGACGAGCTAGGCACCAGGCCCTTCGTCTTTCAAGCACGCAGCTGCTCTTCATGCCACGATAGACTAGACCTGCCCACCGTACACTTCCTCTGCAAGCACTCATTCCACCAAAGGTGTCTTAACAGGGTTGATGAGGACGCTGAGTGTCCTGTATGTGCGCCGCAGAATGCGACTATTCGAGCTATCCGCGAAAGGCAGATTAAGTCTGCTGGCCAGCACGATATGTTTAAGAGTGAGTTGCAGCGGAGTCGGGATCGGTTTGGGACTGTCAGTGAGTTTTTTGGGCGGGGGGTCATGAGGGCGAATAATGTAGAGTAGTATTTAGTTTTTTTTCTGCTCTATATATATATTTTTTCAAAAAATTTCTCAGTTGCGTGTTTGTTTTGCTGGGATGGAAGGTTTATGAGTAGCGATAGTTTTTAATTTGGTATGTGGAATGTGGAATGACCCCTTATGTGCTTAGTTATGAAGAAGAAGATATATGCCACGTTTAACTAACTCTATAGATAGAACGAGAATTCAATTACAATAATTGAATTAGTGACATCAGTGCCATTAGTGATATTTTTACTATTTTTTGCTATTATTGCAATCTCTACTATCTCTACTATCATTTAGTTACTGTCTCTACTGCTATTAATAATGTTTCTAGAGGACATCCAGAGATCTCTATATTTTAGAGGTTGAATTTATTACAGACAGAAATCTCCGTGTAGAAACCTGTTGAGCAATACATCCTCTTCCCCATTAGATTTTGGGAAGGAGTTTAGATAGGGGAACAGACCCAGATGGAGCCTGACATGTAACAGCCTATGGAAGATGCAACAGCAAGTGTAGATGGGAATTCAGAGTTTCGCGATGGAAATTGGCTCAAAAGCTGCACATTTCAATCAGCAACAACAACAGAGTTTAATGCCCAGCATAATGCACTGCTTTTATGTTATTTCCACCAATAACTAAACAGATATCAAGGACGCATTGATCTACGTAGATATGCCGCAAAAGCTGCTCGAAATGATCATATTACCCAGACATGAGGGAGAAACGCAAACTTAGGTATGTAACTTTCCCAGTCGTGTCGTTAGATCTCACATCTCAAGAATGACCAATCTAGTTTAATTTTATGTTTGGAACTGCGGCTGAATCGATGGCTCCAAGTTAAGGTCCTGATATGTCTTAATATTGGTTTCCTCAGTATTTTCATGAGAATGAAAAGATGTTTTTTTTTTAACATTTCTTAATTATTGCTTCAACATACGTCAGTCATATAGAGAGATAGCATGTTGCCCCTATTGAGCCTAATCCTTGAAACAAATTGGCAAAGAGCCTGAGTTCCTTGAACCGGATCGGTAGAGCCACTTGATAAAGGAACTGAAAGCAGCAGGGGCACTGCCTTTATATTCCACCTTCCGCTCTGGGCTTTCGGAAATCGATCCTGTTTCAAAGCAGCTTTCAAATATTGGGAGGCCTTAACTGAAAGGAGTGAACGTAAGTGATATGCCTACACCCGATGGATAGGCTTTGACGATGAATGGCGCGTGCTCCAGTGAAAACCTTGGGCATGGCTATTCAATCCTTCCTGAAGTTAAATCTGCTACTGGGTCTTTATTAGCACGTAGAATTTTGAAGGATGATATAAATTATGAGGGTCTAAATCAATTTAAGCTGTAGTAACTCCGCTGGCAGCCACACGCCATGGATTATCGGAGTTTGGAATTAGTTTTCTTCGTCGATCTAAGAAAATCCTGGAATTTTTCTAATTCTTTGCGCTTCCTGGTGATCGACAATAGAACAAGTCACCTCATTTGGTGAGAAATCTGCGATCCGGGACCCTTTGCTCTTTACCAGTCTCAGGGCAAAGTTAAGTTCATCAATCTGGGAAGCATGGAAGTGAGTTCGGCACCACTCGCCGTCAAGGTTCATTCCATCTACGAGAAGCTCTGCAGCGATTGCAGCTGTAATTTCCTGCGTCTCGATGTATGTGCGGCAGAAACCCATGAACAGAGGCGCAAACCGTGGTAGTGGCAGGGCGGCGATCTGATCAATCGATACAGAATCAAGTATCTCTTTGCTATATCCCATCGCTGTTTGATGCTCCTCATGAGAGATTATATGTGTGGGCAGAGGGTCGAGCTGACAGTATCTGTCTGTAAAGAGGACAACACAGGAGAGACGCTGAGAAAGAAAACGAAAACGTGGAAACCCTCTTTTGTATTCGGTATAGATATTGTGATCAATCACGTTTGCTTTTTCGAGTCGATCCTTTCTAGACTCAAATATCGATGCGGCGAGCTCAAGATCATTTGCGCGCACACAGAGCTCAAGGTCCTGTTACAGTGAAAAGTCAGAAAACAAACAAGGCCAACGAGCGTCTACGGAGAAGAGACACCCACATTGACTATGCGTGGTGCATTGTAGTAGTTCAGAGCAAGTTCGCCCACAATGCAAACAGGTATGCCATCATCTTGCAACAACGCCAACAACCAGCGGATGTCCTCAAACTCCATTGCAGTGGTTGGAGGGTTGATGGATGATGAGCGTCCAGGGACGTGCCAAATGTCAAATGGGAAAAACTGGTAGGCAGCTGAGTCTTGGGGAAAATAGAAGGCGAGTTCGTGAACTTAAGGCAAAAGTATACCATAAGAAATTTGGTGTTTGCTTTGTGGTCAAGTGCTATGTGACATACATTCGATAACTAGGGGTTATCCGGGAGATCTGGGTGGGTTTAAACTACATCATACAGGTGCCCCTGCAAAAAGTTTTGTCTCACACTAGGAATTTACAGTGAAATATTTTTACTAGTGTACTGAATGTTATGCCCACACTGCCTGGGATTTTGGCAGTGAGCTAGGGGGAAGGCTAGGGGCATTACCTCTATTTTTCCACCTGAAGAGTCCCTATTCTCTTAATTCGATGGAACGGCAATACTTAATACCGGTATCAACATTTCAGCTTAAATTCTTAGTGTGAGTCAAAACTTTTTGCAGGAGCATCTGTACATTGCTGGCAGTGCCAAGAAAGAATGTTGGTCGACTAACTATGCACTAACCTAACTGTAAGTAGCACCAAACCAACGTACTCCGTCCTTACCAACAACAATCCTTATTGCCAGTCCAGACCATCATTCTTTTTCTATCCCTTGCGAACCCTGTCATCCATACTAGCCACTCTGCTTTTTCCAATGTCCGCTACTAGACTACTATGGCCATACCGCTCACGAAAGAGCGTTCGTTTTCAAATAATGTCTGACCTTCACCTTGAAGTTGGTCAGCAGTATTCGGATTTCCATATCATACCGCGCGCGACTCGTCTGATTCTGGCCGGCGATATTGGTCGGCTGGCTGACTATGAGGCCTTTCGCAACTTCCTACGCATCCAGTGCAAACAGTTTGTGGAAGTCTACCTTGTTCTTGGAAACCATGAATTCTTCGGTGTCTCGCGTCAAGAAGGCTTGCGTCTGGCGGATATGCTTCAACAGGAGCCGGAACTTAAGGATAAGTTGATTATAATGAATCGGACGCGGGTAGATCTGCAAGATATTACACTGCTAGGTTGCACTCTGCACTCACAAATACCACCTGAAGCTGAGGAGATTGTACGATACAAGATTAATGACTTCAGACGTATTGCGGACTGGACTGTTGCCGACCACAATGCTGAGCATGCCAGGGATGTGAAGTGGTTGGCAGATGAGATTACTTCAATTAGAAAAACGGAATCTGGATTGAAGCGAAAGATTGTTGTGATCTCTCATCACGCGCCCTCAACCAAAGGGACCTCCAAATCCTCAGACGAGTGTAATCCATGGAACTCAGCCTTTGCAACATGTCTCCTTGGGAGGAAGGAGATATCGTGTCTCGACGATGTCCAGTGGTGGATTTTTGGTCATACGCACAACTCTACGGAATTAATTTGTGGGCAAGTGAAGCTTGTTAGCAATCAACGGGGCTACGTGCTTCCAAATAAGGAGAAGAATGGGTCTCAGATCTCAGGGAGCTTTCCACCGACAGTCCTAAACCTTTGGGGTTATGGCAGGCAGAAGCAAAACGTATTCAATGCTTGGAAGACTATTGAGGTTTGAGCCACGGTTATGTTATCTGACGACAGGCTCGGTGCAGATGTAGAAGTTATGAGCTGAAAGCGACGCGAAGGGGTTTCAGGAAGGATTCGGTGGGGTTTGGAAAGTTGTTTAACTTAGCTGCTGATAAAACTATGCATCATTTGATGAGTTGCTTTACAAAAGTGATTTTGTTTTCCCCCTTGGCGATTAATAGTTGGCTCATCCAAGTCTTCCATCAAGGGAAGAGCAAGGCAATGGTTTATCATGCTGATACAGTCTGAATCTCCATTACAATGTGGAATTCATCAGTCGGGCTAAGGATAGCCGCCCATTTCAATGTGAAACCTATATACAATCATGAGATTGACTTAAGAGTCAATTATCTGCATGGTTTTTGTTTGCTGTGGTCTCTGCTGCTTCCCTGCTGTTCCATATTTGCTTTCACCAACTAACTAGGAGGACTTGAACAGGGAGGTGCATCCCTAACCTACACATCTATATAATGCTGTCAGTAACTAACCATTGATGTTCACATCTGCCTGATCATTAATTTACCCACATCTATCTTGTTACATTCTATCATCCTCATACATATTCAGACAGTCTAGGATCTACAACATGCACCAAGCTCGTCTGAATGATGCAGCTATTGCACTGCACCAAGTCCTCTCATCACATCATGTGAAGTTTGGCATATTTGGTGGCTTTGCAGTGTCGACCTTGGGTGACCGCGCGCAAGTAAAGATATAGACTGTCTTGCAGCAGTCAACAAACAACAGATTCTCAGTCTCCTGGATGGCAAAGCAGGATTCGTGGCTGTGTCTCAAGTTCGGCCGGACTACGTAGCTTTTCTATGGTCAGATAAGCCCAGCTGAGAGCGAGCGGTGCTTGTCGAAATCTTCTGCGAAGGTTATCCAGGTAAGCTACGCCTAGAATGCCAGATAGAAGCTTGGTCTTTAATTCTCAAACACTGGCACACTACCCGCATACTTGCTGTGGTCGCTTTTCAGTCTAATATATGTATGTGTCATCGCAGGAGCAATGTTCACGATGGCTGATGTGCAACCGACCCTCACCCCGATCACGGGCGAAACCCAAGGAACAGGTGATACGGCGCTGCTGGATCTCATCTATTTGTTCAAAGGGAAGCTACGTGCCACTGCCACCCGCGAAAAGTTCCATGATGCAGCCGATCTTCGCTGGCTAGAGGGCCATTACCTAGCCAAACTCCAAGAGAACAAAAATCAATTCAATCTCCTCTATGTCGGTCTAGCTTTGAAGCGATACCCTGAGTTACTGTATTGCTTCAAACGTATTGGGCTTGATATTGAAGCTGCAGAAGCCACAGCTGCTTCTGTCAGCTTGCACGACCTGCTACCACCTCAACCAGGCGATGTTCAGAAAGGATTACTTGCGCCTTCTAGCATCTAGACAGGCTCCAGTTCATGTTGGATATTTTTGATTTCTTCTTTCTTTCAATGCTCTCTATGTATTTCCTTGATCGACATTGAAAACCTTCAACTATGGATGCTAGTTGATTAGACACAAGTGTTGGAACATGGGATTTGTTCTCTGAGAAGATAGATCAATGATGTAGTATTGTTATATTTGGGCTTCTTCTTTTACAAACGTACATTTGAAAGTGTGTTTAAAGGATTCAATAATCATTCATCCAGGTACTGAACTCTCTGTATCGCGACCCTCAAGAATGTGAAAGCAGATATTCTCCATATCTAGCTGGGCTGCTGCGAAACATGGAGTAATGAGCAGACCGGCCTCAATGCACCAGGCTGAAAAAATGTGGATCTGCCACTAGTGTCCGGCGACACTGGTTCTTTGCACACTAAATTATCCCCTGCCAAAACAAGCCAGGAGTTGTGCAGCAACGGGGCATTGGCATCGCTCCAGTTGTCAACCGTGAGACATATCGCCCACAGAATGTGCGCGGTACTGATGAAAACGGTAGCACCATGGCATGTGGTTCAGCCGGGGTCCATATCATTCCTCATTAATTTTCAGTAGGAATGTCACATTTTAAGTGAATTGCAATTAAAAAGGACAATGTCTGTTAATTAGATGATTTTGAACAGAATCGCCAAAACCTTGGACGTCTGAGGGGCTCGTTTTATATCTTATCAACACGTGACTGCGCGTCCTGATCGCGTTGGGTGGAATTTGGCTTGTATTCCCTCGTCGCTATTCATCAGTAGGGCTTCAAGCACATAATCTGTCCCCCACCCGCGGGACTTAAATGCGCATGCGTCCCTCTAACCTCATTGCCATTGTCTAGCGAGATGCCGTCCGACCTCGTAATCCAAGACTCAGACGAGTCAGACGCTGAATTGAGCGATATCGCTACATCTATTGACCCCCTTCAAGACAACAAAACCACCGCCAAGTCTGTCGTTATCCTAAGGGATTTTCTTCCCCCTGATCAGCACGCACAATATCCCCGTAATGGCGATAATGGTGATAATAATCAGCTGGCAGAGGAAACCATCAATGGGATAGGGAGCGGCGCTGATCTTCACCTAAATACCCACGGTGCGCCAAGCTTCGATCCCACTATCAGCGTCAACTTCGATCAATTCCTCACGTCACAATCACAGGATCAGACGGCTACAGGCTCCGTTTCGTTGTCCCAACAACGGAGGGAGAGGGCGTGGCTGGGGGAAGAGGACGGGGACGGTGCATATCCTATGGTGATGAAGTCCCCCAGGAAAAGTATCTTGAAAAGGGGCAGGACGATGGATGCTGGTAATACAGAGGTGGATGATATTGTTGTAAGGGAAAAGAATACTAAGAGGAGACGGACCATGAGTGTGTCCGAGGCATTTCAGGGCGCTGTGGTGAAACGTGTGGGCATTGCTGGTTCGCGAGAGCAAGGTGAGGGTAGCTATGGTGCCAGCGAGGAATGGTCGACTGAGCGAATGATTGCCACAGAATCCTGTCTATCCCCAACAAAGGAAGATGGAGGTGGCACTTGCGAAGAAGATGTGCCGATTGAAGATCCGGTTACGCCTGAAAACCATTCCTTTACAGCTGAAACCATACCAGCGCCTCTAGCCACTGGATCAGAAGCCCACTCTCAAAAACAACCGATCGTGCGATCAAAGTCCACGCAAGGATTTGACGATACTTCTTACGATACTGAATTAATGTCTTCCGTAGCCCTCGCACGACCACACAGGACAATGTCGTCATCTTTCATAAGCCATCCGCCACAATCATCAACAGAAAGCGCTTGCGATGAGCTTGCCCTACCTCCCGTCGTTCAAGTTGCGATAACCAATATGAGACCGACAGCGATGTCAGAGAAGAAGCAGTCAGTTGCAGAGTATGCTGGGATGGAGAGTGATCAGGATGAGTTGGACTGTATCGATTTTGGTGGTATCCCGAAAGAACGCTACAAACCGCGGCCGAGTAGGTCGAGGAGTAAAGCCGTGATTGATTCTGGTATGGGTGGAGACGGGATAAGTGTTGGTGGCGATCCTTACGTTGAAGTTATGGTGCCGCGTGAGAATTTCCCAGTCGCACAATCATGTCCATCACGCGAAGCCAGAGACTCAATTGTTGCAGAAACAACGAAAACTCCAGAAAGATATTCGTTAAATGCCATGACTCAGGATGTCCCTCTGGAAGCATCTAAACGACCACTCAAATCAGCGAAGAAGAAGGTTAAGCGGGGAAAGACCACTTCAGCGATGTTGAAGAGGGCTCTAGAATCGGATGTCGAAGATGATGTGATATGGATGGATGAGAAGCCAGCAAATGTTACATTCAAGCATAAGGAGAACGATTCATTATCAAAGAGTCGGAAAGCTGAACGCGGTGAGGATAGCAAGGGAAAGCCCCTTGGCAACAAGATCGAGAGTATCCAGGAAGAAATTCCTCCTGAAGAAAAAGTGGTGGACGACAAGGTCCAGCAGATTCCGCTTGACCCTACTGCTGCTGTTGCTGCTGCTACTGCCACTGTGTCTGCGTCTGAGCCCAAAAAACGCGGTCGAAAGCGGAAGAAGACATCAGACAGCCTAACTATGGAGTCTCAACTACCCCTCGCGGAGACCGAACAATCGACCTATGGAAAGAAATCCATACCACCTCTTGCAGAGCAGGATCAGAATATTCCTACGTTGAAAAAGGCCCAGGGGGAAAAAGACTCCAAACCGGATACCACGACAGATGCCGGCGCCGCAGAAGAAGCCGATCAAGTAGGACAGCTTAACGAGCAAGAGCAAATGAAACCGATGACACCCGGCCCTACATGTGCGCCTCATTCCCCCTCCCCTCAGTCTCAATTACAGCCACAGTCGCAATCGTCAATAACGACCCCAGCGCCCCAGCCAGCCAAAACACCCCAAAAGACCCCCATGTCAGTACAAAGGGGCCCAGACAAACACAGTCCCATCATGATAAACAAGAAGGCATCATACCGCGTCGGCCTGAGCCGCACAGCGAAGATCGCACCGTTGCTGAAGGTGGTTAGAAAATAGAAAGACTCACAATTTAATGAGCGTAGTATCTTCACACGCTGGACTCGGGAGTTATGTCACACTGCCTCCAGCAATCGACAGGGTTCAGTCTCCACAGTTATTTATTCATCGCTGGCAAGGTCAGGGAGGAGGTTACAGGTGTCGGACGGAGGGAAGAGGGGGGTGGGATATGCTTCCGATTGTATGCTTTACCAACGACGATTATGTTTAATCCTTCATTTTTCAGCTTCGATTTACGCGTCGGCGCCTGACCTGTTATCTATTTTAAGGACGTCTATACCCTATAATACGAATATATTATTATATGTTAAGTGTAATAATTACTGTTTTTATTTCTCACACTCCTTACCCCTGCACGAGTTCGCTACTTGTTCTGTACACCGATATCCCCTGCTTCTCTCTCTTGTCTGTGATACGTACGAGATACTTGGTCACCGTCCTGGATCACGGTTTATTGCCTAGAAAAGGGATCAAGCATATGTTACGAAGTTTGTTGGACAAACCAAGTCAGGAGATTACTCTACGGCCGTAGTCTCCGCGAGGGCGAGGATTGCAGTGACATTCGCATGTGCTGTCTGTTGGAGAGGAACGTATCAAATGCCGAAGAAATTAATCCAGATGGATGTTAAAAGAGAAATCTACAACATGGTAAGGGGACATGGAATCCCGCAAGTCTAAGAAAGTCCTGACAGCAACGCCCCTGTAACAATAATGATAGTCATGTGTAGAAGAAAGTACGGATAAGGAGAAGCACAAGAGTTCATGTAAGCAATCAGAACAAAAACAACGTGCAAGGAGCAAACAAGGGAGCATGGCAACACGGCATATACATCGAGGCATGGACATGAACATGAAAAAAAAAAAAAAAAAAAAAAAATCCGAAGCGAGGAATTTGGGATCATCCATCAGACCATGCGGATAATTGTGCATATCCATTGAGCCTATGTATGGCATCAGATCAAGTTCGTCTCATCGTTTTCGGTGTTGTCTTTCTAGACGACATTGACTACTGAGTGATCTTGGGAATTTTTCGAAGGCATCCAACGATACCAGTTTTCGGGGTCGTCTCCGAGACATTCTCCCAGCGTAACTGCTCGATAGCCCGCAGCATATATACCATCCAACATATGAGAGGTAAGATTGTAGACAGTTTGCTTGTGAACATCATGAGCTATAACCAGTAGAGGTCCCCCGTAGGGCTTAGCAGAAGCAAGAGCATAATCGAAGATGTCCTTGGAGGCTTGAATAAGGTAAGGTGAGTCATTATTGTAATCATCCGTGTCCACATCGAAATAGGCGACATGATATCCTAGGTCATTTAATTCTCGAACACAACCGGATTGGTCAGAGCAACTTGAGTATGGGGGTCTCATGTAAGTTGGAAAGCCACCAAAGATATTTCGGAGAGCCATTTCGTTCTTCACCAACTGGCTGCGGAGTTGATCCGGAGAAAGGCTATCGAGATTTTGATGAGCCCATGTGTGACTAGCAATTTGATGTTTATTCAGCATTCGGTTTATTAACTCTCTCCATGGCAAATTGTGGTCATCAATCGGGCCCTTGTTCGAATTGATTCCTGTCACAAAAAAAGTTGCCTTCGCGCCAAAAGAATCAAGAATGTCGAGCAGATCACTGGTATAGATATTTGGGCCATCGTCATACGTCAATGCAACTGTATTGGGCACTTTGCAGTTGAATATCGGCTGGTTCGCATACGGAATTTTCCCAAGAGGGTCACGAGGGGCACTTAATGTACTCTCCCCGTCGGGTGTTCTCAGCGCATCGCAGCCGCTCCCGTAATCAATTAAACAATCTGGGGCCTGACAATAGTGTCTGGAATTACCGCAAAAACCTGGGCATACTGTAAGCGAGACAGGACCAAAAATCAAATGTCAAGCCTAGATCCACACATACCGGATGGTGAGCAGCAATAACCGTCCTGACAAGCCCCATACGTTGGACCACATTTCGGTTCAGGAGAATCGCGTTTTTGCAAGCCCAGAGCGGGCGTATTGTCCAACCCTCCAAATCCTGGGGATGGAACATGTATCGGCGGCAGGGAGATCGGAAAGTCGGGTAATATTCCGCCATTGACGGTCTCGCCATCTGGAGCCTCCTTATCATCAAGAGTAGTGGCGAAGGTGATACCTACGAGGCCGAAGTGGAGAGCCCACACCCAGCGGCGAGAATGCATGGCGACACTTATTGTCTGAAGATAGAGTTTCACACCAGTCGAAGAAGAAAAAATAAGTAACTAATTGAACGTTGAACACAAAGAATATAGCTGTAAGAGTCGGGCAACATAACAACCTGAGGGCGGAGTCAACAAAGTCTTGTTGTTGGCCAAGTAAGGCTGGGGACAAGTGACAGCGAAGTGGAGAAAGAAAGAGGAAAGATACACCCTGATGCGGCAGCAAAACGAAGGAGCCGGTCGGGTCAAGCCGAATCTAGCAGCCATGTATCCAATATCGTACTTGCCAGTCACCCAACACGGTATGTGGTCAATTCCTTCCCTCATGCTTGTTTGTCCGGCTGAGCGGAAAATTAATTGCGAGGAACTTTAGGGGGAGGACGAAACTTGGTTTGTAGACAACGTCACAGCAAGCAACATGTTGGTGGGAACTTGATATCGGCGGTATTGAGGATGGGTGACGAGGCCAACGAAGAATTGTGAACCCCCAGCGACAAAGAAACAAGGAATCCGATTACACATAAACAGCGCGGAGCTAGTGATAAAAATGAAAGAAAAACACGGTATGGTCTCGAGTATTACAAGGTAATCCGGCATTATACAGAAAAGACAAATTCAGTGGGTTGTAGCTGAGGGGCAATATTGAAATTGGTCCTAAGTAGCAGTTAGCTCAATCGCAGCTTAGTTAGGAATCGGGTGACTTATAAAAAAAAGTATAATGGCCGTTCCCCGTTTGCACAGGGAACGGCAAGGAGCTCTTTTGTGGCATTACCAAACTGAAGAGAAATATCGCTCGCGTTGCTTTCCTAGTCCACAGATCTCATTCGCTCCCCGCTGCTGGCCCGTCATGTAGAGCTAAACATACTTGTAAACGCTAAGCCGACACACGCTTCATCCTTCCACCTCCACTGGAGCCAACAGCTCAATGAGTTGTAACATGATGCTGAAAAATGGCAAATAGAATATGAAAAGGAGAGGGGCATACGCCAAACACAGACAAGCCGAAGCTTTGATCCTCACTCTAGAGAGGTCCCGATTTGACGTACATTCCAACCCAATTTCCATATACATCCGCATTTTCGCAATACATGAAACAATGTCAATGAGGTTTGTGAAACCAAAGGGAAATTTTCAGAACTTTGAAGCGCAAAGTCAAGGGCGATAGCTGTAGTACGATCACTCGGGATGATCATATCACATGGGCGTAGGCGAATAGCATAGGAGATAAATGGGCTATCCGGCAACGTAGCTAATATTTTCATACTCGTGGCATGCTTAGGAGGTCCTATGTTTGGGCAATTGGTCCTATCTTGTCTTCCACTCAAAGCGTAACAAATTCACGGTGCAGTTCATTCACGGTCGCTCTCCTCCATTCAGCGTTTGTTTCTCTCGATCCAAGTCTTTCTCTCGAAACTCAAACATCCAAGCCCAGCACTCGATGTTCAAACCCCGAATCTTTCGAGACCAGGATGGAGCCTCTCTTGTTTGTTACACAGTAGTCTCAGAGACTAGTTTTTGTTTCCTCTCCAAGACGAGCCGAAGATAAAGCTAGATGTTGGAGGGCATTTGAAAGCGGACAAAAGACATCCTCAAAAACCGCTTCTTCCTGCCAGCTATTGGCAGATTCTGGGCACCATTGAAGGAACTTCGCAGGCAACCATTTGTCGGCGCTCACTCAAGACTGTAAGCTAAACTTGCAGCGAGATGACTAACACGGCGGATCGGGACGCTTGGGACCAAGCTAACACTAATGGCTAGTGCCGCAGTGTAAGGCCAGCGAGCTCTAATTTAACAAAGGAGGACTGGGGTGGATGGTGGGGGTCTGGCGGGTCGTGAAGGCGCGCTCAGAGGTTCGAGACATGCGCGGGACAGCCAATCACGGATAGCAATGGACACCAAACAAGTAAATGTTCAAAAGGCATTCCAAATCCGAGGAGAATCCCCTGTCTTCGTTACGTCCCTCCGCCACGGCTAGGACTATATATTACCGCTATGGACGCAGAGAAGCCAACCGGAACATGGCAACAAGCGCAAATTCTTAACGGCAATCTAGCAAAGCTACCAGTTAAGACGACCACGCATATGTTTGTCGTCTTGTTGACCTTGCTACGAGCCA